CAGGGGAGGGGGTGGAAAAATCGGTGGGGAGGGACAATCGCGGGCGCGGAGGTGTGGAGAGGGTGGGAGTGGGGGGATTGGTAGTACGGTTAAAAGTGGGGTTTGACTGGGGCCTGCTGGCGTCTAGATACCTCGAAATACAAGCTCTAACTCCAGCAGACGGGTTCAGACTGCCGAGGGCGACTCAACTCCAGTGACGAGTATATATCTAGAATGATGAACATACATTACATAAAATTTAAATTGGGGTATCAAAGATGAGCATAAAGCATAATACGGAGCCTACGCGATGAAAATGGGGGGGTTGTTGGCAAAGAGCGATTTCAGTGGATGTTATTGGCAGCCACTTCGTGTGAATGGGCAGTCATTGAACCCTAGAAAGTATGTCTTGGTCGTGAGAAACTTCCCCAAATACTCTGGATGTTCAACATGAAAAATCTAATCAGGTGGCAAGAAGTGAAACCCAGACAGCTTCCGAGTAAAATGAGTCGACACAGTGTGGAATATGAGAAGAAGTGAACAGGGTTTCCTTAAGGGGCAACCGACCACATGTGTATCTTTAGACATAGGAAATGTTTGCGCAAGAAAAGGGCCAGTTAAATGTATTGTCTTCAACCCCTCTGTGTGGGATACCTGCAGGAGCCATGCGTCTGCCCTACTTACACACAGCCTAACCTTGTGTCCTTTGCGCCACACTGTGGGCATTGTAGTCGTCTCGTCTTGAGATACCTTAATGGGCACGGTGCAGTGCTGTGAATCAACGTCTTCCACGCTGCTGACCTTCCAGCTTACAGGGACTCCTGCCATTCTCACGCTCACTCCATTCTCCGCTCTTCTTTCCCTCTTCGCTTCTGCTCGCATTTCTCCCTCTCGGGTGATCTTGAGGTGAGGATGCTCACCACTGTCCCGGGTCGTGGCCCTGTCTGGCCCTTCATGGCGTCTTCGTAGCTTAGTTTGTGGCGCCCGGCTCCCAGCCAGAACACTGAGGACCACAGTACTACACCACGCTAACCCGAATACGGCTGTGTGCGGGACGCACACAGTGGTCTGCTCTCGACAGCAGGATCTCCTCCATGATGGCTGGCCACGTCGGTGTGGGTGCTTGAGGCAGGCAGTATTTGTACCTTTGTACTCTTGGATTGCGGGGTTGGTAAGTCGCGACGGGAGTACGCAGGGAACGGTGATAGGTTGTTGGCGTTCAAAGAGAAAAGGTTAGACTGCGAAGAACCGGTAAGGAAACGACACACACACACGAGGTCTCGCATACACAGCAGCGCCAAAAAAAGGCAGCAGATAGATCGGACAGGGTGTTAGAACGCGCGTTGGGATCGAAGGCGTGGTCAAGTGTCAGTGGTGGAAGCTGAGCATGCGAATAACGTGGTGAATGCGCAGGCTAGCTGCAAATGCTTGAATATGCTGCATGCTTGATGCTGAGAGGTGGTTATTTATTGCAGTGAGCCGCGCGCTGAGAGGGCGCACGGGTGCTGTCACGTGTGATCAACGTGTGTGCGCATGCGCAAGTGAGCACAGTGCATGGGGACACCAGATGTTCTAAAGGAATAAAAGCGACGCGCCGGGTTGGAAAGACATGAGGGTGGTGGTGGTATTGTCGAGGCTCCTCATTGATCAGCCGAGAGGGCATGTAGGTTGTGCCAGCAGGAGACGCAGTCCTGTGTTCTGATTCATGAGTGCTAGCGTCTCTGCTTGAGCCTTGTATGCGGAGAGACCGAGGACCCAATGTCTGGTACTGCTCCAAGTCCCTCCAGAAAGTGCGATCCCACACCGTTGTTCGTGGCCCTTGGGGGGGAGAGAACTGTCCTCCTTCCGCCTTCCAAATGAGCCGCCTGTAAAGAAAGAAAGCCTCCTTGTCTTCTAGCGACAGGCCGACAGTTCTTGAACCGAGCAAAGGTGGCGTTTTAAGGGTTTGATTGCGCTGCTCGACAAATTTGCGCAGAGCTGAGGTGGATCTATTAGGGTGAAACGGAGAGCAAATCTCAGATGAGATTGAGGATGTTTGTTTCTCCACTCGATTCATGGGCTTCATCATTGTCCACTTTGGCTGCTGACTTCGCTCCTTGTTCTCCCCGATTCTATTCGGCATCCTTTTTATTCCTCTCCTCCTCTTGATCTAGAACAAAGAACCAAAAACCAGATGCGTATGCTTCATCTTGGTGAACACCGAGTGACTTGAACATGCGGGAAGTCAAGTGTTCAAATCATCATTCTGCTAATACATTTAGCAGCGGGGCACGAGAAGAGTGAGTTTCATTCCAGTAGGAACCAAGCTTGTTGACACAGGAGCTCGCAGGGACATGCTTTACAGTAGACGAAAGGTGGAATGTGCAGTGTGGGTTTGGCCCGCGCATGGGCGTGTGTCCAATCCAACTTTCCCCCCTCCCTTTCCCACCTCTAGTGGGTTGCGTTCTGCGAACCTAATTCCTTCCTCCCCTTTCAGAAGACCCATTCATCTTCACTTACACACAGTCCTATCGGAGACTTAGACTAGGACCTGAGAGGCGTAAATTGTCGCCTACCATCTTGCTTTATGGGCGGTTGCCGCAAGACCCTGTCCATGGGATGAGCACATCGCACGTTACCCCGCCAGTACACTGGCCCAGTTGGCTGCTTGTGACACACACCCTGTCAGCCTCACAGACCTCGCCAGCCAGCTCCCGCATTTCCTCTAATAGGGCCAGGAGCTTATGCGAACAAGTATCGCGCGTCGGACATATGGAAGTGTCGGCCTTCTCTGGCTACGTGCTATGGTTTGTTTATTTAATTGCTGCCGTGTTATTTGCGGGTATTCCCTGCATGAGTGCATGGTAGCGCGCTAGCTGGGCCTTGTGCGACTGCTTGCGGAGTAGGGTGCTCAGATGGGTGTGTGTGTACTGATCGCTGGATCCTCCGTTCAGGAGGCTGATGGTGAGCCGGTTCTCTTCGTCTATCTTCCTCAGAACCGGAGAGAAAAGAAAGGACTACTTCATGCACCACCCCATGTTGGGCTCTAGAGATAATATTACATTGTAGCATCCATAAAGCAACAAACAATGTTTTGGTGATAAAATGAAAGCAAGTAAGACACAAACGGAAGCATCTGAAATACACATTATGTTTTATGTGTATATACTTGGCAGTAGATGTACACACAACCCCCACCCCCCAAACACACACACAACACACAAAGTAAGAAGAGACCTGAAAGTTGTACTCGAGTTTACTCGCATTGAGAAGTTAGGTGGCCTTCATCTGCGGATCTGCTGCTGCAGCGTATGGATGTCCGTCTCACAGCTTAATCCTGATCCTGTGTAGTCATCATGTGAGGACGACGAAGGTGATGTATCAGTGCCAAGTTCTTGTCGATTCTCTCCTCCTCTGGCCAGGAAGTGTGCCTCCTGGCTTCGTCTCTTCCCAACTGCCTCCTCCCACTCTGACCTGCGCAGTTAGTTGTAGCCACAGACTCACGACAAAACTCTACTGCATTTGTACTACTCTATCAAGAGAGCAACATTGCAGTCCACAAACAAAATCGCCAGCTTATAGACGGACATTGTTAGCAACCAAAACAGATTGTTGTTATCACATCACATGTGTGCTCTACCAGCCTTGCGCGTGACTGATGCACAATCATATTTTCTCAATCATCTCTTTCTGAGCCTCGAATGGATCTTACGAAACCTCCACGTGCATACACTATCTACACGATAATTATAGTAATTCAGGTTGCTTAATGAGTTCAGAGGTCATGACTAAGGGTGCCTGCACATGCTGTATACACGTGTGCATAGGTAAAAGGTGAAATAAAATGTTTACTGAAGAACTGTGGTTGTCTCGGAGGGTCCTCTCGACTCAGTGGCAAAAGAGCAGCTCTCGATCTGGCCATCTCCTGTCGGTGGGCTCTCAACTGAGTGTGTGCCTGCTCCTCATCTCTCCAGAACCAGGTCTACCTCCTCCGCCTGCTTCTCAGTACTTGACGTACTGGTCCGTCCTGAGACTTCAGCTCCTGAGGGTGTCAAGTGTGTATATAGACCATATATATAGGTAGACTGTAAACATTGTTCCGTGAAAAAGAATGCATTGCTTGGTTTTTCAGGAAATTTTTTGTCAAACTTCAAGCTGCCACTTCACAATAAAATTGCACAATATTATGATTTTCTAAGCATTTGGCCAATAAAATCCTTCACAGATTCCTGTGTTACAACTGATACTGCACAAAAACATGCACAATTTGAATTAGAGTGTGTTTTACAATTTTCTCAACCTGTTGGAAGTCATTCACAAGTTTGTCTTTTTCGTCAGTCATGGCATCACACGCCGCCTTTTGCTGTAGAATCAGCTTTTGTATCTCCTGCAGTGTTGCAATATTACATCATAGAGCAGGAGAGCAACCAGTAGAAAATAATTATGATAAGTTTAAACCTGTAGAGCATTACACACCTGTGGGATGGTGCTGTTCTTGGCTGTGCTCCATTTCTTCATGATCTCTTCAAACCTCTCCTCACCAGCTGTAGCCTCAGCCTCCAGTTTCTCATACCTATATATGCAGTATAGTAAAATGTCGTGGACACTTGATATGTATCGATCCATGCTGCTATAGATTCCAAATCACAGATTACTTGGTAGATATGGATTCCCAACCACAAAATCTTATTGCTGAGAAGAGTCAAATGTGCTGCACTAGTCTCAATGGTGCAGTGACTGACTGACCTGGCATTGCGGGCCTCCTCCTGCTGATTCCTGCACTGCACTTCTCTTGCGTCTTCAGCCACCCTCACGTTGCTCACCAGCTCGCTCCCGTCACTGCTCAGCTTGTCCAGTCTCAGAAAGCTCTTTTCCACCTGCTTCCAGCTCACTCTCTCCTTCTCCTCGTCCACCTCCTCCTCCACTGCCTGCAACAGTCAGAGACAGAGGAGTCGAGTCCGACTTGTGCTGGTGGCCGTTTCACTGACCTCCTCTGGTTCTTCCCCTGCTTCTGTCCGTCGCTTGGCTTCGAGCTTGGATTCAACGCGCCTCCTCCTTGCCAGAATCCTCTCCTGTTTCTCCCTCTTTCTCTCTGCCTCCTGAGTGTCCACAGGCTGGCTTCCACTGGCATCTGCAGCCTCCATCTTTGCCCACGCAAACACAGACACTGCCAAAGAAGTTAGTAGTTCGTACTGCGTGTGTAGCAAAGAGACAATCTCAGGGTGAGTTGAGTTTTAGCAAAATTTCTCCCGTGCAGTGGCAGTGCAACTTCGCCACTGTCGTCATGGCGACAAAACATTGCGGGCGGTTCGATATTACTTGCTCTTTCGTTAAATTAGATAGTTTCGCTGACCTTGCAAAATCCCCAGAAAAGTCCCTCTATACCCAAACACCGAACAAGAAACGAGCGCAGAATCGACGACGATCTCCTGATAGATTTAGCTGGGGATATACTGACTCTTTGCTCTCATAGTCCGTGAGTTGAAGTGAGTATTAGATCGGCCGTGGGCCGCGGGCCTTCGATCGGGCCGTTATGGTACCTTGTGTACCCACATATATATTTACTTTAGCCACGAGACATTTTAGTGGTGTAGAGCGGGGAAGGGATGGCGGACGCGGACCCCGAGATGCTGTTGGACTGGCTGACGCTGGCCCAGGGCGAGGAATCTCGGGACATTCAGCTGGTGGCCCTGGAGCAGCTCTGCATGCTCCTTCTCATGGCGGACAACGTTGACAAGTGCTTCGAATCGTGAGTGCTGTAATGTGTATGATGGTGTATTATGTATGGATCGTGATTCAAGAACAGTTATTTACATTTTAGGGTGGTAATGGGGTGTACTGCCCCTGTATAATTAGTGTACTCTCCCTACAGGTTACTACATGATGTAGTTGGTATGTGGCACATCGTTAAAGGTAGAATTGGCATGAAATTGAGAGTACATTACGTATAGGCTTTGATGCACTGTTGTATATGCTTGGCCTTGCAGTGTAACAGTATGAGGCCAGAGATTGGTGAAGGTTTAGCAGCTGCTTCTCGTGTGTAGTTTGCACTCTTCTGCACTGAATTTGCAGTGAATGTTGAGAAGGGAGGAGAGGGGAAATTGATCTACGATTTTTATGTCTCGACAGTGGGTCTTTCGTCAGTACAATACCCTGAGGCTACATAGATAGACGTATATATGACATGCAAACCTGCTTCATGACTACATATTTATTGTGTGTAGCTATATAGGTTTTCAGTATGTAGCAGTGTTTGCCGTGCATGGCCTGTGCAACCACATCAAAAGGTGTCTTAGGAAGTGCGTAATTTGCTCAGAGCCCCCTGCTGATTATGCACTCAGTCATGTAGCCACACCAGTAATATGTCACGGCTTGCGCTATGTACACACAGTATACACTGAGCAATTTTGTCTCGCTAAGCACTGCGTTCACCTCCAGCTTTTGTGGCTGAGTACCTCATATCTCGGTGTAGTGTGGGCATAGACAAGACAACATTGACGGGCAGTTCAGCTGGCACTGGCCTAAGACACAACCACTTAATCAGTGGGTGCCTTGAGACAGTGCAAACATAGTGCCTTCCCCACAGTGGAAAACCACATTAAAGCTCCTTCCACTTATGTATATCTACAGTGTTTTTGGGTGAATAATGGCCAATGGAGCCAACAAAAGCACTATATATACAAGTGTATGTGTGAGGGGGTTTGTTTGTGCAGGTGTCCACCGAGGGCCTTCATCCCGGCACTCTGCAAGATATTTATGGACGCGGAGGCTCCCGACAATATCCTAGAGGTGACGGCACGAGCCCTCACCTACTATCTCGACGTCTCGGTTGACTGTACGCGGAGGATCACGGCGGTGGACGGAGCCCTGAAGGCCATCATTGGCAGGATGCAGGCTGCCGACATGCAGTGTCGCGCCAGCAAAGATCTCGCTGAACAGTGCGTGAAGGTGAGCAAACTCCACAGGATGCAACTTTTATCGTGTGCCATCTACCACTGTTTCTGGCTCTTTTTCTCTGTGTAATAACTACATGCTATCGCTTACACGTACCATTGGCTCTAGTTTTCTCTTGTAGCTCTATTTTTTCCTTGTCTGTATCTCTTCCAGTTTCAATGTGAATTTGGTATACAGAACATGTTGAAAATTTCAATAGTATATACATGTGTGTCACCGGGTGGTTTCTAGGAAATGGTGTAATGGGTTCAATGGCTAGTATTGTCTGTTCTGACCTCCCACTTACATATCCCAGACAAAGCTGTGACAGTTGCTCCTCCCTTTACACTGGCCTTTGTTGTCATGTGCATGTACAGTCTATATGTGGATTGAGCTCAACTTTCTCTTTCCACTTTCCTTCTTCTCTCTCTCTCTCTCTCTCTCTCTCTCTCTCTTTCTCGTCCCTCTCCTGTTTTTACTCTCTTTCTCATCCCCTTTCCTCTCCCTTCTCTCTCTCAACCCCTCCCTCTCTTCTTTCCTCCCCATCCTCCAATTGGAACACGGCAGGTCCTGGAGCTGGCATGCGCCAGAGAGTCAGACAAGGTCTACGATGCCGGCGCTCTTCCTGCAGCCACAAGCCTCCTCATTCACCACGCCTCCTCTCTCCATCGCGACACCGTCCAGTCCTGCATGAACATGGTGACCCGCCTAGTCCCTCGGGTGGAGCCCAAAGACTCCGCCCTCGAGGACTGCGTCGCTTCTCTATCGCAGCTGCTTCAGAACTCCGAGCCTCACATTTCTGACCCGACGCTCAAGTGTTTCATGATGCTGGCCGACAGATTCATCAGGAGAGGTCGTGACCCCGCCCCCATCGCCGAGAATGGGTTACTACCCGAGCTGATTGGTCGGTTAAAGAGTTTGAACGTCGGCGGTGGTGGTCCGTCTTCGTCTGCTTCGTCGACGTCCGGTCCTATTGGTACCACTCCGGAGCGACCGTCGGGGCCACACCGTGACCACTATTGTCAGTCTTCTGTCCACTCTCTGCAGGGGTTCTCCTACCATCACCAATGTAGGTTGACCTGTGTGTGTGTGTATGTGTTACAAGCAGGAGGTAGAAAAACATATGTAGAATGTCTAGCAGTCACCTCTTAACATAGCGGTCTACTGGCAACCAAAAAGATCGTCATACAGTAGAGAGACGTATGACACTGAACAAAAACGTGTATTTACTGCGAGTGAAACTTATACACGTACTATGTAGTGAAAAACTTACACAGTAGTAATGTGCTAAACTATACTTCGTGCACACATTATGCTGTACTATTTCTCCCTATATTTCCTTCCTTCTGTCTGTACGCTCCCTCGTTATGTATGACATGTAACTACACCATCTCTCTCTTCTTCCTCCCCCCGAACAGTCTCTGCTGGACTCTGACCTCCCGTCGGCCCTGGAGAGCGCGCTGCGAGGTGACGAACGGACGGCGCTGGACGTGATGCGACTCGTCGAGCTTCTCCTGGTGCTCATCATGGAGGGAAGGAAGGCCCTCCCCAAGACATCTCATCTCGCCGGCATCCCTCGTAAACTGGACAGCTTCTCCGGTGATCGCAATCACAGACAGGTATCCATATCAACATGTATGTATTGTATCGAGAGCCGTAATATATTTTGACGTGCAATGCACAGTTTTTGAAATATTTTTGCGGGATACCACAATTTATTGCCCCCACCAACTATTAACCGTGAGAAATATAAACCTTTGAACGTTGGTGTTGTAGGTTATAGAGAGCATGGACGTTCAAAGGCATCATCCACAATAGACCATTCAGTCGGAACAACAGCCAGATCCATTACCGACATTTATTCAATAGTTTTTACTGTGCCTCTCAATTTCTGCACTAGACCCACACCAAATGTAATTGAGCACTATTATTCAGGGGGGGGCCCTACAGAAACTCGGTATTTAGCACTATTAATGATTTACGATTTACACAGCATTATATATATTATACTTCTGTGTTTGTTGTGTGTGTGTGTGCAGGTTATAGAGGCCATTCGGTCCAGCAACAACGACGAGTTCTTTGAAGCTATGGAAAGTGGTAAGACACCCTGACTAACGAGACAATCCACATGCACACTGTGTGTGCTTCCGCAAGGTTTCGAGAGTACAAGTTGAAGGGGCTAAAATTGCCCGTGAAACCGTTGCACTATAACTGTGTACATCAGATTAAGTACAGTAGTGTATAACTGGCTGCCAAGAGTCTGTCAGCTTTTCTCTGTTGCTAAAATACGGACATTCAATAGGTTGGTAGAGTAGGAATGTTGGTGTGTTACTGACCTTTGCACCTGCGTGGGCATCTCTGCCCCCCACTGTCTGCCAGGATTCGATGTGAATTTCATGGACGACGTGGGACAGACACTCCTGAACTGGGCCGCGGCTTTTGGCTCCTTCGAGATGGTCAGTAATTGCCTTTTGTATCTTCTATCTCTAACTGAATAACACCGAATTGAAAGATGTACGCATGTATATAAAATGAAGTAATGTTTCATCCTTTAACGATGTAAAAAGGGGGAACGTTTTTGCCAACACAAAACTTGTGGATCATTAGCTGAAGCATATGCAACTTATGCTTCAGCATAAGTGAATAGATATACATACTTACTGTAGTATGGGTTGATATGTATGTATGTCGTATGTTTGACTGATGTTCACGTTTTGTCCCCTTTGATGTGTGTGTCGCAAGCATGCCATGCACCCACTATTTTGTAAAATCGTAATACATGAATCCTCGAAGACTTTCTACTATTATTATGTATGTGTGCAGGTGGAATATCTGCTGGAGCATGGAGCAGACGTTAACAGAGGAGTCAAGTCTTCCTCGCTACACTACGCCGCATGTTTCGGCCGCCCCAACATCGTTAAACTGCTGCTGCAGTATGGAGCCGACCCCGAGTTGAGAGACGAGGACGGACACACCCCCCTGGAGAAGGCGCAGGAGAGGGGGGACGAGTGGCATCGACAGGTCATTGAGATCCTTGAGAACCCCAGTAAGTGACGGGAGGAGGGGAGGAGGAGGAAGAACGTTAGGCAGGAGAGAGAGAGAGGAAATTGCATTGCGATGGCTGGTGATTGGTGCTGATGTTTGCCCGAGGCGCTCTGAATGTCAGAGTGAAGAAATTACACAAAATGCAGGAGTAATTTGTATATATATATATGCCTCGCTGGTCCCTTCCCCGTGCTGAGAAGGGTTTACTGCCTGCCTTGAACGTTTCCCTATATAAAGCAATACTGAAAACCCTCATGTGTTACTAGAACGAATACACACATTTTTGGCTGAGCGTGCGTTAGCTGTAAAAAATTTTAGAATGAAATTATTTTCGCGCAAACTTATAGAATCACGTGTAGAACATTACTGTATGTGGAGTATCTGTTACATAAAAAAAAATGAGCACTAAGATGACTAGATACGTACGTAGTAGTAGCTCCAAAATCATATTTTTGAGCGAAAGTGGAAAGTGTTCCCCAGTGGCATTAGTAGTACACATTATGTTTCTGTCGGAACTAATTTGGCTACCTCGGAAATGGTTTTTTGTGGGTATTCCAAAGCCGCATAAAACTTCAACTGGTCTTCCTACTGCAGGTGAGTACATGTTACACGATGGCTCTGATTCAGAAGACTCGTTCACTGACGACGGAGAGGGGGAGGAGGGGGAGAGGGGGAGGGAGGCAGAGAGGAGAGAGAGGGGAGGAGGAAGAGAGACGGAGAAGGAGGGGGAAAAGAGCGACACAATCCTCCCGTCTGGTCCACCCTCAACCAGTTCTGCAGTGGGAGGAGAGGGGAAGGGAGGAGGGGCAGAGGGGGAGGGGAAGGGAGGAGGTGAGAAGGAGACAGGGGTGAGTGAGGAGGAGAAGGGGAACCCAGAAATGGCTCCAGTCTACCTCAAGAAAATGCTCCCTGTGTTTGCCGAGTTGTTTCATTCCAGTCTAGCACCCACTCTCAGGTGTGAATTGCATTTTTGAAACATGTACGAAAGGCAAATACAGTGGATACTCCCAGCTACATATTTGAGTAACGTGTATCTGTGTCGTACCATAGAGTCTGAGGCTTTCCCCCTGCCTCAGAGTGTCTGTGAGTTCAAATCCCAGAGAGGGTTTTTTCAGTTGTAGTTGAATTGTATTTACTTGCTGCCTTGGTGTACTACACACCCATGGCCATATTCCTATGTATGCAGGAAGGAGTCTCTGCGTGTGCTGAGGAAGATGTGTCGCTATCTGACCAAGGAATGGCTGGCGGAGCTGTGTGAGGAGGTACCCAGTGACCCTCAGCGACCCCCGTTCATCGCCTCCATCAGCGAGGTCCTCGCTGCCGTCTTAGAGAATGAGGTCGGCCAGGGAAATCCCCCTTTTTTAATGCAAGACGGGCACTAAATGGAAATGTAAACAACGATTGTGTGATCGAGTGAACATAGTTTCATTTGGGAGAAAGACTGAAGTAGGAAGGAAACAACAAGCGGCGCTATATTTTTTCAACCCTATTCAACCTCTTTTCGGGATGATTGGTTTTCCCTCTTATGCCTGCTGATTTGAATATTTTGCGTCACTCTTGATGGGAAATTTTCACTGCACACTCGAGCCATGTTCAAGGCGTTTACAACGATTGGTTTGTCTATTTTCCACCTCACGTGCTTACTAAAAGTACGAAAAAAATTAGGCCTTATTATTGGGTTGTGTACATTGCATAATCAGGATGATCAGTTTTCCACCTCTCGTTCTCACTAAAACTAGGCCACTTAGTCACTTCTGAGCATTACACTGCACACTTCAGCTTTAGTCAAAGTGTTCAGGATGACTAGTTTGCCCGTCCCTTTCCTCATGAACTTACTAAAAATACGAAAATATTTAGGCATGCTTTTTCCTCGGTCACTCTTACACACTGCAGCTAAAGTCAGTGTTTCCCTTATGTGTACATACTTTTGATACACACTCAATTTGATTATTTCTCTCCCTCTCTCGAATCCTCCCCACCCCCAGGACGACACAGAAAGCCATCTGGCAGCCCTGTACATCCTCCAGACCTACTAGCAAAACACTGCCCCGGCCTTCGAGGAGCAGTTTGCCAGACTTGGACTCCAGCTCAAGATCCAGGCCCTCGCCGGTCTCCCTCCCACGCCCGACACCGTCGACACGGCCATGGACACTGCCCCGAGCGGCGGTGAGACGGACGAGAAACCGGGGGAGAAGGGAGACGGAGGAGACGAGAAGACAGATGGCGGGAGTGTGCCAGCCACCACCACCACCACCTCGGAGCTGGAGGACGCGACGGAGCTGGGCACGTTCACCGCCTACCACTGGAAGGAGTGGAGCGTGGTGAGGTCCCAGGACTGTCTCTACCTGTGGAACGAGTTCTGTTCGCTGGAGCTGTCGAGTGTGAGCAATGGCTGGTTCAGGTTTCTGCTGGACAACAAGCTGGCCACCATGTACTCCAGTGGCAGCACAGAGGGAGGCCCCGACTCATTTGGTGAGACATGCACTGCTGCAGTGCATCCCAACTATACTTATGTAGCAGTGTGACAAACTGGTAAACTTACACGGTGAATTTCTACGCCTTTGGTCACGCTCGGGCAGACATCTACAGAGAACGTATTCTGATAACTTACACAGTAGTGTTTGTATGCCTTTTGTCGTGCTTAAGGCAGTCTGAATTCATACAGACATATAAGAGTTGAATTGTTGTAATGAAGTGTGTGTTGGTGTGTTGAACCTTCTTGCTTCATGCACATTGATAATGTACACAGAAAAAAGGTTTAAAAAAAGAAGATCACTTATACTATATATACTTTAAGTACAGTCACCGACAAAGACAAGCCTGACCTCACTTTTTACCAGTTTGTCTCAACGACCACCCTTCTCCTCCCACTCTATACCATTGATAATCATATAGTAGTTATCGAGCTCACACTGTCATCTTCACCCCATTTCCCACAGAGAATAGAGTGGAGTTTCTGGAGAAGCTGCAGCGAGTGTGCGGCCAGATCTCGGCCTCCTCCCCCATGGTCCCCATCCTCTCCTCCCCGGGGCCGTGTAGACTGGCAGTCGGCAATTGGAGCCTCTCCTCCCAGAAGGAAGGAGAGGTGGCCATCAGGAACTCCGACGGAACCAGGGTGAGGCCTGCGTTACCGCATGTATGCGCACTGCATACACCATAGCCCAGGAGAGGTCTCTAAGTTTTAGCATAAAGCAGGACAATTTCAAGGGAGCAAACAAAATTTTTGAAGGTGGTAACAAAATCTTAACATGTTTCTCAACATAATTTTGAGCACTAAACCGTTTGTTCAGTGCAACAAATAATCCGGGTAAGTTTACTTCACAGTTATTTGCTACTGAACAGCGCAGTTTTCTCTCTTCCTGCTTCACAATACATGTATATACACATTACAGAACTGTATAGTACATGTGTGAGATATCTGAGAGTCAGGTAGCACATGTTGTGAGTCCTGTCGTTGCTGTTTTACAGCAAGTGACGTTGCTAAGGGAGTCTCTTCACGGCTTTGTGTTTGAGTCCAACCGAGGGACTCGGGTTACCATGACAGCCAACTCCCCACTGGGTCCTCAGTTCAACTTTGGCTGGAACAACAAGAAAGGGAAGAAGTTGAAGACGAAAAATGACGTCACCAAAGACAAGGTACGCGTTTTATATATTACTATTCTGCAGTCATTGTTTGAAAGTGCAATTTGCAAGCAAAGTGAGGCTATATATAGGTTAGACGCGGAAGCGAGGTGTCTACGCTACATTGCAACCCGAGGGGCTGTGGAATGTTGGCGTCCCGAGCGCAGCGAGGGCGCTACCCACATGCCCCGAGGGTTGCAATGTTGCGTAGACAACCGAGCTTCCGCGTCTAACCGGTTTAGACCGGAGTATCTGATTGGTGTTTGCGCGTTCAAATGGGTAGCAACAAGCTAGCAACGCTGCGCTCATTCCTCCTCATTCCTTACCTTCGGATGGAACAAGACGCTTTTTTACGTGTGAGACTCCGACGAGACAGCCCCCGCCCCCCGTCAAAAATCGTTTACGTCATCATAAAACGCCCTCATTGGTGGTGAAGGGTTAGCAACGCACGGCAACGGCCCAATGTGTTTGTGTATCGCCAGAGCTGAAGAAGCCGACGCTTTTTTCGTGGAATATTGACGTGATTTCTGACTTTCGCGAGCTCCGGAGACTGTCCACAGACTTCTTGCAGGTGCACTACGCATTTTAAAAGAGCTACTTTGCCAGTCGCGCCTTCTACGCTTACATATACCGAACGCGGAATCGGCCGGTTTGCGCAGATAACGACTTTTGAGAATAGCCATTTTGTACGGGGAGTTTGCTGTAGACCACCTGCAACGAGGTGTCTATGAAAAATAAACCCCCCGCAATTCTGTAATCTGATTGGTCAATTGCGCGTGACTGCGGTCTAAACCTAAATAGTCGTCTGGTAAATTGAAAATGTAGATGGTGCTGTCACCAAACTGTTTTTGCGCGGCGGATGCACGCCTTATTCATAATGTTTAGTAAGAGAGGGTTGTACATACAAGTTCAGTAAAATCCCGATCACTCAGGCTCTGCCCAAGAGTAGTCATAGTGTTTAGTAAGAGAGGGTTGTACATACAAGTTCAGTAAAAATCCCGATCACTCAGGCTCAGAAGAGTGGTCTCTGTGTGAAGTATTAGATGTGTGTGTTATCACGTATGCTAGTATATAGGGATGACACAGGTTGTCCAGCATTATGCCCACACATTTGAGATTTTCACACTTCACTTCATGTTCTCCATAATTTATTGTGCGCAGGTTCAGGCTCTGGCACAAGAGCTACAGTCACTCCATTTCTCAGAGGCCCAGGAGAGTACGAGGAAGGTGGCCTCGGAGCTCCGGGCCATCCTCGTCAGCCTCGAGGGAGCCTGCCTCTCTCACGAGGACGGAACTGTGAGTAAAACTTGAGAGCCGAATGTGTATTTCCGCTGAGAAAGAGCTCTCTCTCTCGTGAAAAGTGGTGTCCTATAGTGTCGTTGAATTATTTGATGTGCGCTTAACTTGATGTGTTTACGCCCTGATTCATGCTGCGACATGATAGACAGCGAGTTCGTGAAATCTACACGCATTAGAAGCCCGAGGGCCCTTGTGTGTTAGGGCCCTCGGGCTTATAACTATAACACACGTCGAATTCAACAGACGAAACGCCTAACCTATATGTAGTAAGTACTAATCGATTGACGTTCAATATTGTTGTCACGCGTAAACTCGATGCGAGTTACTACGACATTTAGTAAATACGTTTTCACGTGTACTAAACACAATATAATTATGTGTGTACATAATCACGTGTATATATACCCATGCAGCCGCTGGAGTCAGGTCTGGGTTGGAAGGAGGAACTGGAGTGGGCTATCAAGGCCCTGGCTCTGCTGCTGAGAGACGAGAAGACCATCTCTGCCTACGAGGTCCACACCAACCGACTGGTCCCTATCCTCCTCCACTGCCTCCTCGGCCCAGGGAAGAGGGGTGGGGCAGGGGGCGTACCTTCCAGGGAGAGGGCCGAGGGCTTCAGGAGGATTTTTGCTGAGTCGGCACAGGAAGCTCCGACTGACCTCGATTCAAGGTCAGTCCAAAATTTTGTGGCTTCAGACAAATTTTTTACTGGTCTGCAACAACTGACAGTGATCTTTTCTACAATCGAAAATCTCCACGTGACACCAATTTTTGCTGAAGAGTATTTTCCCCTTATCTTCATGCGGACTCTTGCCGAAACGTTTTTCTCTAATGTAATGTACGCTTGTGTTTCCTTCTTATTTCCCCTTCTTTCCTCTCCCCTCTTCCGCCTTTCTCTTTCTCTTTAACCTTAACCTGCTCCGTTCTCCTTCCCGTCCACCTTCTTCTCTGCGCCCTCCACCACCAGTACTGCCAGTGTGTCAGTTGTGAGTCCGGCGGTGGGTCTGGTCAGGAAACTGGTGGGTGTCCTGGAGGCTGTGGAGAAACTGCCAGTCTACGTACACTGAGACTGGGGGACAGGTTCTTAACCTACAGGTACAGTATATACTAAGGCCTTTCACATTGTACGGTACTGTATGACCGGGAGATTTTGCATTTGCCATCATTTGAGTTTGCCATTATTTGAGTTTGTTGGGGAGGTTCAGCGGTTTGGAGAACAGTTTCAGGAAAACTCTTTAGCTTTTTCTGAATGTGCGTGTCATGGTTTCTCTGATCTCTATAATAGCTGTAAAACACACAAGAGCTTTCAAGTCACCGTTTTGAAGAGCAAGTCACTTGTTGATTTGTAGAACCAAGACCACAGTACATCCGTGTCCTCTCTATATCTCACGGTCCTATCTTGCCCATGTGCGTATCACAGGGTATACATCGTCGGTTGAGGCTGACTCTGGAGCGTACGACGGGACCGTGTGACCTGCGGGACTGCTCTGGGAAGACACTCCGCATCGAGCCCCTCGTCTCCGTCGACAACCTCGAGAAATTCCTCAACGGAATTGTGAGTGTGGCATTATTGTACCATCCAACGGTCTCAAGCAATTGACAGCCTCGGACAGTGAAATCGTAACGCATAGTGCAATCTGATTGGTCGGTTTGCTGAGTCCAATTCATAGTATATGGACCTGCAAACCCAAGTATACAGATAATTATGTGTAATGCGCACATAGAGTGTTAGATGGTACCTGCATTTTGTATGTATCACTCTTGGGGAGGGGTGTTAAATGAGATACAATCTGCAAAAAGTAAGTGCTTCATAAAAGCTCAGACTGCCCTACGTTTTGCAGCTACTACTCCCTAGGTTTATTTGCACTGCACTCTTCGGGTATTTCGAAGGTATGGATGATGGTTAGCTGGCCTGTTCTCTACCCCACTTGCTCGATAAAAGTACGAAAAGTTTCAGCCATCCAAACTCCATATTTTCGAGGTCACTTTGCACTCACGCTCACCAGCTGTGTAGTCATGGTTGGTTGATTGACCTGTACAGAAAAAACAATGTACTTGCGCTCTCCAGCTATTGTCAAGGTACTTGACATGGTTTGTTGACCTGTCTTTCCCCCCACCTTCTTGCTAAAAGTACGAAACCTTTGATGTTTTTTCCCCCGCAATCGCTCCTAAGCTCATACACATACATAGAACTACCAAAATGTATATACCACTACATTATAAACGTCACCTTTAGTTCCTCTATTAGTGTGTATATCTATTGCGTCTCCCCTGCACACAAGGTGGCCAAGCAGTGGTATGACTATGAGAGGGCTGCCTACCATTTTGTGCGCGTGGCCAGAGATATCACTGCCCCCATCCTCTGCAACAGAGTCTCCGACTTTGACAAGAACGGCATCATCTACTGGATTGGCTCCAACGCCAGGTGACCAGCCGCCCTTTCTTCCTCTTATCGCCTCACTCTCACCCTGGCTTTATAGGGTGTCTTACATACCTTCTCTCTCCTCTCTCTTTCCGCGTCCTTTTCTCTGTGGCATGTTTTCCTTTTTTCTGTTCCGTTGTGTTAATTTTTGGTCCTAGGACATTCAGTTTTATTTTGTAGTGTGGACAGACCTTTATCTGGCCCCCCTCTAAATATTTTAGTTTGTCGTTTTTACGTCAGATTATAGCCTGAGGGTTGGTCTAAGGTGTGTTTCGACAAAGATAGAAGGAAAGTGTTTCAGAGCATTTATGAAGTATGCGTCACGTATGTAGCCTTTTTTTTTGTTTTAGCTTCTATAACAGGCTTTTGCTACTATACTTTCACTTGGGAAATGTCCTCCTAAATCCTCTCTCCTCCTCCCTCCCTCCACCCTCCCTCCCTTCCTCCATCTCCCAGGTCGGCTGACTGGATCAACCCCTCGACAAAAGGTCTGGTTGTAGTCAGTTCGTCCGAAGGTCGCATCCTTCCCTACGGTACCCTGGACGATATTTTCTCTCGCGAGGAGACGCCGCGAAACTGCCACACGAAGGACGAGCGGAACAGCTGGTTTGCTGTCGACCTGGGCGTCCATATTTACCCCACTACATACACCCTCAGGTACTGTAAATGAGGTTTTACCCCACTACATACACCCTCAGGTACTGTAAATAAGGTTTACCCCACTGCATACACCCTCAGGTACTGTAAATAAGGTTTACCCCACTACATACACCCTCAGGTACTGTAAATAAGGTTTACCCCACTGCATACACCCTCAGGTACTGTAAATGAGGTTTACCCCACTACATACACCCTCAGGTACTGTAAATGAGGTTTACCCCACTGCATACACCCTCAGGTACTGTAAATAAGGTTTACCCCACTGCATACACCCTCAGGTACTGTAAATAAGGTTTACCCCACTGCATACACCCTCAGGTACTGTAAATAAGGTTTACCCCACTGCATACACCCTCAGGTACTGTAAATAAGGTTTACCCCACTGTTGTGGTCTGGTGTACTGTATAGTAATTATTTATTTCCCCCTGATTTACTAGACCTCGTTCGTTACACAAACAACAAATTGACCTCTAGTCCATATTAGTTTGTGTTTCCTAAACTGGAGAACTTGGAGGATACGCTGTGTAAACTTTCCTGAGAGCTGTTGTAGTATTTCCCTCCTGGATGTGACCAAGTGGTTGTGTCCTTTTCCCTCCCCCATTTTCACTCTTCCTCTTCCGGCTTTTCCCCCCTTTTGTGTATATACACTCGTGCTACTCCGTGTTTTCCCTCTTTGCCCTCTTCTTCCCTCTTACACCTTCTCCCTTTTATGGCTCCATCATGTTTTCTCCTCTTTCCTCCTCTCCCTATCTCTCTCTCTCTCTTACCTGTCTATTCCTATTTGAGGTGACCCATACTGTATTGCACGAGTAGCAATCCCTGACTGAACCGTGACACGTAAAAGTACATACCAACAGATCCAGAGAGAGAGATAGGCAAAAGCTAGATACACGAGGCTGGAGGTGCCACATTTAGGCCAAATTACAATAATGAAAAGTGGTAAAGTTTACTTCCTCAATAGTAAATCGCCACTCAATGGCTGTTTTGTTCTTGTCTGTTTCATTCCCTTCCTTATTTTATTCTCCAACCCTCCTCTCTATTCCTCTCTATCAGACATTCTCGCGGCTACGGGAGTCGCTCGGCGCTGCGGAACTGGCAGTTTCAGGTGTCCAAAGATGGTCACGAGTGGACCACCGTCCATAGACATGAGAACGATACCTCTCTCTGTGAACCAGGTACATACGTATGTGTATATTGCCAGGTCTCATACAACACAACACATCACATCACAAAGGCACACCTGAAACCACTGTGCTATGGCACAGTACAGTACTCCTCACACAGTATGTGAGGAGTACTATGAACGTGTGTACGTATTCTCTGGTGCAGGGACGACAGCAACATGGCCGCTAGCTCCACCAGAAGACCTCGAGGGATGGAGACATATTCGTCTGAAGGTGACAGGGCCTAACGCCTCGGGTCAGACCCACTATCTGTCGGTGTCGGGACTTGAAGTCTACGGGGAGATACGGGGACTGGCTGACGATGATCTCGGTAGGCGAACGTTACGAGCGTGATTCTGAGTTTTACTTTCAATTTGAAGGTAAAGCGGCGAGGGAGATAGAAGCGATGGTGAAGAAGCAGAGGAAGCACGTGAAGATTAACATCATGAAGAAGCTGACGACGGGGGCAAAGGTCGTTCGGGGGGTGGACTGGAAGTGGCGGGAACAGGACGGGAACCCATCTGGAATCGGGACCGTCACTGGGGAACTGAGAAATGGTATGTACAGAACTGTATGTACATACTGTACACAGGGAGGGAGAGGGAATGGGGGAGAGGCAAATACACAGGGATGTCGAAAAGCTTTTATCGCAGTTTTTTAGGTCAAAGAGGAGCAGGGGGCTGTGCAATTGTGCTCTGTGCTCTAATCATGATTTTAAATACACCTACGAAAAATTTAACTATTCACGTTCACTCATAATTCGTTCTAGAATTCAGTAGGGGGCTTTTTAAGTGATCCTAGGCTGCGTCAAAAAACAAACCTACTTATACTTACAAGAACAACTTTCAGATTCGTTACACGGATAAGAAATGGCAGCGAGAGAAAATGTGCACTGCACCCACGTCGATGGGCCTACAACCAGAAGTCATGACAACCACGCAGTGTAACACTAACTCTAGCCGTAACTCCAACCTAAAAGCCACGGCAACCAAGCCTAGGTGTCACGTGAACACACGACAACCAATTTTACCTTTCAGAGGTTATTTTCACCCCCAACAACCACGCTTGCAGCCCTAACAACCGAGTTATGAGTCACATCTTAACTCGTGACAACCGAGGTATATGGCAACCTGGGTAGAACTCAGACGTACACATGACAACCGCGGCTGTTCTGGACACCGTAAGTCCTTTGTCTCGTGTGCGTGCCTTTCCAGCCAGCTAGCAGGCCAAACTATTTGCTACTTCCTCCCTCTTATCTTTTCCTCGTAACTTCCACCGCACGCTATGAACGTGCCAATTTGGTAGCCTCCAACTTCTACCCGAGCCGTGCCAAACATTCGGAAGTTCAGTACAAACAGCAAGTTCCAATCTCTTTAATAGTCGGCAGACTGGGCCTTCCTTCCGGGGAAAGGCGTAAAGTCGTAGGTGGGATGCTGACAGCGTGTTCCAGGGTATGTCTTCTGGAATGGAACCTCAGTAATAGGAAGTACAATACTATTCCTGGTTGAGCCTTAACCAGTACCATAATCTAGAGAAGAGCAATATATCCCATGGCAGTGTTTCTGTGAAAAGAACCCCATGTCTAGTTCTCAGAGGTTCTAGTGCATAAGTGGAACTGGTGGCACACACACTACCAACAACACCTTACGAAGAGCCTTGTGGGAGTACAAAAGGACGTAAGTACATTTGCAGGAGAGAAGAAGCCTTCATTATAATACTAAGCCACTGGAAGTGAGTCATTGCCCTAAGGGAAGATAACTGTACTCTCTTATTGACAAGAGGTGGACCTTTAGCACCGCTGAATAGTTTCGTAGGCGTCCCTATATTTAAGAGGTAGTTAGAGTACAGTTCCCTCTATTTGTGGGTATGAGTCACTTCCAGTGGCTTGGTCTACCACAGTGTGTGGGGTTGGTGGTACAATATACATATGGGAAGAGAGGAAGTGAGAGTGAGGAAGGAAGGGAGATGGAGAGGATGGGTAGGCAGAAGGAGTGAACGTAGTGATAGACAGAGAGAAACAGAGAACACGATGGGAGTGAGAGGGAGGGGAGAATAAAGTATGTGAGTTGGAAGGAGTGATGGAGTGCATGATCTTCTTCTCTTCAGGTTGGATAGAAGTTGCAGTGGGATCACGGAGGTGGCCAACTCGTATCGCATGGGGGCAGAGGGCAAGTATGACTTGACTCTGGCTGACGACCCCCAGCCGACAGCCCCCCAGACCACACCATCCGAGACCACACCCTCTCAGACCACACCCCCTCAGACCTCGGGAGAGACCAGTGGCAGAGACACCCCCCCTCCCTCCTCTCAGTCATCCAGCAGCAAGTGACTAACTACATGTGGTTAACCTATTAATTCTATCCTCAGAACTTGCTCAAAATGTCATGAAATCAGTGCACTTTCAATCAAATTGTTATGCAGCCTGTCCTACGTAGTACAGCATATCCTAGCATAAACTCTACGGCACTAGAGGCCTTGGAAATTCTAGTTTGACTATCACAGACTCATTCTCCAACTGTTCATTTCCCTCCCCCCCTCCTCCCTGACGTTTCTCCCAACAGGGCGGTGGGGATCGACTCTCTGCTGCAGGCACTGGGAGCCGCAGGAGCCGACCACTCTGCGGCCGCCCAACAGCTGCGGGCGGAGATTGAGAGACTCGAGCAGCAGGAGGCGGAGCTGTTGGACTACGGCGAGCAGGACGAGGAGGAAGAGGACGATATGGTGAGAGGCCTTCAGCTTCCTTTAAGACTGGCGAATCCAGGGGGGGTTCATTGAGTTCCGCGGAACCCCCTTTTTGTCGTTTTGCGCGCATGCGTCGCCGACCTCGTGCGCATGCACGATCGCAGCCGAAAACGTTCTGGACAGCGGAACCCCCCTTTCAAAATCCTAGATCCGCCACTGTAAGAGCTATGTACTACATGCACTCCACTCGCTCTCTGTATATACCATGCAGTGCATGTCTCACATGTTGCTCGCTTAGTTCATTCGTTTGGATTTTGATGACGTGAGAGTGGCCATCAAGATACTTGTAGTCTTCTCCAAAGAAAAATCACACACATACATACATACGGGCACAAACAACTTCATGACCTTACTTTTACATTCGATTGTGTGGGCTGGAAGAGGTTAATTAATGTAGAGACGACGAGTCTCACCTTTACTTACCATAGATTCAAATTAGTCTGTCTGAGGTCGCTCGGCTGATCCCTGCCCACTATAATGGTGTGCATATATGAAGTAGTGTGTAGAGTAGGAGTGTGTGTGAGTCAGTTCAAGTGGGAGTGTATAGGTGTAGTGACCTGTACTCCCACTTGAACTGACTCATACATGTGAGGTTAAAGTCTGGTACAAATGTGGTTGTGCCAGTGGCCTAGTCACTGGGTAAGAATGCCTCCTTCATAGTATACTGTAGTTTGTCTCCCTTTTCTCTGCTGCCATGTATAGTATATGGTATCTAGCCAGCTGTTGAAACAGTGTTCACCTCTCCATATTTAACTGGTGATTGTTAACTTACTACTCCATTAAATATCTCAACCTCCTTGTATGTAGCTAGTGATGGTTAACTTATGTCAACTACATAGGTATGGAGACAGAAAAATTGACATATATGGTATGAACACGCTCCCTCTCCAGTAGTAATTCCCTTATGAATATGATTATATGACCCATGGGAGCGTGACCCACTACAACGGGGACGTGCAGTATGATCGGTTGCATAGACTGAGTGTGAGGGTTGTGATTTTGGGAACAGTTGCAGGGGAAACTGTCTGCTCATTGTGTGGCTGTCTGAGGTCATTTCTGTCTGCTGGCTTTGTCTGTGTTCTTCCACTCTCTTGACTCGTCGCTACGTTTCTTTACCATCTCTAGTGGTGGGTTTTTAGATTGGGATGTATGACACACTGCCCCCCACCCCCACCCCCTCTTCTTAGCGAACTCTGTTGGATTAATTTTGCGCTGGGTTGAGGTTGAATACGGTGCTTCGTTTCTTTCTCTCTATTTGTTACGAGTTCTAAACGCGATCTTTGCTTACTGTGTTTTAAGAATTCCGTGTTTTTACGCTCCCTCCCTCCCTCCTCTCTTCTCCTCTCCCCTCCCTCCCTCCTCCCTCCTCCCTCCTCTCTCCTCTCTCCTCCCTCCTCTCTCCTCCTCCTCCCTCCTCTCTCCTCTCTCCTCTCTCTCCTCCTCCCTCCCTCCCCTCTCCTCCTCTCTCTCTCTCTCTCAGTATGAAGAGATGGCAGTGGGAAGGCGAAGCTGGGAAGAAGATTACGTCCTCAAGCAAGCGTTCCCGGCCCTGGTCCCTGCCTTTGACCCTCGACCTGGCCGATCCAACATCTCACAGATACAGAACTTTGAGGTTCCTCCACCAGGTACATACTTGTATATAGTGTGTGCACTAGACGCTCTTGCACACTAACTTATGGCGGGAACCTTTTTCAACAGTTTACCTACATTTATTGCTCCGTTGTGTAAAGCGTGCTGCGAAGAGTGTTTAGCATACGCTGAGACATGAAGTTGAACACGAGTATAGAGTCTGCTATTGACACACTAGACAGAGCTACTTATGAGGAGAGCTAAAATTGACACTAGCTTTGTAGCACTGCTTTGTTGCTGCTTTTAAAAAATGTGTTCACTTGAGGGTTTTTTGCGTCGTGGAAGTGCTTTGAGAATGCTGTGCCCTAGCCCTATATTGTGGCCTACTAACCTACTAGTTTCCTAACTTCTACGACTAAGGCTATATTGCTCTACAACTATAACCACAGGGTCAGAACAGCAGACAGGGAACAGGGAGCCGGTGTCTCCCCAGCCACAGCTACAACCTGTGAAGCTAGAGCTGATTCTACGAGTGGGTGCATTTCATTGCCATGCAGAAGTACTGTGTAATTCTATGGACTATATGTAGGGTATTTGTATGGGTCGTGCGTCACATGAGGTAGAAAGTGAGTCTTGTATTGCAGAAAATTTACCTTTTTCCTGGAGCTTTTCTGCTGAGATATTGTATACATGAGCACATCAGCCCAAGTCCATAATTAATCCACCTCCTTTTTTTCTCTCTTCTTTCTCCCCCCTTCCTCCTCCTTCCCTCCCTCCAGTCTGCAGACACAGAAGTGTTGCTAGAGGACGGCTCCCGGTCAGTGTTCCACTACGTACAGCTGCTCCACTGTCGACAGCTGCAACAGAGACCCACCGACAAGCTGCGCCGCGTCTGGGACAACTCCTACTCTCTGGTCTACCAGGAGAGGGGTGCGGGGACCGGGAAAGGGTGGTCCGCTCAGTTCGTCTCTCGTCACATGGGCTCTGAGCGACTTCCGAAAGGCGACGTCATTCAGTATCTGCAGAAAAGGGCCAAGGTATATAACTAGAACAAACGCATAAAGAGAGCAGTTGGATTCGTCAATTATACATTTTAACCTGGTCTCTTTCAACATACACCCCTGAAATTGGGACACCTCTCTTATACGAACACCTTTTCTTTCCTAAGCAACGGATGTTGCATGCAATTCCCCCTGAAATAAGGACATTTCTCTAACATGGACTGTTTCTTCCGACTGTTTCTTCTGACTGTTTCTTCCACCAAATTTGTGTCCAGATTAGAGCAGTTCCGCTGTAAACCGCAATATCATAGCATTCAGTGTTTTTATTGGTTCCGATGGTCCTATTACTAACTGCTTTGGTATGTTTAGTAGTTCAACAAAGAATTGATTTGCTGCCCGTAGTTTAATTCTTTGTCTTGGTGAGTGGTGCTTCGTGGTCGCTCATTGTGTCTCTTCTGTGAAAGGGGTACATAGTTAATGTCAACAAATGGAAAGATTCTCCGAACAATTCACTCTACCCAGGGTACTGGAAGTTCGTTGAGTGACTTACTTGATCCTAATGTGGTTCCCTTCCTATACTCCTCCTTGCCTCACTGTCAATTGACAGAAATTAGGAGCAATTATGGCTAGGTCTTTAATGCTAATATAATATGTCCCGCAGCTCACGTCTGCCAAGCCAAAAGCTCCCATTAACATGCACATTACAGCCACTTCATCACGTGTAATCGGTTTATGTACCGAGAGGGAATTCCCCCCCAGTTATTCACTAGAGGATTAATGGGGACATTATGCACTTACGGCGAGGAATGTTCTGACGTATAAGGAGTTCATTGGTAACCCGAACACAATTGGGACAGATATCAGCGAGGTGTCCTTATTTCAGGGGAAAACTGCATCCATGAACCGTTCTTGGGGTGAGAAAAGATAAACTTAAAAACGGAGACGTTTTGCTCGGATGAGTGTAATCTGTTCTAAATCGCGGTTTCCGTGACAGGCGAGTTGGCTGAGAAAGTGGAGGCTGCAGGGCAGCCCAAAGAGCATCAAGAAGAACAAGAACTGCCAGCAACTGGTGGCCGCCTACAAAGTGAGTAATATTGTGCTCTTTTGCGGTGTACTGGTGTACTAGTACTAACGCCACACGATTTTGGCGAGGAACTGGAGCAGTTACATGTACGCACGTATTTGGAATGGCATTCAATTTTTCAGCTGTATTTAGAATCACGTTGAATATTACGGAATGCACAGTGCTCGTCACATATGCCCAAATAAAGCTATAGAAAATTCCCGCATTCAGACGCCTAGGTAGGCTGGCTCCGCTCGCCAATAATACAACTCGGTATGATAATTTTTTCTGGGTCTGTTTTTTTATTATTGTCTTTTCGTATGTGCTTCGTTTTATGCACTTCCTTGTTCCCAGACCTTCTATTGAAGTACATACATAGTAGTTTTGCATGCAGAGGACAGAATGCATCATCTTCAACACCATGTGACGCTCCACTGGTGGCTATAGCTGTGCAGGCATTTCCACTACTGATATAGTATACAATAGCTGTGGCTAGAAGACAGAGGCAGTTGTAGTACTGTGGTTGCAGTCACATGTGTTTCTGAAGAGGAACTGTGCATTTGTAGTTGAAGCCTTTGTTTAAGTAGTTGCACTTGGTGTGCAGTTTTAAGTTTCTATCTCTTTCAGGTGGATCGTGGAAGGGGAAACTTGCACTGGCTAGTAGAACCATCGCTCTAAGGTCTCGGTAGAACATTGGCTAGTAGAACCATCGCTCTAAGGTCTCGTAGAACATTGGCTAGTAGAATCATCGCTCTAAGGTCTCGTAGAACATTGGCTAGTAGAACCATCGCTCTAAGGTCTCGTAGAACATTGGCTAGTAGAATCATCGCTCTAAGGTCTCGGTAGAACATTGGCTAGTAGAATCATCGCCCTAAGGTCTCGGTAGAACCTAGGGCGTATAGTATGGTAGTTCAGCAAAGCCTTCTCCCATTATGTGTCTATTCTGCTGTTAAACCTGTATACAGAGCCTCTGTGAGTACCATATTGAATGCATGAATAAACCTCAGAATATAGCTGTGTATGAAAGGACAAAGGGAAGTTGAATCAAGTGGAAGTAAGCATAATGTCATCCTTCCCGACTGGAAATCGGGCACAGTGAGAGGGACTTTTGGCCCAGAGTGCAGAGGATGTGCTACAATTGCTCCTCAGGTTTATTTTCAACTTCCCCCCAACCCACTCTCCTTCTTTTCATCCATTGTTGGAACCCCACAATGTGCCCCTCGTTCCACTTTATGATGTAATAGTTATGTAATAGTTATATAGACAGCGAGTCTGTGGAATCTACGCATGTTAGAAGCCCGAAGGCCCTTGCACTGTGGCGTTCGAGCTACGTGAAGGGCATGAGGACTTTTAACACGCATTTCAACGGACGAGATGCGTAACTCATTTAGTACGTACTCCAATCGATGTGTTTTTACACATGCGTGGGGGCTGCGCGGGGAGAGACGGCTTTGCGGGCACTAAGTAGACACGATGCGAGTTACTACGAGATTTAACATGTTGTAACGCGTGAGTACGAACTGTTTGTCGTCCTGCCCCCTACTTTGCCCCCCTCTCTCTCCTCTCCTCCCCTCCCTCCCTCACTCAGGATTTCGTCAATTCGGAGGTCCATAGTGCAAGCACTGCCGTCCAGCGTGTCACAGAAACAGACCATCTCTCTTCTCTCAAGGACATCCTTTCGCTGCTCTCTCTCCTCTATTCCTATGCTCAAAAGGGTGCGTGGGCCTCTCTCTCAAACTATCACACAGAGTTTTGCACATGGATGTACACTACATAAGCCATGTACAGAAGCCATGTGAACCTTCAAATCTTAATAAGTCGCCTGACAAGTTTTCCTTTTAATAGCGGTGTATGAAATCGCTTGTCTGTATATATATATAGTGGCATATGTTGCTTTGTTAGTGTGTGTTCAGCTGTTATGAATAATGAGGATGTGTCAGTATAAACCTTGCACTTCCTATTTCTTGAAATGCTGCCAATTCCTACCTTTGTGCTTTCGTCACACACTTGTCATAGTTATCCCGTGTTTTAATGAAAAGTATGCAACTATCATGGGTATACCCCATGTACCGGGAGAAATAGAACATTATTGAACCAGAATATTCTTTGCATGACACTGCCGTGTGTGTGTGTGTGTGTGTATGTTTAAGGAAGTCATACTCAGCAGATTGGACGTTACTATAAGTATGGAGGACTGGTATGGATAGCTTTTACGTCTGCATGTCTCATTCTCGATACCACGCCAGGCAAGCTTAAAAGTGCGTTACGAGTTCAAGTAAAATAAGAGCGGATATATATAGAGAAAGAAAAGTCAGCTCTATCGGTGGGAATCGAACCTACAATCTCTTGCTGTCCCAGCAAGGGCGCTTTCACTGTGCCAAGCAAAGAGCTATAATAGATTGTAATCACTAGAGAATGTGCCACCCATGGAACCGCTGTAGTTTATTACTGTCGAAACGTCACTATAGTTAGACCCCCACAGGGTTTGGCTGGGATGGAGATATGCCACTGATGATGTCACTTAACGAGAGAATGACATGTTTCGTGTTGGAATGTTTGATGACGTTGCGGAGCATTCTTTTGCATGTGTTCGTTTGTGTTTATATTTGTGGTTTTTGTTTGTAAACAACGCTGAGTGTGTTTGTGGTTCTCTGTTTAGATAATAGTTTGTCTGGATCGTCTGGTCGTATCAGTTGCGTCTGCGTAACTCTTTGATACGTTTGTACACATGTCCTAGTAGCGCTAAGTTTCTCTTTAATCATTGCTGGGTGATACAAACACACATCGAGGTGTGATGCAACTCACTGGCTTGCGCGATTGTGCTGCTCAGTATCACACAATAGATCCAGCTTCTGTTTTGTGTGTACAGTATGTATGTAAATGTCAGTGAAGGGAATCTTGGAGACTGTATCTTGAAGGGCTCCAATACTCATAATGCATAAAGAAGCATATAAACAAAACAGTGTGTGTAGTTGCAGCAATTCACTCTCAACTCCAACTCATCCTCTTCTCTCTCCCCCTCTCTTCCTTTCTCTTCCTCTTACTCTCTCTTCCTCTCCCTCTCTCTTCCTCTCCCTCTCCCTCTCTCTTCCTCTCTCTTCCTCTTCCTCTCTCTTCCTCTTCCTCTCTCTTCCTCTTCCTCTCTCTTCCTCTCTCGTCCCTTCCTCTCTCTCTTCTCCCCCTCCTTCCCACCTTAACCCCACAGAGGGCGATGCAGGGTTGGACGTGTCAATGGAAGAGTTCCACAGTAAGAAACTGAGGAACAAGTTGGTCCAGCAGATCCACGAGCCGGTGGTCCTTGCCAGCGGCGCTCTACCTGACTGGTGTCACACTCTCACCACTTACTGCTCTCTCCTCTTCCCGTTCGAAGTCAGAGAGGTCTTCTTTGCCTCCACGGCTCTGGGGATGTCTCGGTGAGTCCTCCTCTCTCACTTCTCCTTCTCCTCTATCTCTCTTCTCTCCCTCCCTCTTCTCTCCCTCCCTCTTCTCTCCCTCTCTCCCTCCCTCTTCTCTCCCTCCCTCCCTCCCTCCCTCCCTCCCTCCCTCCCTCCCTCCCTCCCTCCCTCCCTCCCTCCCTCCCTCCCTCTTCTCTCCCTCTCTACTTCCAATTGCAATTGCAATTGCAATGCAATTGCAACTCTTCTAATGATATTCACGGTCAGGGGTGCCCACAGCCATCATGTGGCAGGGCGAGATGAGCTCATGGAAAACTATGAATGTTGGATTGTGGGTAAAATTGGAACCCAGCACTTCCTGCCACATACCGGCACATGACACACTACACTATGTTGCACGCAGGCACTCTACATTATAGTGGTTCCAGAGTATATAGCAAATCCTGAGGTGGTGGCAAACTGAGGGGCAGCAGTATAGATTATATTCATTGCTGAACTCTACTTCCTGTCCTGCTGCTGCCCTCTGGTTTTTAGAAAACAGTCCCTCATTGATTTATACAACAATGCATGTTGTGAACCGATGGTGTAACTGGCAGTCCAGTAGTGCATCAACCATTGTATACGGTTTAGTTTTTTTTCCAATTGCTCTGCTTGCCATTTCTATTGTTGGGCACATTAATCTAACATTATGTGTGCGAAGAAAGTATGCACTTTACAAGTAGCAAAGTGTACTGAATAATGAGGTTACTGTACTAGCATGAACAGAGCTTAACTTTCCAACTTGCTAGCCCAAAACCCCAGTAGTAAGATTTTTGAGACCATAAGATGATCGTCATTCATATGGCACTGTTGCTATTAGGAGGGATGATCGTCATTCACATGGCACTGTTGCTATTAGGTCTTGTAGGAGGGATGATCGTCATTGACATGGCACTGTTGCTATTAGGAGGGATGATTGTCATTGACATGGCACTGTTGCTTGTAGGAGGGATGATCGTCATTCACATGGCACTGTTGCTATTAGGTCTTGTAGGAGGGATGATCGTCATTCACATGGCACTGTTGGTATTAGGTGTTGTGGGAGGGATCAAAGTGCCGAGTTCCATTGTGTTTGTGCTCCCTCCTGGTGGCAACAAGGATGCGCGGTGTATCATTTAACGTTTATAGATCCATGAGTTCTGTTTTCATTACATGTCCTCAAAGGTACAGTCTACAAAGCAGGAAGTTAGGCACAGGAAGTTAATTCACTTGGGTAATGGAGCATCATATACACATCACGTAGGAACATGTATGAAAGTTGCTGCTGCCCGTGTAATGTGGATGTGTGCTTGTATAACGTTGTGCACCTGTGTGTAAGATAAACGTACCTTTGAACTGCTGAAGGATGTACGGAGGAGGTGTGTAGGTTGTCTGGATTGTTGTCTGGATTGCTTCCTGCCCAGATTGTCTACCTCCAGCTAACTATATTCACTGTAAATATATGTTGCAGTGCTAAGGGCGAATGCTGTCCTGTCTGGGTACTGCAACAGCCATAGGCAACCGACATGTATGAACTCTGCTTGCACATTTAGGATTGTATAGGCTGATAAAATCCCCCAGTATATACCTAGCTTCGTACATGTTGGTTGCCTAGGGATATCTAACAGTGTAACCAGCTAAGCCCACCAAATGCTGTAATACTATATCATTGGTAAGAGCATGACTGATGCCTGACCTTTTGCCATCCTATTTCTGTGACTGCACCCTAACTGCGTATGTTCGTGTGTATTAAAACAAAAGGCATGGCAACTTGAACTATGGTGCTCCAAGCAGATCTAAAGGGCTTCCCTCATGTGATTTGGTCTGTTAGCTCTTAGCTATAATTATACTGCTGTTTCGGTATCGAAACCCCATGATATAGCTACTCATTATGTATGGTAGTCCTACACTACATACTGGCACACCACCGCATTTGTAGGTACCGTAAGAATGCTACTCTGAACTCTCAATAAGGCAGCTTTCTATATAATACTCTCTCTTCAGTTGGTGTAGAATTCCTGTAGCCAAAGGTGTCCAGTCACTGTTTATATGCTTGTCTTTTCCTCCAGTAACAATTGTTGTGCATCATATAGGTATGTGTTGTAGTGTATACGTCTAGTTCCAGTTTGGAACACTTATTCTGCTTCGAGCTTCACTTACAAGCCATTTGCATATTATTCCAGCTATTCAGAGTTTCATCACACCTATAGCAGTATTATGTTGCAGTGTGGGTGTGGGTTCGAGGCATACGACTGGCAAACTGCCACTGTTTATGGTCGCCACTTGCCACACTATAGCCTATTACATCAGTCATCCCTCGTGATGATGTATAATTATACTGTTACCTACCTACATAGGTTGTAATTACGTATTACCACACAGATATATTACGCGGAGCTGGAATTTCTCTAATCCGGACACCAATGTGGGCAGAAGAAAGTGTCCATATTAGTGAGGTGTCCTTGCTTGCCTCATTTCAGGGGTGTCCTTAGAAGAGGTTCTATTGTATAAGATCTTGGGAACACTTTGGTATATGTATAATACAGACAATACTTTTCCGTGGTAATGTGTGGGTACTAAATGCAGTAGAGTACTGGAGGAAGTGTGAATACAGTGGCAATATTGCCCGGGGGTGGCGCAGAGTATGAGGATGAGGAAGTGGGCAAAACCCCCCTCCTCCACTCCCCCAACCTTACATTCTGATCCCACCTGTGGCCCCCCCAGAGGAATGACAGACAGACAGACAGACAAGATGGCTGGCTCTAGAGATGACGTCATGGCCTTGGCGTCTGCACTCACCTGCATTTTTAGACCCACCAATTTTACGTCACTGAAATCATCTCGTGGAGGAAGCATTCTATTACGTCCCAACCTTGCTTTTTCAGAACCTACGCATCGCAATTTGGCTCTTGTCCAATTCTCTAGTGCTTCGTATGCATGCACTGCAGGACATTTGTAAGACTGTTTTTCGGCGACATTTGTGTTTAATCAAATCTCTGTGGAGTCTACTGAATTGCCTTCGTCGAGAACTGAGGTGCCAACGGGTCCAAATGGAACTGCAACACTTAAAAGGGATAAAACAGCTCGTTTAGCATTTAACGGCCTGTGTCGGTTGTGCATTCTACAATATGGCTGGCGATCGGCAATCTACGGGGGGGTAGATACTACATATGCAATATGCAGCACAGAGGGTGTTGTGTAAGTGGAGCCCACACATTATTGTATATACCCAGCTAGCTGTGTACATAATGACTACTACCCTATCTAAATACCGAGAGCAGACTATGCCAACAGTGGTCTTGTTATAAGCCCAGAAGTATATACACACACATTCGTTGCTATAGTGCTGTACTCCTTTTCCAGTTAATCTGATACCAATATATACACTTTCGTTTCATCTGTAGACTTTCATGTCCGATCAATGACATCATCCTGTTTTGGTCATATACCCAGAGTTTCTGTCCGGTGCATATGTACAAACAAACGTAAACATAGCGATACACGTTGGTTATGGTGTTGGAATTGTGTTTCAGTTTTGCGTAAGGCGTAAGAAACTCTAGACGAGGCCTTCTATTTTTCGTGGAAGTGCTCTGAGTATACAACATTGGGTGGTCGTGTGGGGCGGTTAGCATTGTTTCAGTGCATTCCATTCGTCCTAGTCATAGGCTATATGGTAGTATGTACATACATACAGCCAGTATGATGCTGCACTTCCTGTACAAATCGACCTTCTGGTGAACCGGTAGGAGATTTTATTGTCTCGTACGTTTAGTGGGCGGAGGGGGAATTTTGTGTTTCCCAAACTTTAGCCCTTATTGCCACATCTCCTTTACACCACAGCGTGACTAGTCACCTAATGTGCAGATTAGGCTGTCGTAAACTTACTACTATTTCGATATCCGTCACTTTTGTGTGTAGTCTGGTACAAATTTCCGTCGTATGTTAGTACATATGCGCAATAGAAAATGCACGTAGTAATGACGCTTTGGATGTGAATGTTTCCTTGTGTCAATTGTATGTACTCCTGCTATTAAGAAGCAGCGTGTGTAGGGCGCGAGTAATGGCGTAGAATTGAGGAAATGTGCATTCCTCTTCTTCGATGTTTGTTGTTTGCGTGGAGGAAGGGAGGATTGGGAGGGAGAGATAGAGGAGAGAGGGAGTGTGGTGAGGGATGAGAGGAGATTGTGACTGAACGGAACCAGAGCAGCAAGGGAGAGATGAGAGCGGGACGTGAGGGAAGGATAAAGGGAGAAGAAAGGGGGGAATGGGAGGGAAGGAGGGTGTATTAGCAGCAATAAAGGGCAAAGCTGGATACACAGCAACTTTTCCTTTCATCTTCTTAACTCTGTGTGAGTCAGAAAGGGGGCAAGAACCACTCACAGACAAGAAACTTTAATCATGTTACCAAGAGTACAGGGCATAATTAACATGCCTGTTAAACTATTCCCCCTCTCTCCAACCCTCCATTTGTTTCTTCTTCTTCCCTCCCTCCCTCCCTCCATTTCTTTTTTATTCTTCCCTCCCTTCCTCCCTCCCTCCCTCACACTGTGGCCTAGTTCCATCATATGGATGCAGAAGAGGAGAGAGGAAGTGATGGAGAGGCTCAGGGGCACGGCTCAGAGGAGAGAAGACCAGCACGAGATTCAGATCGGACGACTCAAACAAGACCGAGTCAAAATCCCGCGAGACGGAGACGTACGTACTTCAGGCTATACACTCTGTGTACTACTGCATAGTGCTGTGTACTACTGCAGTGGAATCCCTCCCTAAGGACACCCCTCTATTAAGGATACCTTTGCAGTTTATTTCATGCAATTGAACTCCCGCCAATAACACACCTCACAACGCATACCCAGAAGTATACTATACCTACGTAACAGGGGGCGTGCTGCACTTGTGAGAACTCACATACATTCTGATTTGGGTGGGTCATTTATTCAGGCCAAACAGCATACTGGAGCCGTCTGAAAGTCACAGCTATATATGCCCATTTTGAAACTGTTTGACACATACTTGATAGTTTGCATTGTAGGCCTTGTGTGATCACATCTTGCCGATGATCTCGCTCCAACAGACAGCTTCTTCCAAGAAGGGCTAATCTGTGGCAATTTGTTCTCTCCGTTCTGTCTCCCTTGCCGGTGGAGTACGCATACATACAGTTGTTAATGCATGCATTTTCTACTGACATCACGGTTGTTCAATACCTTATAGTAATATACCTGTGCCTCATGTGGCTGTCTCTTGTGTGTTAATGTATGGGAGGTGTGGTGGGCTGGCCACTGCATATAACTGCAATCTGTAGGCTGTTCTCTGCCCTTCAATTGAACACATTGTGTCACTTGTTTGCACCCATCCAGATCATCGCCTGGGCCGGCGCCATCCTGAATGCCCACGCCGAAAGGAAGTCTGTCCTCGAGGTACGTACGTATAACACAGTGTATACAGTGTCTTTGATGTATATATACTAGTCTGAATATGAGTGTGTGATGTATACCTAACCATTAGGAGCTTTTAGGATACACAATGTGACAACTCGTGTGTAAATGAATGTGTCTGGTCGTATACGTGAGAAAAATTGATGTGTGTTACTAACACTGTTCTGTGGTGTTTCAGACCGTCTTTCTCTCAAGTTTCACTTCACAGAAAAGACCAATTTGTTTAACTCCCTCCCTCCCTCCCTCCCTCCCTCTCTCTCTCCCTCTCTCTGGTCTAGATTGAGTACGTGGGCGAGGAAGGGACTGGACTGGGTCCGTCGCTAGAGTTCTACGCCCTCACTGCCGCAGAAATCCAGCGCCGGTCGCTAGGGATGTGGCTGTGTGACGACGACTTCCCCGACGATCGATCTAGAGAGGTTCGAACTGTCTCTCACTGTCCGTCCTTGTCTATAAGACTTCCTGCCAGTTAATGTGCACATTGTTTGTTGTGCCTTTTCCTTTCTACCTCATAGTTTTCACATGCATTTGACGATAAAACATACTACACTGCAAGAAACACAAGTCCTGCTGTGCAAGAATTATAGAGTAAACCGCTATACCCATACTTTGCGCCTGACATACACCTAACCTGTGAAACCGCCACGTTCTAGCGTGATATCTTTTTGTGTTGACAGCAATGGATGAACAATGTGTACCACAGGCGCGATTACTATACAATTACTATTTCCGCACTGAGAGCTACGCGTCGCCTGTATTGTTTACTACTATCATGTTTCCTTCAAGTTACCTGATTAGTGAGTGAACCGGGAGAGAAAGCCCCCCGAGTATAGTATGCCATCAGACAACTCCGTAAAGCAGGCATTGGCCTCCTCTGTATTATTAGTGCATCCCACTTCCTTTTGGGTGCTCCGAGAGGGTAATAAAATTGAGGAAAAGGTGAATTTTTGTATGGAAGACCCGGCTGCCTGGAATGTGATTCTCCTGTTCATAAGAAGTCGTTATTTCCCTGTCAATTGCTTCAGTAGGTGGATACCGTATAGTGGCAAGTTTATTGTAGAATGGAAAAGTTTCAGGGAGCAAAGTTTTCGTGGATCGTCAGTTTTGGGCATAACCATTTGTGATTGATAGAAGCATCGTGCTTCTGCCTAGCCATAGCTCTCGCCTCATACCCACATTCCCTAATAATTGTACGTCCGAGAGTTGGCAGCTAGAATGGAATGACACTGGCACTCTAGTTTACGGGACTAAAGGCTCCATTGTACTTTACATAAACTGTGACCTGGTGCAGCCACTTTGGCTGAAGTGGTTAGAATATCCCCCACTTTCTGCATGCTGTAGAGTGTAACTATATGCTTACTGGAGTTATCGTGGGGTTCATCTCTGTGTATATATAAGCTGGGCTAAGTCCCACATTCCGTTCATTCCACCTGTACGCTGCCCCAAATATGTGTGTACTACAAGTGTGTGTGCTATATAATAATACATAGACACTGTGGAACGCCTCTAAAAGGGAAACGTCCTTGCCTGCAATGAATTACTGTAAGTTCCTCCTGTCACATTGGTTAGATCCACTCACTGTACAGGTCTTCCTTGTGCATATAATTATTATTTTGCTGTACTCCTTTTTGTACGAAATATAATTATGCAAACTACTGTGAAATCTCTGTGTGCGTGCGTCAAGCCATCGATCTAGCAACTGCTTGCAGATGCACTCACTCCAAGTAAGGTGCTTACTCCATTCGCCCCAAAGAACGTTGCACATTTCCACTAGTATACTATTCAAATGCTGAGTACCTCCACTGGTACGTACATATACTCCATAGAGGAAAATGATTGTAAGGAGCTTGTCGTGTGATTGCTGCAGGTTGATATCGGACAGGGTTGGAAACCGCCGGGCCACTACGTACAGAGATCCTGTGGGCTCTTCCCAGCACCTTACCCGCAGAATTCACCTCAGATCGAGGAACTCTGCAGATTGTTTGAACTGCTCGGGATTTTCATAGCCAAGTGTATCCAGGATAAGCGCCGCGTCGACCTCCCGCTCTCGAGACCGCTCTTCAAGTTGATGACGGGGGCATCACAGGCATGTCATCCGCTGGCCGAGGAGCCCGGTCCGCCTGGCAATAACGGAGGTCACGAGGGTGCAGGGGGCGGGGCCGAGTCGGACCCGGCAACCACGGGAGAGACGTTGACGCGACCGGGAGACAACCAACGGGCACCAGTTGAGCAAAACGAGGTCGAGATGAACAACTGGAGAGTCGTCGGTGACGTAGGACGGGAGGACTCTTCAAATAGAGGTACGAGCCACGTGGTGGTGGTCGGTCCGCGTGGAGGAGAGGCCCAGGCGGCCAGCTCAAAAGAGGCGGAGGTTTTGGGCGAGGGGGCAGAGGAGGAGATCACTAAGGACTGCGGCGGTGAGAAGGAGGAGCTGCTGGTGCTGGAGGAGCTGGGGGAGACGGGGGGAGGTGGGGGAGGGGGAGGAGGGGGAGAGGGGGAGGCTCCCTGGTTCCAGGGGATTCTGCAGATTGAAGATCTGGAGAAGGTGAACCCTCACAGGTGAGTGTGTGTGTGTGTGTGTGCCTGGTTGGTGATTGAGTGCATAAAGCAGTCACATTCCCACATCTTTTCCCATTTCCTCTCAATATGGCTAATGGCCCATTTGCCCAGTATATATACTTTACCTGCAGTATAAGGTCCTGTCAGCTGAATGCCTCATCCTTCACCTAGAATGATGAGCATATGCAGGGGCATATGAACTACTGAGAACATTGCGTGTTATGCGAAATTAATTGCAGTGCTCGGTTGCCAAAAATGCACGACACTCTGTTTCCGCCAATTTCCGACTGGTATTTGTTTCATTATTTTATAATAAGCAGTAAGTATGCCGTTGGAGTGGTATCGTTGGGAAAGAGGTAGCTTCTTGGTAAAGAGGAAGCTGGCCTCCTGGACTCAATTTCCTGTGTCGTGTATCACTGATTTTCATTCTGTGTTGCGGTCCCACTGTCATTCTGAAATGGATACCATCTGCAGCATCCTGTCCTCCACCCACGATAATTAAAATGTCAATTCCACCACCTAAATACTATATAGGCCCACACCATCCACTTACAGCTTAACCTTCTACATCATAATATGTATGCTAAAGCTAAGCTCACAGCTGTGTATGTATGCCGCCTACTTAGGGGTATGGGGTATAAGCCTGAGATCAAATGTACATATGCCGCCTACACATCTAGAGCCGAGTCCAAGATGCCAGCAGTATAACCATGTGCTTGGTTTTGTAATCTGATACATGGCCTATTATATGAGTTCAACGCGTGTGACTTACAGACCTGCAACTTGGGTAGTTTAACATTACCGTGTATGCATAAAGTCTACTGCAGCTGGAGCCCATGAAGGTGGTGGCACATGCGGGGTTTAGCAATCCGATACCCTAGTGTCACGTACAGACCTGCAACAGATCGCCGTGTAATTACTGTCGCTATAGTACGCCGTACGTGTGTTGTATCTGGTGTTAGTACCCACGTGTGCGTTTGCGTTGGTTGCGTCTCGTGCCGTCAGTTCTCAAAGCAGTTACACATGCACTCGACTGCAACACAATACGTGTTTTATTCCTGAGAGTGTGACTACCAGTTGCAGACGTAGGGAAGTCGTTATACACTCGGCAAAATGACAGCTTGTTCTCACGACTTGGACAGTTTTTCCTTACAAGTTAAATCCCTGAATTTGTTAATTCCCTTGTCGCTGACAGTATCATTTGCAGTGAACTTCCCCATTTCTCTCTCCCCTCCTTCCCTCCCTCCCTCTTTCCTTCCTCTCTCCCCTCTTACTCCTTCCCTCTCTCCCTCCTTTCACAGAGCGAAGTTCATAAAGCAGCTGGGACAGTTGGTGGAGAAGCGAGACACCATTCTGGCGAGCTTGCCTCTCCCGACACAAGCCAGAGAAAGGAAGACTGCACTAGAGGCCCTAGTGCTGCCTGATACAGAGGAGAACCTACCTGGAGTCCATCTAGAGGACCTCAGGTAATGGCTGAAATCGCACCATTCCCCTGTGGCTACAACACTGCCCCTTTCCCATCTCGCGTTTCAACATCCCCCTGTCCCTCCGTCTCGCTCAGACATTGCACCTCCCCCTCACGCAACACTATCGTGGCAAATGCAGACTGTTGCCAGTCGGTGTTTGTAACATTATATTACAATGTGTGGTGTTGACTACGTTGTACAACTTCACTGCACCTGGTACGTGAGGTGCAGCACTGAACTGTGCACTTTCGACAGGATATTTTGGGTTTCGGTTCGTGGCCATGTTGTATATGACGTACTGCTGTTGTATACGTCACATAGTGTGTAGAGATCTCATAGCAGAATGTGTTGCAGCATGGGGCGCGGCATTGACAATATCCCTTCTCTCTCTCTCTCTCTCTCTCTCTTTCGTCTCTCTCTGCAGCATCAACTTTGTGTTTGAGCCATCGTCAAAAGTTCACAAGTTCTCTGCACACCCCCTCAAGCCCGGAGGAGACTCTGTGGTTAGTCAATGAATAATGATATCCCTGCTAGCCCTATTACCTTAGGGTCACGATGTGCATAGATGCCATGCCCATAATTACTATATACACTGAATCAACAGAGGTGAAATAGGCTAGTGTGGCCTCTTCTTCTCTTTTGAACAGCAATTCAGGCATCCTCCACAGTTTCAGTAACAGCAGGCTATAGCTGAAAAGGGTGTACGACACTCGAAAGGTTTCCAGCCGTGCTTATGCAAAGATAACGAGCCGTGAGACACATGCATAGTGCATCGGGTAATAAAGCAGTCAGGCATTACATCATGTCTGCCCCGTGGTGGAGGAGTGGCATGAACAAACACTTGCACATGTCACTCACTGCAACAAACAACCAATTAAAAGGGGTTTAATTGCACGTGTGGCCCCCCATTTCCATCGGTACACAACCCTATTTTTCACGTGGGCACACGAACACGGTCATATAAGGATAGACGCAGCACGCAGGAAATGAAATGACGCATTACGGCAGAAATGAATATGGGTTTTCAATCCCCGGGGAATAGGCAATTGAGCACCGCTAACAACCAAAGACAAAGTCTTGTTTGTCGTCAATAAATAATGACTGAGATCGGGTTTCATATTTCATCGGGTGACTTGGCAAAACATGTTATGAAGTGGCGGCTAGCTTGTAAACAAAGCCGACGGAGGATTGTCCCTACAGTAGCCAGGAGACCAAGGTCAAGTCAAAACATAGTTTCATAGGTGTTTTGCTATTTCACTTGAACGTCAGATCAGTAACATCCACAACAACAACGACTACAACGAAGGCAAACAGTGCCGGCAATTATCAATAATCATTATTTTGAGTGTTTCACTTGTAATCTCACATATTATCGCTATGCATCGTTGGATGATGCTGACCCTAATGAGGACCTGTAAGAACTCGTGATTCAAGAGTTGCAAATTGCATTACACTCCTCAAGTATTATCATAAAGGTACCCACACTTGCCATAGGGAGGAGTGGTTAAGGGGCAGCGAAATGGAGGCGAGATAGGATTTGTAAAGCGAAATAGGAATAGGTAGATAGAAGACCATGCTATTCCATACTCCAACTGTAGTCAAAGTACTAAGCATAGTTGGTTTGTCTCTTCTTCCACTCTTGTGCCTACAAAAAATGAGAAATCGTTGACACCCTTACTTAGGGAGGATAGCGAAATTTATGGGAGATAGGGATAGGTGCAGCGAAATAGGTCAGATGTTACGATTCCACACTCCAACACTAGTCAAAGTAGTACGCATAGTTGGTTTGTCTCTTCTTCCACTCTTGTGCCTACAAAAAATGCTAAATCGTTGACACCCTTACTTAGGGAGGATAGCGAAAATTGGGGGATAATATAGGGATAGGTGCAGTGAGGTAGAGGACCTTACTATTCCATACTCCAACTGTAGTCAAACTACTAAGCATAGTTGGTTTGTCTCTTCTTCCACTCTTGTGCCTACAAAAAATGCTAAATCGTTGACACCCTTACTTAGGGAGGATAGCGAAAATTGGGGGATAATATAGGGATAGGTGCAGTGAGGTAGAGGACCTTACTATTCCATACTCCAACTGTAGTCAAACTACTAAGCATAGTTGGTTTGTCTCTTCTTCCACTATGTTGCGTACAAGAAATGCAACATTGACACCTTTATTGAGGGGTGGGAAAGGGACAGCAAAGTGGAGGCGAGATAAGGATTGGTAAAGCGAAATAGGGATAGGTGCAGTGAGGTAGAGGACCTTACTATTCCATACTCCAACTGTAGTCAAACTACTAAGCATAGTTGGTGTAAAATAGAAAGCGTCCTAGTCAGCGAGGTGCACGGAATTGGGGGAATGAACTTAGGTGTCACCGTTGCAGCTGTGTCTTTAGAGAGGGGTTCCTATGTATGCTCCAGTCACAGTAGCATCTTATGAACGGAATCATCGATACTGTAGGTGTCAGGGTAGGATAAAGGCAGTCTACTGTGGCTATGTAACCATTGTTGTTCAATTAACTGCTTATAGACATCCATGGCTCTTTGATTGCACAGGAGGAATTTATTATATTACGTAGTTTATAAGTGCCTGCATTCTGGCAGAAGTTCTATTTCAGCCAATAGTGCCTGTAAATTGAAATCCTATCATTCCACTCTGGTTGTGTTGGCAACCGAGCTGGACTTCCTGAGCTGGAGTCGGATGTGTGTTGCTGGGTTAGTGTCATTTCCTGTAGTTTCTCCCTGGGCTCTGCCAAGCCTCCTAGGCAACGAGTCTTTCACCAGCTCAAGTACCGACTATTTCTGTAACACTGCAGCGATTTCCATTACATCATTCGAATTGGTGGTCACCGTAGTTGGATCTTACCGGCAACAAGTTGACCCACTATATGGATGCATGTCCATACCTACGGCATTGTGAAATAAGACTAAAGTGGGCCATTTACGTAGTCCCAAATTAACCTCCCAAGTGGTTCATAGCTCTGTCTATAAGAGGTGGCGTGTGGCAACCAGTTAGGTAAGTGTTACTTCCTTGTACTGTGCTCTACTTGCAATAGTTAACATGACTAATGCAGCTGGCATTTCCCTCCTTTCATCACATCTCCATCCACATTGCACTCAGCCTCTCCACTTCCCTTTTACTCTACCCACTCCTTCCTCCCCCACCCTTCCTCCCGTTCTCCTCCCTACCCGACCCTTCTTCTCTTGCCTTCACTGCTCTCCCTCCTACCTCACTCCTTTCTCCCTCTCTTCCTCGCCCCCTCTCTCCTCCTCCCTCCACTGCACTTTTCATAGGATCTGAGTCTCCAGAATTCCCACGAGTACATTGAACTGGTGCAGGATTTCTGCCTCAACTCAGGGATTAGGAAACAACTCGATGCATTCAAAAGTAAGAGTGCCATCATTTTTATAATTTATTCCAAAGAGGCAACAAACGATGGTCCTCTCGCTGACGTCGGACCACGCAAACCGTGCCCACTCACCCAGAGGGTGTCATGTTCCATGTAATGGCCCACTGTGACCCTCCCACATCTCTCAATAATAACACACACCTACACTGCTCCCCAAACCAGTGCATACTATACTCCATAGCAGTGTGTGTGTGTGTGTGTGTGTGTGTGCATGCCTCCGTTGTGTGTGTGTGGTGTGTGTGTTTGCGTGGGTTAAGGGGAGGACCATGACTAGCTGTTTGGTCTGTGGACCATTGCTCTCCCTACCGGTTGCACTCTGTCTCATGGTTCATACAGTGCTCCAGTCTCCAGCCATTAGTCTGACAGCCTCAAGGTCTATGCAATGAACAGTAAATAGCCCCCACAGGATGTGTATACATCGGCGAGCGGTCGCCTGAACTTCACCTACCAACCGAAGTCATTCTGTCTCTTGAGCCATGTCCTGGCACGTAAATCATGTACAGCACTCAAGGGTCGCACTTGCTTCCGTTTGCTAGCCAAGAATGCCTTCCATCCGCTCTAGTGGTATGTACTGCTGTTAATAGGCGGTCGAGTCTGAATAGATTTGGAACTGCCAGTGCCGTCTGTAACTACCAGGACTATTTTTATCTATTCTTGAGCCGCCTAAACACACTTGGCCCAGCAGCTATAAGGAAATACAGGAAACTACTTGTAGTGTATTATCCCCAGAGTGAATCTACAGTCGGAACTCTTTTCAACTGCACGGGCGTGTTTGGTTCAATTTCAGGGGGTTTCGACAGGGTTTTCCCCATGCAACGGCTCCAGATGTTCACGCCCTACGAGCTGAAACTTCTGGTGTGCGGTGAGCAGACGCCTACCTGGACACGGGAGGACATCGTTAACTTCACGGAGCCAAAGTTTGGCTATACCAAGGACAGGTTGGTTGCTGTAAATTTTGTATTGCTCACTGGTTTAATCGAGCTACTGCGCACGCTCAGGGTTTATACCCTCTCTGTATCACATTCTCTGGGATACGATACGACACACTAGTGCTTTGTATTGGCCCTGCTGATGGTTCTCTAGACATTATTGATACACATAAGCTTTGCAGATGTCCAAAACTGAAAAATGCATGCATGGGAATAAGTTGTGAGTGGTGCATGCAGATGAAGAAGATGCTAATTGGTTTGATTTCTGGGTCAAACCACACATTAGATATAAGATGTTGGTTAGGAATGTGTAATAGGAAGTGTGCTAATTGCACTTCTGGTTTAAATGGTGTAGTTTATGTTGCTCTATAATTATATGTGGGATTCCTTCAGCATAATCTCCTTCAGCATAATCTCCTCCATTTTCTCATTTATCAGGGAATTGTAATAAGATTGTGGTATTCATTTGTGTTGCGTGTCGGTTCCGAAACAAGTTATGTCTGCCCACACAAGTACAAGCCTGCAACGGAACTATACACGCAATTTACGTGGAGGAAGTTTTGACTAGTACGTGCAAATACCGCAGCTATGCAACCGAGCATGAGAGCAAACAGTGTAATACCGAACGTGCATTAGCAATCTGTACAGGTGTGTGTGTGTGTGTGTGTGTGTGTGTGTGTGTGCGTGTGCATCATTTGTGGTGTTGAACTTGGAGTACGTACGTATTTGCAGCCCAATGTACCAGAGATTCGTCAACGTGATGTGTGATATGACTGGAGACGAGAGGAAGGTGAGTGTGTGTGATAATTCACTGCCACTAAAGTAGGTTCACCTTGAGACTGCAGTTTGACATTATACACTGAAACCACTCTCACCAATGGCCATGCATACTCTAGTGAGAAAAATTGCAAGAATTTTTTGGGGTATAAAAAAAGTGTGGTGTCCTCATTTCAGAGATGGGTTCCTATACATAACCGTAAAAACTGACTCGTGCCATGCTACTAGCACAATAGATTAAAGAAGAGATCGGCATTGTGCATTCTCTACACAAATAGACTCTAAAAACCTTCCCAAGTATGACCTGTCTTCTATATTTAGTAGATGGCATATGGTTGTTTCCTGGTATCAAGTGACATAATAGTAGCTACATAAACCAGATCTAGTAGAGAAACATCGTGCCTCTTACATATACGGAGCTGGTCTGCAACTTATTTTGAGCAACTATGGATGACACACTGATCACATTATCTAAAATTCCTTCCCATCCGTAGGCTTTCATTCAGTTTGTGACAGGCTGCGGGTCACTGCCTCCAGGCGGGCTCGGCAATCTACACCCTCGTCTCACCGTAGTCAGGAAGGAGACCACCTCACAGAACGTTTACCCATCGGTCAACACATGCGTCCACTACCTCAAGCTTCCAGAATACCCCTCGGAGGAGGTGCTCAAGGTGCGGCTCATGGATGCAACCAGAGAGAAGGGCTTCCACTTGAACTGATACCCCTAAAACACTCTCTCAAGACTCCTCTCTGCCAGTAGATATAGTAGGGATTTTTGTGTGCTAGGTGGTAGTCTTCTCAAAGCTCTCACTGTGCTTGACAATGTTCTGTGTTGTACACAACTCACTCTCGTCATAACCGTTGATTTTGTGTCAAGAGCGTGACGTTTTCCCCGCGCAGCCCCACTGACGTCATGGCGGATGTCTATTGTTTCATCGGGACCGCTAGCATGCATTGGTCCATGGTGCGTGCAGGAATGAGGAATGTAGGATCCAGGAAGTTCTGGCGGTATATACAGCTCGGCTAGCTTGTCGCAGCAGTTCTATTGATTCTGTTTGCGTTTGTTGTCTACGCACCACAATTTGTACCGCAAGATTGTCCGAAGTTAGAACCTTTCTCGTTTCGAGCGTTAGACGCGGCGCCACCAATCGTGCCCAGCAGCGTAGACCAGGAGAGCACCGCGCCACTCCCTTATGCGCTGCTGCATAGACCTATACACCCCGATATGAACTGCTCGCGTCGCGTCCTTGACCGCTAGTCCACGACCCGCGGCTACCGCCGGCTTATCCCATCGTAAATTCTTGGGAAAGGAACCGGCTAGCCGCTGCGGATATGACGCAACGACAGGAATGACACTCGCGCGTGGCTTCCATCCGCGTTTGGGTCACCTACGCGGCAGCAACCGCAGTCGAACGGCATAGCACTCTAGCGCTCTAGCAGCAACGATAATAATCCACATTGAAGAGAAGCGACAATAGAAGCATAAAATGTATAAAGGAGGAGATAAAATAGAATATGGATATACACAACTAGATGAATTTGGACTAGGTTCTGCTGCATGCTGTCTGAAGCACACAAGGGTGGCTGTCAAATAGTTCTTGCAGAACACGATATTCCTCTCTGAGTTTCCTAATCTGCGATTCGAGATCTTCGTTTGCGACTAGATGCTCTTCATACTGCAAACGAATGTCATGGTTTTTCTCGCGTCGCTTTATCCGGCACTTCTCTGCTGCTACCTTGTTCTTTTCACGCTTTTGGAGAACTCTGTCTCTCTGGTCTGGACTCAGTGTCTCTACCTGCATAAAAGAGGAGATAGTGCATTACTAGGATGCAAAGAGATATAATTTCAGTACTGGTGGTAGTAACAGTAGATTCATTGCTGTGATCTATGTTTCAGGATTCAGACTGCAGCTTTGAAATTGATACTGACCTGTATTTTTCTCTTCTTTAGCGGAGCCAATTGGCAAGGATCTTCAGTCACCCCTCTCATCTTTGATATTCCGCCACTCTTGATGGTAGCGCCGCCGGGCATGGGCATACTAGCTATGGTGGTCTGTGGGCCGAGCTGGAGCCCGGGTCTTCGGCACACGACGTGTCTGCTGCAGTCTGCAGTTGGCCCGGTGGATATGACGGCGGCCTGGAGCGGGGAGACGTGCGTCGGGATGGTAACCATAGTGCTCCCGTCCAGCATTCTGTTCTCCAGCTCCAGAGATTGGGAATAGGAGGGCGTGGTTGGTGTGTTACAACTCTGCAGAGAGAAGAAAAGGGCAGCGATAAGTTGTGATCTTGTCGACGATACTGTTGGAGCTTCCACAATTCCACTAGGGATCTTGCAGCTAGCAATAGAAACCATCCGACTATTCTATGCTATCTGGACGTCCACAAAACTTACCGTAGTCATGTTTGTCTTGAAGCATAACGCCTGTCCCGGTCCCCAAAGACTCACACCTATGTCGCTATGCGGCTCGCTCATATCGTACAATCTGAAATGATCCATAGTGATCTGTCTGTCGGTTTCCTCTCTTTTATACCCTTCGAAGCAGTGGACTAGCCTGAGATCACCGAGGGCAGCTCAGCTTTTATACGTTGCGCGCTAGGAGGAGCCACCTACGCAAAACGCTGCACATCCGAAAAGTAATTGACCGTTCATGACGTCTGCGTCAACCAATTGGAACTATAGGAATCTCGCCCGTGCGTAACTGTATAATTATACGCGTAAACGAAGTCCGCGAGGAAAAATGTCCAGTAGCGTCAGTACTTGTACTGCAGCCCTTGAAGTTCGCTGAACTTTGCCGTCAGCACTCTCCACTGGTCCACCCACTGCTGTGTGGAGAATCCGGCCTGGGTTGCCCAGGGTGTCAGGAACTGAGCTGGCTGGTTCCACCTATACAGTAGCAAAGGGGGGATTAGTTGTTAGGGAATAAGTCTGTGCATGAAAAAAATTGCAGCCACTCTTTATAGTGCTCCACTGCACCATGGCTTTTGTGTGGGCAGTTGGGGTACTATGTGTGGCTCTAGTATGCACCACCATAATTTCTGTAACAAGCACATCAAGCCGCAAAGAGCAGGTGAGCTATATGCTCCTATTTGTGAAGCTGTGTTCCTGCAAAACTAGTCAACATATGAGGTCCCCGTGCATTGATAAATACTGAGAAACTCTGATATCTATCCATGTGTGCCTCACCAGTGGTCCAGGGTTTCTGCAGTTCTCTCGCAGTCTGCCAGACCACATGAGGCTCGAGAGAGGCACTCCTGCAGGGCAGGAATGGCCGTCTCCAGAAGCCTACTGTTGTGCTCCTTACATCGCTGGAGTACGTCTGTGATAGAGGTAAAACTATGTCAGCCTGTCGTTCTCCTCAGAAACAATCTGAAGCTGATGGGCTACATTGGAACCCCTCTCTATAAGCACCCTCGAGGACACACTCAAATAAGGACATTTCAATGATATTGTATTGGGTTCCACTATAATATTAATTTCAGCTCATTCAAGAGTAGCACAGACTTGACGGTTGCCACGGTAATGCTATTTTAACACCTTGGATTGTACCATGAAACTACACACATTTCAGCAACGGGTATGGGGTAGAATTTCTTCCTCTGCTTGTTCCTATAATAGCCCATGGTTCCAAACAATGATACCTGACCATAGCCACGGAACTGAGCTAGAGTAACAGGTGGAGTGAAACTCTGCCACAGTGTAGGCACAACCACTTCCAGTTCTGTGAGTGTATATATTATATACTTCAGTTCTCGCTTATCCTGAGTATGTTTCAGGCCTGCTGTAGTTCAGCCAGAGATGTGCTGCAGTTGAAACTTACCCCGAGTGTTATCTTTGTTGACTGCAGCCAGTCTCATCTGCTGGAGAGCCTGGTTCACCTCTGAGACATTCCCCTCCAGCCTACCCACTGGATGGAGGTGCACACACACACACACACACACACACACACACACAAACTGTTAACACCTCTGCCACAGCTGTGTGCAACCTAGCACTTCCTCCCCAGCCAACAATCAACAGCTATGCTACACTGCCACTGTATACAGACCACTGAGTGTGCTGTAGAAGTTCCTTGATCTATTGCCATTTCCACAGTATAAGTGCCAAATGCTTGGGGGAAGGGCACAAACAGTTCCAGCAACAGTGACAAATAACCACACCCTAAAAGTGCTACCTAGCCCCTTGAACACTAAAGATGTGCTAAATCTCTACTTTAGTGGGTGGACACGCATGGGTAGTCAGTACTGCAGTCACCTCTTTCCTGAGCTGCCAATAGCTGAGTGAGAGCCCTGTCGGGAGCAGCATTTGGGGGAAGAGAAAGTGATCTTGTGACTACTGCCCAGGATGGGTGTCCAGATGGCTGTTTCCCACCCAGTCGGTTGATTGATAGATCACATGTTGGAACTCTGTGACACCATAGAAAAACACTGGTTCTGTGTTTGCCTCATGAATTTCGGCATCCAGTGTGGAACAAATGACCAAATATAGCACTATAGCACTATAGTTCCGCATGGGTGACAACTGGGCGTGAATATCAGTTTTCGTGTGAATATCGTTGAGATGTGGGAGTTGCTATAGCAAAGTGTTGCCAAGGCTTTTCCAGTAGTGCATGTCTAAAAATAACCATGCACGTCACTTGTGTAACTTGCACGCTCCATCAATTTCCTATTGTGGAAGTGTAAAAATATTGGCCACGCAATTAGTCAGTTCCAGGTAGAGTTACTCAGTGCAAAGTATGCATGCAAGAATTACGTATGTGAGTTGCATGTTTGCATACGTAAATCGCTACACGAAGGCTTCTTAGCTTGGACTGCACATTCCAATCCGTTCGTTAACTCTCGCTAGCAACCTTGTGGAAGTCATACACACAACTGGGAGGGAGCTATAGAGTTTAGGCCATAAACTGATAAGTATATTGGGTGTCTGTCTCCTTGGCTATGGTTCCGCATCACAAAAGAATGCGTAATATATACACCGACGGGCCATTGTTGCAACACACGCAGTTTTCACCATTCAACGTAAACACACACACTGTCCCAAGATGTAACTTTTCCAATAACACATGTGCACATTGGTACTTCACTACCGGAAAAGTTCTACTGTACGACGCTTTTCTTGCAGCGATACGCACACACGCTGGCTGTTGCTATGAGTCAGGAATTAGACCACGTCAGAGGAAACTTGTGCCGTGTACAGTTCTTGTTATCATAATGAACTCTGTACCGAGTACACAACGTCAGCATATGGCGTTACATAGGCGTGCACTGTATGCACTGTAAATGTGTATGATTTGCAGTTCAGTAGCATATCATCACTTCCCCATAAAATCTAAAACTACCCCCACAGTCATCAACAGCAATTATCCAACAAATATGAACCCAGTGGCTTACACCTAACGTAAAATATCCCGTTTATGATCAACATAGAACTATAAAACAATACCATTGCTCACATATACATAACCCGGTATTGTGCACAGTGCATGGGCATTATGTGCACAGAGGGAGCGGATGTAGTAAAATGTGCATGCCATATTACGTAGCTACATCGTCCCAGTCCCAGATCCTGAGAGTGGGACATCAAAATGCTTGGATTCCGCCATAAATCCCAGTCTCTCCAAGCTTTAAACGAGAAATTATATACTTGTCAGCTTTCCAAATGTTCCTGAGAAGCCCCTGCAACTATAACATTAAGTCACTTCAAAAGCTAGTGTAATTCATTGACGAGCTGAAACTGTATATCCTACATCCACACAGTAGATTTTGCGCGGGATCCACTGCATCAGCAAACGGTGCTGTTACCTTCAGTAGCCCCCCCCATACACACAGCCATTCATGCAGAAAATGCTCCTATGCTATATCACATGATCCCAGAGGTGAAAAATGATGAATACTACTACAATCCTGCACACTGCCTCACTGGTGCATATATGGTAGCATTTTTGGAACGATGTCATTCGGCACTTCCATGTACAGATGCAACCGTCATGAGTAATTAATCATCCAACCACTCGAGATGAATAGTTTTTTGGTTAGCACACAAGCATAACATGCCAGTGCAATGTTTGGTAAATGGCGTAGGCTTAGCCTTGACAACCGTGGCTATAAATAGCAACAGGTGGTTAACTTATCAGTTTACATACACCCATGTTTGTGTTCATCCGCAGTGCCTGTTAGTTTGTTGCTATAGTGACGCCATTAACATTCTACGCCACACGTGTTAGAGATGAGAAGGCATTCTGTGCCTACTCAAAGCAAGCCTAAGTACATATGCCTATAGTAATCTGAACTGTTCTAATACCATAAATCATATGGAACAGTGTCTCTGTGTGAAAAATAAATATACAATACACATATGTCGTCTATCTAACACCTTTAAAACTGAAAATGTGAAGGTTTTTGCAACTGTGCAGTTGGCATGTGCATGGCACGTTAAAAGTCATGAAAAAAGCTTTTGCGATTTCAATTCTTTAATCTCGAAAAAGCACTCCTTCAGTGACCAAGCATTAACCGTGGTTGATGTACCAAGAAGGGGATTTCACTTCCGTGCATACTCGGCGTTCAAATATGAAACTCCCACAAGTGGTTTCCAGCAAAACAAAAGTGAGTGAAAAACGATTAACACATCCGTCAAGGTTCAGAGTGTATGTATGCGAGGTGACATCACGAGGTTACGTTTATCTTGCGGTTTGTGCTCATTGTCTTTTCTAATGGGCTCAGTTCACTAACAGTCTAGTCTGTACACATATTATCTGTTGCTCCTCGTCTGTTTTCTTTGGAGAGAATTTCCGGGTGAGTGTCTCGGGAAATAAAGAAACACAAATCCCTCCTCTGATGATCAAATTATGTCACTTTCAACATACACCCCCACACCGGTGTATAATTCAGATACCACCACCTACAAAAAGCACTAGCAGTGACCTGGGAATGTGAGTGCAGTGGTGTCTGCTGTACAGCCAGGCATGCATAGGTCATCATGTGGTATACTGTATATACACAATCTGGCATCATATACCATAGTTTATACAGTCTGGCATCATGTGATTATGTACAAAGGTCGGAGAGAGGTCAGTTGTTAAGGTGAAAGGTGAAGGTCTTTAAGTCACACATTGCGACCTCCCAACACACACACACATCATGCGTAGTTCAGATAAAAGTCTTTCCAAAACCATATGTTTCCTACATAGACCTACACACAGACAGACATCCAACACCTCTGAGCCACGTATGGCTCCTTTTGCAATGGTGTATTTGAGATGACCTGTACTTACGTAACTCCATACGTCACAAGAACACACACTCCATAACATGAGAAGGATTAACTCTCTGAAAGATGCACATGTGCTTCACTAAAAGGTAATAGCAGACAAATTAGACGCACCTATCGGTTTAAAAAACCGAGAACTTGTTAATCATTCCTGCTTATAGCTTAAGACGTTAGCTATTATATTATAGCCCATGACGTAAAGTTCATAACTGCTCATTAAATTCACTACGACAACTCAATGAGAATACCCTACACAAGTACATACATACATTGGTCTCGTCCAAAGTCATCCCCACTGACTTACCTGACACCCTATTACGTAATGATCATGTGATTGGTATGCAGTGGCATACATATATGACATTTCGACTCAGGGAAAAGGGTGGTTACTGACTTTGAACGTGTACACACTGGGCAGTGCCACACATGCATAGTACATACTTCACATACTCAGAGGATGGAGGTTTGAGCATTCTGTGAAGTGAGAGTCCAGAGAAAGCTTGGACCTCACGTGCCACGCTGTCTTGCAGTACCCCTGCTGCTCTGGTCAGCTCACGGTGGTGGCCCAGTACATGCTGTTCCACATACCTCTGTAGCTGTAGACAAACAGACTGACTAACACTCGTACAGGCAAACAGACAGACAGACAGACAGATGACACTGGATCAGCAAGCAGTGGAGGGACATGTACAATGCCAGAACTAAGGGCAAATAAATGAAACGAAAACAATGAGACAGACAGACAGACAGACAGACAGACTACTAACAGGCTGACAAACTGACAGACAGACAGACAGACAGACTACTAACAGGCTGACAAACAGACAGACAGACTACTAACAGGCTGACAAACAGACAGACAGACAGACAGACAGACAGACAGACTACTAACAGGCTGACAAACTGACGGACAGACAGACAGACAGACTACTAACAGGCTGACAAACTGACGGACAGATAAACTATACTTTCAAATGCGGTCACAATAAGGGGTTAGTCTAGGTTTAAGTACACACGAAATCACGCGATACTTAAACAGTGTTCAATTTATGGCGGGAATTCCTTTCAACAATGCAGTGTTTAGTAAACTGGACTTCAATTCATGAGAGTCTACGTAAGTGTTAACATTGACTTAAACATCAAAACAAATGCCCGAAAATTGGTAAAGTTCAAAATTTTCATCATGGGGTCCAGTGCAACGTCACTTTGTTCAAACAATTGGAGGACAGTTAGTAAACTGGACTTCAATTCATGGGAGTCTACGTAAGTGTTGACATTGACTTAAACATCAAAACAAATGCCCGAAAATTGGTAAAGTTCAAAATTTTCATCATGGGGTCCAGTGCAACGTCACTTTGTTCAAACCTTACAAGTGCACATGCAACGTCTCAAATAGAAATGATGACGTAAAGCTCTATATATAGCACGTGAGACACGTGTACTAGAGGGGCCCATGTGATCGCTGTAATTATAGAATAGAATGCAGTGAATGTCACCACTTGCCCTGCAAGGCACATTCATATATATTGCATAATGTGAAATACGCTCATAGAGGACATGCCACACACCGTTTCATATATATACCTACGTATGATAATACACTGGCTAAAGAGATTCACGACATTCCAAAGATGCTTGTGGTTTTGCCGTGCGGTTATCACTGTTGCAGAACCAACGCGAATAAAGAACAACTATGAAAAATTAACAGACAAGTGTATTGGGATAGTGTGGGGAAGGTTTAGAGAGAAAACTCAGGAACCAGCCATCTGCGGAAAGGAATGTAATGGGCAGGGGGCTATTAGTATTGGAGGACAAGCCATCCGCTGATATTTTCCTAGCAGAATTCGTATTTGGTACCAAATTGGAAGGTTATTAAACATAGGTAACAGATTACAGGGTTTTCCTCGTAACCACGTGCATGCATGCTCGTTTGTTTGTGTCTGTGTGTTGTCAATCTCCACTCAATACCAGCTGAAAATCCTCAGGAAACGACCCCATGTGCATTTTATCCACAATAACCTAGTTGGAATATGAAACAAACGTTCTCTCACTGGACACTTTTTGTTCTTTACGTAAGTTGCTTGGTCTGTGACCCCAGTGCTACACATGGAGTACGGTGAATACGGACTCCATGTGGGGGAAATAGTCAGGTGTCCTTATTTCAGGGGTTAAATTGCATGTAAGAAACTGTTTTTGTGGAATGCCTTATTAGATGGTTGACCTCATTTCAGGTGTGTCCCTAGAACTGTGTATTACACTTCTTGTGTGACTCTTTGCACTGCACTTGCGGAGGGACGATGGCTAAAATAAAAGCCCTCCCCACATCTTTGGGAGTTTGGAATCTTGTGAATCTTTTCCAGACGCTATATACTGCTCTGTGGTATGTGCTCTATAAACATACTTCCCCTCTACAGACAGTTTCTGTCCCGAGAGAGCATTTGGGATAAGTTACTCCAACTTGGCACCTCTTTATTAGTGGGCCTATACACATACATACCTCTCTGTACTGGGTCTGTAACCGGTCCCTTGCAGACGAGTTATGAGCAACCAACCCACGAATCTCCTTCTGTTTTGACTCCTGTTGAAAATGAAAAACAACAATGCTTAGACTTTTAATATTGCCGTTTCTTTTTTCCCGGTAAAAAAAACACGCCGTGGCCATTGGTGGGTGAATTTCCCCCCCTAGCTGATTGCAGAGGTCACAGGGTACACAAACATGAGCCTAATTGGGAGCTGAAGTGTGTACATCTTGTGGTGTGGGGAGTCTAGGGATCGAGTGGGAATACTCTCTATTACTGGTGGTTTGTGCCTATACTGTTTGCATACTCAGTAACCAGTGAGCTAGTAACCAATGACCTACATACATACGTAGTCTTGTGATGAACAGTCACAATATAGGACACCTACATACAGTAGAACCCCTCTTTAAGGACACCACTGAAATGATCCTCCAAGAACAGTTACAGTTCTTGCATTCAGTTTAAACCCTGAAATAAGGACACCTCACTATAGACACGGACACATATGCTGTCCTACTGTGTCCAGATTAACTGTATTTAAAAACCTCAGAAAAGGGATACCACTGTCAATTCAGTGCTAGTGCACTGCTGTATTTTGCCGTTCACTCGCTAAAAAAATTCGTGATAGTATAGCTAGAAGACATAAACAATACTAGTCTGTCATTAATAGTGCGGACACTGTGATGCATAAAGCTAGGATCCGAGGTTTGCGCAGCACAATCCTAGGATTGTCCGAATCCGAAGCTTACGCCTAACATAATTATACACTTTTGACCAACCTCGGCCCTGTGCTATAAGGAACTGACGACAGAGATAAACACACGGCCCATTGTACCAGTGTCACGGTACGTATATTCAACAGCTTATTTCAACACCGACAGGATGTAATAATGTATACAGTCACTTCCAGGTAAAGTCCACGTTACACAGGAACTGGCCACTCAACGCTAATAAGCTAGAACAGTGTACATAGACAGTGGCTTCCTTGTGGCTCTGATGCACAGAGAGGACTGAGGCAGTTAAGAGTACATAGTATTGGGTGAGAGGCAGAGTGTCTTGGCAACCGGCTGACCAGACCCCAAACTGAAGCCAGACTCTGACACCAACAGACAGGCCCAGAGAGAACCCTACCCAAGACCAGACAATATGTAGGTGTGCCAGTCAGCGACTTCCCGGAACTGATGCCAATATTAATTGGCAAGTGGGCTGTAATGGCAGCTCTCTAAGGACTCGTGACTCTATGGGATGCCACCATAATAATAGCATAGTTTTGGTGGGCAAATGTGAAATTTCAAACACACAATTACACAGCATCATGGTGACAGTACCAGTGGTGGTCTTGAGGGGAGATTGTGCAATTCGGACGACTGGGTACATGTAGTTACATACACTTGCTTCGCTTGCTTTAGGTGTGCCAGTCTGCCTCATGCAGCAACGTTGCATAAGATATTATGCATTGTGGGGCAGCCACACTGCATAAGAGATCAATTGCATGTGGTACTATGATAACCATGGAAGAGGTATTGGATATCCAAAAACCTCCATTTTTTTCAGGTAGTAACCAGGACACGGGCCTAGATCACCCCAGCCACAATTAAGTCACCACTTACCCCCTTCCTATTCTCCTTTTAAGAATACACATACTATTTACCATCTCTCTCATCTCCATATAATAGTGCGATGAAACCTCAACTAATGTATGAGGATGACTATACTATAATAATATGCCGATGCTGTCACACTATAGACATGTATATACTTGAGCAAACATCGCATAGAGAGTGGCTCAAATATCACACTGTATACACGTAACAGTGTTTGCCTGCCAAACGTACACATTCATTAAGCAGGACATGGTGCATGTATTGTATGCTAGGGCTAGATAATAAGCTACATGAGGTGGGTGTGGCAGAAAATGACAGCCTTAAAAGGTTCACAACAGTAGATGGAAAGAACGCACACTACGACCAGAATGAGGTAAACCTGTCACTCTCTGAAAATAGGACTTGGTAGGTTGATCGTAATATATCAAACTAACGTAATAAAATTCCTATTCGGTTGCAATTTCCTACTCAGTCAAAAAGGCATATTTCCTACTCATCAGTAGCAGCGTCATCACAGAGGTCTGATAGAACTCACGGCAACTCGAGCAAACTCTTGAATCTTCCCCAGTCTGTTCTGGAGGTCGGCGACGGCTCTGCGTCTCTGGTTCCTGGCGTCGTCCAGAGAGGAACACAGGGACCTCAGTCTCTCCAGGGCAGCCGCAGAACCAGCACACTCCAGCTCCAACCTCGTGTACAGTTGCCTATTGTGTATTGAAATCAGGAAGTTCAGGTTTTTAAGCCACCCGCAAAACCTAAATCTTGTCTACCTGCCTGCATAGTTAACCTAAAAAAGGACATTTTAACAACTTTCATCATATTAGGGGTGTCTTTTTAGAGAGGGATTCCACTGCAATAGCACGTATGTGGCTGTTCCAGTGATTGTGTATAACATTTTTGTTTGTTAGTCTCACACTCATACATAACCATCCACGTAACCTGTTGTTCCATAATAACGTTCAGTGTATGCTAAATATACAGAAGCTGTACGAATACAAGGAGTAGCAGAACATACATACCACGCAACCATGCTGAAAGCTATGTGAACAATCCAGAAGACCCGGCAGAACCAGTTGATTAAAGAGCTTCCATTTATGACTTGGAACCCATGCATTTAGAACCTAGCTAGAGGAGAGAGTCTTTCGTAATAGGGGGATACCCCCTGCAAGCCTTCTTTGCTGCTACGTATTTTTTATTTGACACACAATTTTAAGCAATTTTGACGCAGAGCAGTTGGCTCACTTGGCCAGTTCCAGTGCCTCCTGTTGTCCGTCTGGCGGGTCGCGATACGTCTCCTGCAGCAGCTGGAGAGCCTGTGTCTGCAGCTCAGTGGCTCGGGCTCGAGCTGCTCCAGCAGCACTCCGGGCACGCTCGCTCTCCATGGACCTCCTTATATGGGACAGCTGGGCCTCCTGCATACGCATGGTGTGTGTGTGTGTGTTGGGTATACAGTGGAACCCCTCAATTACTGTCATGGTGACAGAACCCCTCTCTAAAGACACCCCCCAAATGTAACATCTTCTACACTTCCCTTCCCATAGAACTTTTCTTGTATGCTAAGGACACCTCACTCATTAGGACATGCTTCTTCTCCGTCTCGCAGGTGATAGGGCTTCCACTGTATAATATTATAGAGCTATGACAATCCATACAAAAACCTGCCCCCATTTCCTCATTAACCAGCATCATGCATGCTCCAGCCCCTACAGTGCTGTACTGTCCTGCATTATATAAGTATGGCAAAAACTGATAAACCGTGACTTTCTCGACAGAAACAGGCAACACAAATGAGCAAGTTTCCTTCCCATGTCATGTACTGCCTGACCAAATGCACATTATGGATTACGAAGGGGACACGAAAGGGCAACACAACTTCCACGCTAACCATAACCTTCCACGCAACAATTACACAAACGACTTTCCACTTCCTTTTTTCTCGGTAAGGCAGACGTCGGCTTATTTCCTACTTTTTCGCACCACACTAGCTGCACTAACAACGATGAGTCATCGGTATACAAACAATGCACTCACCAGTAACGTACACACTGGGAGCTAGCGAGTGGTGCTTAGCCATATTAATTGCCACAACAAAACAGCAGGCGGCATGCGTACTGCTGTGGTGCAGTTCAGCCAGACAGGGACACAAGTGAATTGAATTTCTCGGAAAGGTCGAGTGAGTGAATGTGTACGAGCTTTCAGTACATGTACATGTAATGTTATAATGTAGTAGGGAATGTATATACTGGCGTCTGAAAGTTGCTGGAAATAGAAAATGTTGTTTGTTATGCGATCACGCGCGTGTGTGTGTGTGTGTGTGTGTGACGGTGTGTGACGGAGTGTGGGAAACCGGAACACACGTGAATGCACACGGTTACGATATTGCAGCAGATGAGCCGTAGCGTAACGCCAGGGGGTAGAATTCTGTGATAGGCAGGGGGGCGCCAGATTCCCGGAAAGTCGCAGAAGCTTTCGGTACAGCTGGTAGTTACTCCAGCAGCGACGACGACAGCGTATGAGAGTTGCAGAGGGACGAAAGGTGTTGTTTTCAAGTCTCCGGCAAATGTGTGTGATGTGGGAAACAAGTTACTGTTTTCTACGGCTTTCCAAGAAAGTTAATCTACTAGAGTCCCTGCTGGAGCAGTCGACATGCCATATGTAATCCTATAGCCTTCCAGTTTCATGTACGTATGTACATGTCTCAACAACTTGGTAGCGAGGTAGAAAGGCAAGGCAAGGCAAGGCAAGGCAAGGCAAACAAGTCAACTAGAAGAAGAGTTGCCCTGGGTGGGATTCGAACCCACGACACTCTGCAGTCTAGGCGAGCACTCTACCAACTGAGCTACCAGGGCAACTCAGCTGGTACATATATATCAACTCTGTGTGTCCATATGTATTTAACTATAATAGAACAGCGAGATCTGAAACCTATGAATGCAGATAGCCTAAATGCAGAGGAGGCTAAAAAAACTATGGGACACAAGGGTGGTATATAAGACAGCTCATAATTATGTTAGAAGACTAACTACCTGTAGCAGTCCATAGTTTGATTGTAGGGTAATGGAGCTATGCATTGATGGTAAAGGGAGTGTGTGGGCTGGCAGGCTGAGTAGGGCTTGATTACAGCCACATGAAATGCAACAGAAGACTGCAGAGTGTGTGGGACCGAAGGCACTGTGGTGCTACAGTAGGCCACTGAACTGCAAGTACTGTACGTGCAGGCTACTTGGTGTGAGTTTGGAATATCTTGGTGTGAGTGAAAGGAGGGTGTGTCTGGGATGGATGGGCATTCACATGCCACCTATGCACTGTCAAGTACGTATCAAGAGAAAGCCCACACCAAACCCTTGATTGGGAACAGATGGACAGAAAGTATTTCATAGCACCATTTTTATGCGGCTTTCTGTCTAGATGAAGGAGCATGGGTGTAAAACCCACCTTCTCTGAAAATGTCTCCTCTAAAGTAAGTGCTTTGCACCCCCAAATTCCCCCCCATTAACCATTAAACAACTGCAGTTGTTGCAGCTACCAAAGGAAACCCGAGAGCTAGGCTCGTACTGAAATGTCACGTCTCACCAGAAGCTGTTCCTCCACTGCATGCAGTAGACTGGGCTGCTGCGCTAAGTCCTTCATCCCTCCACATTGACTGTCATACGAATACCTACAACAACACAGGCTCTGTTGAATAACACGTATCTGCAGACATTTCCAAAAACTACGTATCTCTCCAGTGAAAATGTATGTAAATCATTTTTACCAAAAAAATCTGCGAATCAACCTAAAACTTTCGCAATTTCATAAAATTCACCACAACATGTAGGTTTTTTTAGTTGGTATACATCACAGTGAAGTTTTAAAAGAACACTGAAGTAGTGCAGTACGTATAAGTAAGCAAAAATACTGGGAAACACAATTCAAGCAGATGTAGGGTTCATTAGATAGTAGGTGAGTGGTGGTTTATAAGGACTGGATACGTACTGAAGCTGCTGTGCATCTCTGGTGAGGTCGATGGAGAGAGTGCGTGAGTGAAGATGGCTGGTAGTCTGTTGGGTGACCTCCTCCAGAGAGGAGAGGATCTCCCCTGGAGTGTGCTGGGTCAGGAGAGCCTGAGGGAGGAGGGAGAGGGGAGAGGGGGGGAGAGGGGAGAGAGGGAGAAAGGGGAGAGGGGACAGAGGGAAAGGCGAGAAGAAGAGGTTAAACAACCTTGTGTTACCTGTACTAAACACACATTATTCTAGAACCTGGGTAGAGACAGAGGGGAAAGGGGAGGGAGGAAATGATCACATGTACCTCAATTTGTCTCCAGGAGTGCTCCATCCCCTTCTTCCTCTCCACCTCACTGCACACAATCACATCATAATGACAGAGTAACATAATTATTATACACTACGCAATTAGGGTATTTTACGAACAAGAAACGGGAAGACAAAGAATTTTGCAGAGGAAGTGCGAGCATACTGTTCCGGCAGTGTGCTCACACTGACAGTATACACCGAGGTTGTGTTGTGGGGGAGGAAAGTCCTTCTGATTGAAACTACATCCGGCGAAAAATCGCATCAGTTTGTTGTATGCGCGTGCGGAAGGATGCAACACTCCCCCCCCCCAGAGATAACACATGGAGTGCAGCTATTTCTACACCAGTCAGGTGGTTGGACAAACATTCCTGGTGTTCCTGTGACGGCGAGTGCTTAGGCCACCGAGTGACGCAAAGAGGTACAGTGTACACGCTACAAAAGAGACACACTCCAGCGTACGTACATGGGCACATACAGGCTGCAAAAGACATATGTACATGCCAGTGTACACACACACACACACACCGGGAGAGTGAAAACAAACATTTGCGACGAGTCTGTAATAACTAACACGTTACGTCAGTACTCCAGACAAGGGGCTAACAGACACGTTTGCTGCGTACTCCTCCCACTGAAGCGACTAAAAACTTACGTACCCAGTACAGGTTTATCCACTCGAGGGTTACAAACTAGCCTCCAATAATAAAGTTAGGTTGAATGGAGGACACACCTCCACCTCCACCACTCACTAAGACACACGTGGACCTGGTATATACTGTATTTTACACAGGGGAAGGGGGAAATCCCCCCATTAACCCCCCCTACAGCAACTTCAGTAGTCAAACCACATGACTTGTTCAAGTGTGGCTCTTCCAGAGCATTATCCCTCCTCTTTGCAAAAACAATGACTTGATGAGCTGGGCTACCCACTGTCGATTTTCGTGGCTTGTGATCCTGGCTAGCTTCCTGAGAATCTGACAACATCACATACACACACTGGTTTCATATAGAGGAAAGGTCTTCAACCCAGTGATGCATTACCCAGAAAACCGCTCTCAATTCTGACTACAGTTACGTATTTCAAAAGCAATATCCTGGGGAAATTACATCTATAGTGCTATGCACCTCCAGATGCAACGCTGTCTTCCTGCACGCACATACCTCAGGAATGCTCATTCCACATATTCCTATATACTTTCCAACTATGAAGCCATTGCGACACCCCTTTTGTTGGTAAATGGTAGCGGATGACTATACGTACATGCACGTAGGTGCCTGAGAAAACTAACAGGAATGCTAATGACATGCCCTTCTCTGGCCCTGTAGCTGCCTAATTAATACAAGAGACATGCCTCCAGAGGACCACATTAGGAAGATAGGATGGCAGATTTGGACAAAGATGTGCAGAGGCTCTTGTATATATGTACATGGGACAGCATGTGAGAGGAGAAAAACAAGTGACACAGGAACACTGCCTGCCCATATTAGTGAGGCGTCGTATTGCGTGCAAAAACTGTCCAGTCACTAGCTCTCCTTATCATCTCCTTAGAGAGGGGTTCTACTGTATATCAAACAGAGAGCTCAAAGACTCCATTTGATGCCAGGCCATGTTTGCCTCCTGATGTAATCAGTTGAAGGCTTAGCTAAGAGTTTTTGCTGTGTCTGGAGGCTATTTGTAAAGCGCTATACACAGCTTGTCTGCTTGCAAGCCAAAACACACTCGGAAAGTCTGTGACACACACCAGAAATGAGTGATAATATGGTCAACCATAGTCTCAGTCACACATGCTTGTACCTGTACGTAGAACAAGCCAATTTGCCATTGTTGGTTACAATATGAATCCTGCCCAGCTGTAAGTATTAGGTAACTGCTGTTGGCCACTGAACTAACAAGGTAAGGAGGGGAACTGTGGAACAAGAGGACAAACAATGGCTCGATCAGACCAAGGGAAATATGCACGTACAGACACTGGGACTAGAGGCGGATGATGCCAGGATGGTCGCGCCCACTCCCCGTCTGACCGACTGGAAACGGTGTCATCTGGACAATAACACGCGTCAAACCACACACACACCAAGCCCTCCTGAAGTTCTGTTTGGAACAGTGGGAAATCGAGAACATTCAGGCACACTTGGCTACTGCTACGCACAACCCTCTCCACTCCACAACAAAGGATCTGTGCATACCCCCAGTTTGGTGTGTGTGTGTGTGTTTTATGGCTGGGATACGTATGTCATGTGAGGACAAAGGTCCAATGATGCTGTAGTTGTATGAGTAAATACACAAAAGAGTTGTATGTATGTACCACAGAAGATGTACATGTTGCACAGACATATCATACACATACATATTAAACCGGACGCAATCGTAAGACTTTGTAGGTGTCATTTCCGTGATTTCGCACAGTCTACGAGCTCACCTTTGACCTCCAGAGTGACTGCCAGAAAGGGTCTCCTCCAACTGGGTACATATGACCCTCACTGAATGCTGAGAGGGGGAAAAAATGTCGAAGTGTTGCATAATACTAAGTTCAGTTGGAACGAAAACACATAGTGTTGTATTCTGTGGACAGCATTAACGATTCCAGCAACTTTCACACAATTTCGCAGTTCATAAGCCGCCTGCAAAAGATTTTTCCTACAAATTTTCTTAGCAAAATGCTCGTTTTTCTAGAAACCTGCTAATAAAGTGGTTACCACTGCATCATAGCAGGTGTATAATGCATAAACATGAATCTGAATCCAACACAGACCGACTCAGCTGCTAGTCTTCGTCTTGGCATTAACATGCCACACCCGTGAGGTGGATATGGGAGAGAGGATAATGGAGTGGGTGTGTGGTAGGGGATGTAGGGTCTCTGCAGCACTTCTGTGGGGTGGGGTGGGCAGCTCACCTGTTTGACCTTACTAGGACACACAACCCACTATTTCTATGCCGGCAGCATGCAGTGATATCACACTACGTATATAGGTACATAGCTGAGCAGTGTGCACATGTGTGTGTGTGTGTGTGTGTGTGTGTGTAGTAAGGGCTCTGTTAGAGTTACACAATGAGTCGACAGAAAAGAGTGGGAGGTGGAGAGGGCCGGGAGAGAAGCAGTTGGTACCACAGATAAGGGGTTTCACCATACAAAGAGTGGAATAAATGTAGCCGGACTCTCTACTGATTCAATACCAGTTGTACATCACATGACTCCTTCAACCACAGCATGGAGGAACAACAGCAGCACAGAGATACATAAATTGAAGCAATGCTGCATCAGTGAGCAGAGGAGGGAAGCAGTAAATCTCTAATTTCCTTTCCATTTCCCATTAATTCCTTCTTCCTAGTACTATTACACCGACCTCTAATTAATCCTTCACTCAATCTCCTGCCCTAGGTGGGATTCAAACCCACGACACTCTGCTTTCTAGGCGAGTGCTCAAACAACTGAGCTACCAGGGAAACTCAACTGGTAGGAGTTTAAATCTTCAGCTCCACATAAACTTTGCACACAGCATTTCCAGGTCACCAAAAGTGTAATAATATGCAAAAAGCAACAATTGGTGATATTTCGTAGCATAGTTTAAAACAAGATGGCACAAACGCCGCAGTATATAGCCACATGTGGTTTGCCTGCACTAGGTATACCTGACAGCAGTGAGAGACAGTGACTGTAGGGATGCCTGGGTCAGGATGTGGCCAGCTGATGAATGCCTTGTGTATTACACACACACACCCACATAACAATTCCACGAGTCAGAGGAAATGGAGTTAAACCCATGCTCCTGGGAGTGAAGTCTGTGGGAAAACTACAGCTGCTGGTACTAGAGGAATGCAACGCACTTTCGGCGAGCAAAGCAAGGATTTCAGTATTCCGCGCGTGTTTTTGTGCATATTTAGAATCAAGTCAACATTACAGTATGTGCAGTGCCCGTTCACCGTTACAGAGGAAATATATAAATGTACGGAAAAACGGGAAAAATCCCGCATTCAGACGACACAGTAGGCTCACTTCGCGAGCCAATTACTACACTGCACTTTTGTGGGGGCGCCAAGTACGTGTGCCAGTAGCTGGCTCTTAATTTCTTTATTAGCACAACCACTTGCAAACTCTCCAGATGCATAATGTTATCTCGAAGGCTAGCAAAATTTTTTCCACCTTTATTTCTCATTTGTCAACTGCTCATGCTTCAGCAAGTGTTTTCGACTTTTTTCATGTACATCAGTGACATTAAAATGAGCTGGGATAAGCAGGAGTTTGTAAATCAGAGCATCAATTACGTTATTGTGTTTCGTTTTGTTCTTTACCTCCTCTTACTTTAGCAGTTAAAAATGCTCATAGGCGAAACTGCTTATGTATGTAGGAAATGCAGTGACAAAACTCACCTGGTTATCTCAACCCGGTCCCTCTCTCCGCCCCACACCACTTCTTCCCCCATTACCCCATTAGACCATTACTCACTGTGCATGCTGACTCCAGTACAGTACCACCTCCTCCTCCTCTCTGGGCCTCCTCCACTGTCTCTTCCTTAACACCAGCGTCTTGCCTGGCGAAGTAGCACGCTTCCCTCCCCTTTGGTCTGATATAAGGACAAAAACAGTCACATACATGTATAATTGTCTCCTGCACAGAAGAAATTATCAACAACCCCCAGTTGCTGCAGGCGCTATTTCAACAAAGCTAAACTGCAACAGGGAGACCCTGGGGACGAGGCTAGTATAGCTCCAGGATAAATGGTGCAGATTTTGCATATTATCATATGAGACTCTGATGTGAAAACCTGCTATTATTGATCAGCAAAATGTGCATGGCATAGCACAAGGCTACAGCTAGACGGTAACAGACCTGCACACCTACAGATGTATAAGGGGTAAAGCATGGAGAGAAAGAGAGCTCAGACTGACCTATTGAACAGCTCGGCCCTGGCTCTGATCCGGCGGGTGAATTCCTGCAGGGCTCGTGTCGTCTCCTGGCAGAGGTGGGAGTGGGCAGAGAGGAGGACTGTGCCTCGAGACAGTTTCGACACTTCACCTTGGACTCCGACACCAGCCTCAGCTGTAGGATAGGATAGGGAGGGAGGGAGGAGGTGGGTAAGGAGGCAAAGAAAGGAGGATGAGCATGTTGCAAGGTTTGCATGTTGCAAGTACAATGCTATATATTCCGAATGAATCGATTCGCCATAATATTGACAACCGACCCAGTTGTGTTATGTTCTCCCTCAAGTGAGCAACATCTTTGGTCATCTGCTCCACGGCCATTCTCAGAGAGGCCTCTTCTCTAGCCAGCCTGCTCCTCTCTCTTTCCATCTCTCCCCTGCCCACCTCACCCCCTCCTCCCCCACCTCCTCTTTCAACATTGTGCCTGATCATTAAGCATGAGTCACACACAGCATTGTTTCATGAGCTACCTTAGAAGAAACTAGCGCCCGTCATGTGGCATACAAATATTGCAAATATCGCAAAATCAGTGCTTTTTGTTTATAGTCACAACATAATATAATATAATATAGCTTTCCAACTCACAAAAGGAGATTGCCTTGAATTATTTCAGCTTTACTGTGGAATTGAAAGTGCATGCATAAGTGTACCACATCATGCTATAGATATCTATTACTCACCTTGGAGATTTTACGTGCTCGACAGCAAACTCCAAGAGTCCAGCCAGCTCCCCGCGCACCAGTCTGCACATGCGCACAAGGTTAACTACAGGGTGCGCATCAAATAGAGCAAAACTACGCAGGTCATAATTTCTTTCTGGCTCTAGTAGCAGCGAATGTACGAAGGTTATGCTTACACTTGGAGATCTTCCTGTCGCAGTGCACCCTCCTCTCCACCGGAATACTTCATTTCGTCTGTGGCCCACTCCCAAAGCCGTCTCGCCAACCGAGACTTAGAGCCTTTGCTGCTCGTCGGTCTCTGGCGACCTCCTGTAGCTCTCTCAGTTGGTTTAGACATGGAGTAGTTCACTGCTGCATAAGACTTCTGCCCTTTTAGTTGTCCGAGGTTTGCATTTCCCGCCGTCTCTATTTGATGCGCACCCTGTAGATCTCAGAGCCACGCATGCGCATATCAACCAAGTTTACGCATGCGCAAATCAAAAATCACATGACACACGGTGCGGTGGTGGTGGATGATTATCGGTGAAACGGCATCCCAGCAGATCGGACGTTTTCTTGTGTGCTAACAACTTCAAGTTGCTGTCTTGTCCGCGTACTGAAATTCCAGAAACAACATGAGGGCTCTCCTAATCCTAGCGGCAGCCGTAGCTGTATCCGTCGCCTTCGACTTCCCTGAGGAGTGGGAGCTCTGGAAGAAGGTAAGCTGTGCACACACGAACAAAATTTTGTGCGTTGTAACTGCAGAGGCCCATTGCTATGTGTGTTAATCTACAATCGCGAGCATGTGTTTTTTGTACTCTGACAAGCTCATTTGGCAATCTTGTGTGTTTTAAAAACCACCTACCTCCAACCCACCCAGGAGCATAACAAAGTGTACCAAGACCCCCTGACCGAGCTACGTCGCCACACAATCTGGCAGGCCAACAAGAAGTACGTGGACGAGCACAACGAGCACCTAGCTCCCCTTGTCGGCTTCACGGTGGGAATGAACGAGTATGCCGACCTGGACTCAGCCGAGTTTGCCAAGCAGCTCACCGGCTACCGCAACAGACGCAACCGCCTACCGGCCTCCAAGACGTTTGTGGCAACCAATGCTGCGCTCCCCGACAGTGTGGACTGGCGCACAAAGGGCTATGTGACAGGGATCAAGAACCAGGGGCAGTGCGGCTCCTGCTGGTCCTTCAGTGCCACCGGCTCCCTGGAGGGACAGCACTTCAATGCCACGGGGAACCTGGTCTCCCTGAGTGAGCAGAACCTCGTGGACTGCTCCGGAGCAGAGGGCAACGAGGGATGCAACGGAGGACTCATGGACGATGCCTTCGAGTACGTCATGAAGAAAGGGATTGACACCGAGAGCAGCTACCCCTACGTGGCTCGGGACGAAAAATGCCGCTTCAACAAGGCTAACGTTGGGTCAACTTGCTCCGGTTTCACTGATGTCAAGCACGAGGACGAGATGGCTCTCACCCAGGCCATTGCCACTGTCGGTCCAATCTCTGTCGCCATCGACGCCTCCCACAACAGCTTTCAGCTGTACAGCAGTGGAGTCTATTACGAGCCATCCTGCTCCCAGACTGAGCTGGACCATGGAGTCCTGGCTGTCGGCTACGGAACTGACAGCAGCAAGGACATGTACATCGTGAAGAACAGCTGGGGCGAAAGCTGGGGGATGCAGGGCTACATCTACATGAGTAGGAACCGCAACAACAACTGCGGCATCGCCACCGATGCATCCTACCCGGAAGTGAAAGCCAACTAAAAAATTGTTGTCGAACCTCGTAATATTACATGAGTGTATTGACCCCTAATATTGTAAAGTGTTATTCTTAGGCCTGTGTACATTTACTTATTGGTCTTGTATATCGAGCAACGCTGCAGAATAGCATTTTTGTGGACGTCATTGTGGTTAGGCTAGTCTCATGATCAGTTTTGGCCGGCGCCCCCACTCTTGTTTGGCTAGCTGGTGGGTCATATGACTGCCTGCGTGGGCGAAAATCCGCATGCTCAAATTTTCATCCTCTTCCTGAGGTGTACTGCTGCAAATTCTCCTGCTTTGCAAACGCTCTCCTCTACACCTGGGAAAAGATGAAGTTCGCTCTCATATTGGTCGCAGTGGTCACACTTGCATCGGCCTTCGATTTCCCCGAAGAATGGAAAGCCTGGAAAGAGGTGAGACTCGCGCAAGCCTTGTTCTGTAGCTAACGCTACACGCACGTTTTTGTTTTGCAGAAATACGGCAAGATCTACGATGACGATATAACCGAGCTCCGTCGTCACGCCATCTGGCAGGCCAACAAGAAGTACGTGGACGAGCACAATGAGCACCTTGCCCAGCCCCTCGGCTTCACTCTCGCAATCAACGAGTATTCGGACCTGGACTCCGCCGAGTTTGCCAAGCAGCTGACGGGGCTCATCGGCAACCCCACGGTGGATCCGAGCGTCAAGCGTCACACCGCTACCCCAGGCGCCATCCCTGACAGTGTGGACTGGCGTACCAAGGGGATCGTCACACCGGTAAAAAACCAGGGCCAGTGCGGCTCCTGCTGGGCCTTTAGCGCAACTGGAGGTCTGGAGGGACAGCACGCTCTCGTGACCGGTAATCTGGTATCCCTGAGCGAGCAGAACCTCGTGGACTGCTCCCAAGCTCAGGGAGATGAGGGTTGCAACGGTGGGTGGCCTTTCTGGGCCTTTGAGTATGTTATCACTAACGACGGTATCGACCTGGAGAAAGACTACCCATATGTTGCCCGCGACGAGACCTGCCGCTTCAAGGCAGCTGACGTCGGCTCCACCTGCAGTAGTTATGAGATGGTCACAGAAGACAGCGAGGTAGCACTGACCGATGCAATTGCCAATGTTGGTCCAATCTCGGTGGCAATCGATGCCTCTCATGCCAGCTTCCAGATGTACAGCAGTGGAATCTACTACGAGCCATCCTGCTCCACTACTGAGCTGGACCATGCAGTTCTTGCCGTCGGCTATGGATCCGATAATGGCCAGGACTACTACATTGTGAAGAACAGCTGGGGCGAAACCTGGGGGATGAAAGGCTACATCGACATGAGCAGGAACCGCAACAACAACTGCGGCATCGCCTCCAAGGCCTCTTACCCTATCGTCAAATCTTAGATACTATACAGATGGGAATGTATAACTCTCAATAATGATTGATGTGTGCCGTAAACTGAAGGTAGCTGAGTAGGTTATGGTTAATGGTCTTTTCAGTGTGTATATAATGGTCTTTTCAGTGGAATATAATGGTCTTTTCAGTGTAATATAATTATTATAAGAAAATCGACCGATCATTAACGTGATGATCATCAGAGCGCAAAACTTCGTGTTAATACGCATGCGCACTAGACTCGCAAGCAGCCGTATAAAAGGCCGGCGCGTCGCTGTCTCCCCTGCGCGCACCTTTCTCTCTCCTGTTCAGGTGCCTTCATCCTCTAACCTACGCCAAAACGTCTTCAGCCATGCAGCGGGCATTGATTCTCTTTGCAGTCGTGGTTGCCGCCACCGCCTTCGACTTTCCCGAGTGCTGGAAGGCCTGGAAGAAGGTGAGTGACTAGCAGTAGTTTCTGCAGCTGTGAGCTGTTAGTTTACAAACTCGTAGTAATGTGTTTACCTACTTGAAAAATTCTGGGCTTGCAGGAGCATGGAAAGATCTACCTTGACGATATAACCGAGCTCCGCCGTCACGCCATCTGGCAGGCCAACAAGAAGTATGTGGACGAGCACAACGAGCACCTAGCTCCCCTTCTCGGCTTCACCCTGGGGATGAACGAGTATGCCGACATGGACGGAGCAGAATTCGCAAAGGTTTTCAACGGCTACAAGTCCGGACGTCGCTCCAACAACGTCAAGATCTTCCATGCCACCGGTGTCTCCCTCCCCGACAGTGTGGACTGGCGCACAAAGGGCTATGTGACAGGGATCAAGAACCAGGGGCAGTGCGGCTCATGCTGGGCCTTCAGTGCCACCGGCTCCCTGGAGGGACAGCACTTCAATGCCACGGGGAACCTGGTCTCCCTGAGTGAGCAGAACCTCGTGGACTGCTCCGGAACAGAGGGCAACGAGGGATGCAACGGAGGACTCATGGACGATGCCTTCGAGTACGTCATCAAAAACAACGGAATTGACACCGAGAGCAGCTACCCCTACGTGGCTCGGGACGAAAAATGCCGCTTCAACACCGCTAACGTTGGTGCGACAGAAAAGAGCTACACAGATGTGGCTCATGAGGATGAGAACGCCCTCGCCCAGGCTGTTGCCACTGTCGGTCCAATCTCTGTTGCCATCGACGCCTCCCACAACAGCTTTCAGCTGTACAGCAGTGGAGTCTACTACGAGCCATCCTGCTCCCAGACTGAGCTGGACCACGGAGTCCTGGCTGTCGGCTACGGAAGCGACAACGGACAGGATTTTTGGATCGTGAAGAACAGCTGGGGCGAAAGCTGGGGGATGAAAGGCTACATCGAAATGAGCAGGAACCGCAACAACAACTGCGGCATTGCCACTGAAGCATCCTACCCTATAGTATAGAGAGACTAAAACTTTTTTTATTATAGAAAAGTGTGGCTTGTCGATATACATGTATACTACATGCATTGAAAGATTCTTTGGCGTGCAGAATTGGACAGGCATAGGCATGACATGCATAACACGCCTGTTTTCCTGTGGGTGCTATCACCTGGCAGTACCTTTATGTACAAGCAAATATAATAAAAGTACCCCCTACCAGAGAGCAGTGTTCTGTACGAGACGCGGAGTATGATGGGTAGATATGCCAGTTGTTGACCGATGGACGCGTGGCAGTTGGACGAGAGCCGGGGGTTCGGCGGTAGCGACAGAGTATGGAGGCTGAGGAAGGAAGGCGATGGTTTAACTGTCGGACGAGCCGCCTACTGCGACATCCATGTCTTGGTTAGTCCATACAATCCTGTTCGTTGGGAGGGGGGGGGCACTAATTAGGATACCGTCCGTTACTTTTCCAGTCGCAGTCAGTGGAGAAGAAGCACTCGGTCATAAAGTGGGACGAGAGAAAGGGAAGCTATGTGATCCATGATCTGGGATCCTCTAATGGGGTGAGGTGGATAGTGTAGCAGTGACGCATAAAGGAGTACTTAGTCTCCATCTCCTCAGACCTTTCTCAATGACCTGCCACTGAGCAATGGGGTTGCCACTCTCCGTGACGGAGACACTCTCAGATTTGGCTATGGTAGAGTGCAATCCACACAAACCACACTGTCGTAGATGCCTGTGTGTCCACAGATAAAGGTCATTTGTTTCACGTGAAGAAGGTCGAAGCACCTCGGTCCACCCCTGCTGGTGCCCCACCCCATCAATTCTCCCCTCCTCCCTCTTCCTCCTCCTCCTCCTCAACCCAGACCTCACCTGAAAAACACCACACACTACAGCCACCACCACCACAAGTATGGGACTTCTATGTAATGCTCTGGTCTTAGACCTAGTCATGACTGTAGCGAGTTATGAATCTATGGTGCAGTGGCATCAGTTATGAATCTATGGTGCAGTGGCATATTTTGTTCTTAGACTCAGTCATGACTGTATGGTCCAGTGGCATTTTATTGACAAAACCCTCATTGTTTTGTGATAGAGGACACATGCATGCATGGTCCTGCCAGATTTTCCAAAACTCTTCTGCACCATTATGCCTCCTATCACGCGCACACACACACAAGGCTTGTGATTATTGCTTACAAGCAGAGTTGATGAGATCATGCGCCTGCTGGAGAGTGGATTCACAGCCATACTTGCTCAGTACTCTAGAACACCTGCAATGACTCCAGGAATCCAATATAGCAGAGCATGTGACTGTAGTGAATATCATTATACACCCAGCCTCAGCAACAGTGCATTTTGTGTTTCTTCAGTGGATTTAGTGCTGACACATCTGCATGCATGCGTTACTCACACCTCATATCAAACAGCATGCGCATATTCTATTGTGTGTGTGTGTGTGCCGGCATCGATGCACACATACACGTATGCACGATCTACTACAGTACTATAGCTCTGTTTCCATATTCACCAAATCTGTATTCAGAAACGCACACGAGTTCAGTTGCTGCACACTCTGAACAGAGCAGCGTGCATGCAAGGAGGTCAGGCATGTAGAGTCACATGTAACTTTGATTTGGTTGAATCGCAGCCTATGCTGCTTGCTACTCATGCTGGGTAATTGGTGCATCACCACTAATCAGCTTCACATCATGTGACCTGTGTCTGTTGTGGATACTCAGAATTATATGGTAGCCTTGAATGTAGGAATGAGGGCCCACATCTTGTCACATCTTAGACAGGGTGTGGGGGAAGCTTGGCAGGAGGGGAATCTTTGCTCCTGAATTCCCAATGCTAGCATTCATGGCACAGAGTTTACACTTTCCTATAGCCACTGTTTTTGGAGTGGGTAAAGGACACTTTCTACAGGTGAGACCACAGGTATGGTTTGGGGTTTCTCTGCTATGCCAGTGTTTCGTAAACACATTGAAAGGCCCAGGAACAATAGTGTGCTTCTAAAAGGGGAATTTTTTAGGATCTCAGGTTTAGTTTCTGTCACTCCAACCTTACAGACCTCATTTGCCTGTTTTGTGGTTGGTTGGTTGGTTGCTTTCAAAAAAAATGGCCCCTACATTTGTCAGATTTTAACGGAGTGGTGTGTTTCGTAATTCCAGCTCCTACAAAAACTTTTCAAAAGCCTCATATCTATGCTCAACTCGTGACTTTTCAATTCTCAACTCGTCAAAAGCCTCATCAATTCTCAACTCGTGATCTACATACTGTTTGGATTGGTGGTAGCTACTCTGGTAATGTAATCTCTACTGTCTGTCTGTTCTTGCAGGTGACTGGTGGAGTTCAGTATGTCCCCATAGCCTCTCCCTCTGCCTCTATCATACTGTCACCCGGGCAGCCTTACCTCCTGCAACAGGTGTGATTATGCATAGGGCTGCAATGATTATGTGTAGACTAGTCAGTTGTGTATGTGTAGAATGAGAGTCACATGCTTACAATTATCCATGTGACTACTACTCACCCTGGCATGCATTCGTGTATGTTGTGTGTGTGCATGTGGGTGGATGCATTTCCTTCTTGGTGTACTCACATTGATCACTCTAATTCTTTAATGGATGGCCCTTGCTCTCCTCTCTCTCTCTCCATACGCAGCCAATCTACACTGCTCATGTGCCACACATAGGTCATGTGACTGGTCACCTGACCACCTCGTCTCCCCTGGTGACCGGCTACGTCGGTCCGTACGGCTCCCCCACTCCGCTCCCCTCCACCCCTCTCCACCTCCTCCCCTCTTACCCACTCACCCCTCACCCTTCGACACACCACAACTGGGACGCTCCTTCGTCATCAGACACCTCGTTTTCTGCTAATTTTGTCAAGAGAACTGAATCCTCAGGGAGAGCAGAGGGGAGTTATGGGGGCAGTAAGGGAAACAGTGTGGTTGGTGGTAGTGGGGATATGACTAGTGGGGGACAGAGAAAGACTGGTGGTGGAGGGGGAAAGATCGGAGTATCTTCTTCCGTTACACCTGCTCCTCGGAGTGATGGCCGAAGAGCCGTTTCACTGAGCTCTGCAAATATGCCAAGGCTCTCGGATGTGAGCAGTCTCTATGGCAGTCCCAGCTGGTGGGCGGGGGACAACGAAGGGGAAGCCCCAGTTGATACAAGAGACTCGCCCCGAAAGCCAGCGAAACGCAGCGAGCCTCAGATCCTGAGGAACATTTCTCCACCACCGTTGGCACCCTCTGGCTCTTTCCCCACGCGTCCACTCTCAACTAGAGCCACTCCCACCGGGGAAGACGTGGGAGACCTTGAGACAAACGTGAGCTCGGCGTGGACCGTGGCGACCGGGCCCCCTCGACGCTCCAGGGCCGTCCCTCCCAAATGGAGGAGACACATCCGCTCTGCCGACTCCTCACCCATCCGAACACCGCCGACCGGCGAGAGCAAGAACCGCTCCGTGTCTCCTAACGTCACTCCTCTTAGGTCTTCGAGGAACGCCTCTGGTCCTGCGAAGGCCAAGGAGTCCACTCCTCTCTCGCAGAGAATGACTGCCGGGAAACCTCGCTCCTCCTCCACCTCATCTGGGTCCAAACAGAGGCCCAGACCGGGCACTTCCCCCGTGAGACGCATGCCGAGATCCGGCTCTCTGCGAACGCCGAGGACGCAGCCCGAGACTGGGAGACAAGAGAAACAGAGAGGCCCCAAACAAGAAGACAAGGTGAAGACTGTCGTGGTGGCGCCTCAGTCAACTAGAGCCAGCAGGGCTGAGAGGAACAGCACTACAGCCATGGCATTGGAAGACAAGGTCGAATTGTCTCCTCCACCTCGTACCGACAGCAGCATACCCAGTGAGTTGAGTGGTGCCGGTGGAGAAGGCGCCGTGGGGAGCCAGAGTGGAGGAATGCTTGTGGCGTCTGGTGACTCAGAGAAACCAGTGGATGAGACGTTTGTCGTGAAAAGTCCACCAGACGAGGAAGAGGGGAGGACTGGCTCGGCCAGGAAGACGTGGAGCAGCCAATCACAGCAGGTACATTGCTAACACTAGACTGTAGCCAACACAAGCTCTTTTCACCGTCTTACCATATTCCTTTCGGAAGCGGTGATGTTGGTTTTTTAGACATTAGTAGATCATATGTAGATAACTAGCTTACATCCTTCTCTTTCATGAGAACTGTCTTTTTCTGTACACAGAATACATTATTAGCTCACATCCTTACCTTGTATTATTCTATCCATAGAACAGTCTGGTGATGGCCAGCATTGAGGCTAGGATGAAGAGACTGGACTCCATGGCTCGCAAAGTGTACCTCTCACTGTCCGCTCTGGAGGAGCAGGAGCAGGGACAGGGACAGGCTGGGCCCTCTCGGGAAACTGTGGTATGCCCCAGTCCACTGGCACCCACCATGACCGAGTCTGAGACTCACCACATGCCAGAGTGGAAGTTCTTTGACAAGGTTTGTGTGAGCAAAAAAGCCTGTGCCAAGAAAACGACATTGAGCTCTACTATGCTATGTTTTTTCAGGAGGTCGATAGTATCTTCAAGAGCATTAGGTCTGTCGAGAAGTGGCTCAAAGGTAAGAAATGGGGAAGAATGTAATTATGGTTCAAACACTGCAAGTCCTTGCTGCATGTATATAGACATTGATGTCACAGTCGGCAGACTACAGTCAGAGACAAACAGAACAGGGGGAGGGGAAGGAGAGAGGGGGGGAGAGGAATTGGATGGGGAGGGAGAAGAGGAGGGGGAAAGGAGAGACAGAGGAGGGAGTCACTGGGAGCAAACATGTAGATTTCCCAGTATTTTCTGCCTGTACATCAGAAAGTGAAAGTAACTACATACATCTGCTCACCCCTCATGGTCTCTAGTAGGTGATCGTAAATTTTCTGCAGGATCAGAGTTTCATGACAGCATTGAGGACGGAGAGCACGGTGGGATTTCTGACTAATGTCAATGTCAATCTTCAGCATCACCGAATCATTTGGCTGGAAAATTTTAATCACCATTGCTAGTGTTTGTGTATAATACAGAATTTTACTCCATTCCAACCACATGCCCAAACTCCATGCAGTTTCCATCAGACAATGGACTATAACAGTCACACATCTACAAACTGTTGAAGACTCTAAGTCTACACACGTGTGCTTTATAGCAGACCCTCGGCCAGTGAACTGCCTTGTGCAATAGCAGACCCTCGGCCAGTGAACTGCCTTGTGCAGTGTGTACATACGCGTTGAGCATGCACGCATATTATTATTGTTCACTTTGTGTAATTCCCAACACAACGTCATGAAGAAGTTGCACGAAAACTTGCTCACGGCCAGTGTTCAAACAATTTGTATATAGTCGTATGTGTGCACGATGCATGCATGTTGCATGGCGAGTGATGCACATGTGACAGGCAGGGTAGTGGTGTTGCTCTCTATGCATTGATCACTCCACTCCCTCCTCCACCTCCCGAGCTGTCCAGAGATGTGTTGGAAGAGAAGGCCATCTTGAAAGTGTATGCCTGACCATCTGTTAGAGAAGGAGGGACGGTGCATGCTGTGTAACAAATGCAGCTCACTGTAACAATTTGAGCTCAGAATTAACATAAAGCAATACGATACAACAGTCCCGTCTATTAATCAAGAACGTTCAGTTGGAAGGCCTACCCTTAGAAAGATCTCATAGTCCCTAGCGTATTATTATTGGCAAAGAGAATGCGAGGCGAAAATGCAGTGGTTTTATACAAAACTACGCACATTTGAAGCATTACGATCAGAGGGCGCCGTCTACAAATTACTTGTGCATTTCTAACAATGCTCAGTTGGTAGACTCTTGATATGGGGAGAGATATGAAAGAGGAGGATGGGTGTGACTCACTCTTGGCAAAGAGGGTGTGGTGGTTCCCGAGCACAAAGGCGTCCAGAGCAAGGTCCACGTCGCCCCACTCCATCAGACCAGTGGCACTCTTCACTGTTGGACCTGCAACACCAGGGCAATTTGGCTTACAACAGAAACACAACCAATTTACGTACTGACTGCTGAGAAAGTGTGAAAGTTTCACAATAAAACCCAGATTACTAAGTGGGTATATATAGGAAATGGAGGACTGGTCAAGGCTCACCCTGTGAGAAAAACTTGATTCCGTCTGGAGCACTAGCACCGACTTTCTCAAAAAGCTGCAACAGAAAATCCAAACAACATCCATTACAAACACAGCCAATTGTGTGTGTGTGCGTGCGTGCGTGCGTGTGTGTGTGTGCACTGACCTCCCTGATACTTTCATCAGAGCTGTCAGGTGGGCCGTTATAAAAGTGGAGAATCTTGGCCGGAGCGACGATCCTGTTCTTGCTGGTGCCCTCGGCGGTGAGGAACCTGTTGTTGCGAGACTGGGAGAAATCCTTCCAGCAGGGGGTCCCGTCGGCCAGCGTGCCGCCCTGGCTGTAGTCCGCTATGTAGCTGTGCCGTGAATAACTAGAAGAAGAGGGCGGGGGGAAAAGCTTTCCTGCAGTACCGAATTGATTACAGGAATGTGTGTCTACTCAGGTGAAACGAAACAGGGAAGAGCCCTCTGTGCTTTTCAGGGTTTAGCACTTCATTCAGCACTGCATGCACTGGGGGAAGATCCTAGTGCCTTGCTTGAATGGCTAAGAAAGCTAAGAGGGACTTATACAGGCACATCTACCAGGATATGCATGAAAGTTCAGTACTTGGACAGAGGGGGTGTGGTGTGTTCACATTCTAGACAGGTCCCTGGGCCTCACTTGAGTTCAAGAGTGGAGCCCATGAGTCCGTGTCCATGGAGATGGTGGATGGCATTCTTGGCTCCCTGGGGGTTGTCCAGGTGAGCCATGGCTGTCCCCGGCTTGTTCAGCAAGATCTTCACCTACTCACGCATGAACACACACACAGAGAGGGAGGGAGAGAGATTCATTCATCTCAAGCCAAGCAGAGGATGTCAGACATGGTCATTCTGTATCAAAGTACAACATTGCTCTGAAGAATGCCCAACTGTCACTCAGACCAGGACAAACTGCTGTGTAAGCATAAATTTCTTTACTGTAATACAACGATCACTACGCATGTCAGGACATGATGTATGCAGCAGCACAATAACAGTCGACACTTCTGACAGTAGACACACCTTGAGGACGTTTCCATACGAGCAGAGGAGATTGAAGATGTGGTCGCAGTTGAACTTGCCCTGGGCCAGGCCGTAGATCATGAGCACAGAGCCGGTGCCTGCCATGGCTGGGGTGCCAACCATGTTGTACTGCCCTGTCGGCGGCTGAGGTGGAGCTGTCCACACACACACACACACACACACACACACAAAAAGAGAGAGAAACACTATGAAAGTAAAAGGGGCTTGAGAAGTACACATATCATGATGCTCGATTTCTCAGTGTGAGTGTATAGGGAACTGAAATTCACGTATACCTGTGAACCCAATGCAAAAACACTACAACTCTTCCACCCACCAAAAGACTGGACAGTGAGCGTGTGAGTGTGTGTGTGCATGACTCACCAAACGCAGGTACATTTGGCACGTTGGGGACATTGGGCAGGTTGCCACGGAGACCCTGCTGCATGCGGCCAGGACCACCGTAGCCCGACTGGAGAGTGCGACCTGCTGGACAGTCAGACAGACAGACAGACACTCAACGCCACATACAACTGAGACCAGGCTAAAAGACTAGCAACACACCACTAGCAACAACAACACACACACACACACACTAGTAGAGAGCAAAAGAGTACACAATATACAGTACCAATGCAAAAAGCAACTGACTATAATTATAGTGAGAGTAAGTTAAGTATACACAAACATCACAAACATAAAGAGCAGGAGGAGAAAATGAAACACAAGGAGACGTACACACACACACACACAACACAAAAACAGCACCCACTCTCGGGGAGGGGGAGAGACGGGAGTGAGGGGTGGGAGAAATGAGGGGGGCCCTCCCTCCGTCCTCTCGCGAGTGTCAACTGACGCACACTGGCAGCCAGCCACGCCCCCGGTGAACGGGAAAGACGGACGGGACACTCCCGGAGCCCCACCACACAGCAGACAGACAGAGAAACGGGTTGGGCAAGCGAGAGGATGCCCGAAAGTTATCCAACGACAAAGCGGAGCAGCGGGCGGGCGGGGGTAGAGGGGCCGGGCACCGGCACAACGGAGGGCGGAGCTCACCCTGTCAATAGCACGTTGTGTGCATGCATGCATGCATGCGCGGTAGGTTCGTATGAATGGGTGGGTGGAGCATGCATAGTTTGGTGTTAGGGTGGGTGGCATAGTGCACGTTTGTGGGAAATGGGGGAGAAGGACAGAGAGAGGGGGAAGGTTATTCAACTCTTGTATACTCGTCGCTCTACGTGTGTGCCCGTTTCAGTGAACCATACTATAAAGTAAGCTAGTATGTATATACAGTCTGCAGTGTAACTGAGAGCACAACTGCCAACCTTGTGCAGTGAAGTCCCACGTCATCTCGTCGTTCTTGTACACATTCAACTTCTGGGTCTGTCGAAAAACAGTACAGACAGATATTATTACGTACAAACCAGCCTCGGAGGTATCCAAACCTTGGCGTATTCAATTTTGAGTGTGCAGCATCCAGCGTAGATATCGGCTCCATCTAACTGCTGCTTGGCCCTCGAGGCAGACGCATCCGATTCAAACCTGACTTGGAGTCAAGTCATTTTTCTCCCATACATTCACATACACACACACACACACGTCACACACCCAGGGGCATAAATAATATAGTACTACTTTCAATGGCTCTAAAAACTTTCCCGGAAACTACATGTGAAATTCGACCGTGATTCTTTGAAACAGTAGGAGATACAGTTCAACTTATTACCCTCATTCTGGTTTTATTTTCAACACTCTGGTGTAAGATTTACCCTTGGCAGACGTGACTAAAATGGCTACTCGGCATAATTTCATGACAATGTGGAAAGGAATAATGACAGAGGATACTCAACTAGGACCTGGAGACCGTTCTTCCTGAAGATGACGATGCGTTGTACAAACCCATAGGGAGAGCATATGGTGCGAATGACATCCTGCAATAGCAGAGGTAGACATGTATAGCTCGCATACATCGTGTAGTATGAGCACTGGATTCCATTCAGTGTGCAAGGATAGACTCCTGACACACACTATAGCAGGAAGCTTTTGAGGGAGGGTCAGTATATTATACTCTGTAAAAAAATTTTTTTCCTCTTGTGAGAATTGTTAGTTTTCTCTCGTGAGAATTCCCCACTATACTACGTTCCCTCTCCTAGCACATTAATGTCTGACGCCCTCAACTTTCTCCAAGCTACAAACTAAAGATTTGACCTGTGCATTTAGTATTTACCCACGCACCAGCTGGTGTGACTCACCACTGTGATTGGGTAGAGCGGGTTGAAGATTGTGAATAGGAGGATGTGATTCTCTCCAAATGCATTCATGCTGCCTCCCATCTGGTCGTGGGTCCCTCCAGGAACAATCCCATATGGCGACCTAAAGACAATATGGGGGAATGGTGTATCGAACCAAGCTGAATATTACTGTTGATGAGGACCAAGTAAACCCAGCGGTCCGAACGATAAGAATTTTCCGTACATTCATGCACGTAGGTATGTCTGTACGTCATCTAACTACACGTGCATTTGGATCACGCGTAACGTTTTACGTGAGATTATGTTCTAGAATCATTATAGGCCACCCCAGTCTCGTCCATTACGCTTCACTCTTTGCCAGTGAGAGGAAGTCTTGTCCATATATACGTATGCTGCACTCGTCGATGATTGGCCAGAGCTATATACCGACTTTTCGTCCGATTATGAGGTGATTGCTCGGCGTGGACACGAGGACGAGTCAGCAGCCATTCAGTGGGATTGGGAGACAGACTAGTTATTGGACGTGTGGAGTGAGAGCAAAACACCGCCGTGCAGTCTATAAACAGTCATAGACTCTTCACACTTTTGAGGTACGCAGGCAGTCGTAGTCCTGCTACCTATCGCCAAAAATGCTTTCCATTCGCTACTATTACTGTATGTGGTATGTGTAAGAGGGGCAGGATAGTGGAGCAGATGGCGTGCTAACCTGGTTATCTCCTGACTGGTGGAATAGTTGAAAAACACTGGGCGGTCCATGATGTACACCTGGCTCGCCTGCAACATCATCAAGAACCCACAGCTAATCGTACTATACTGAGAAACGAAGTTGTACCAGGACCAGGTGAAAATTGTTACCACAGCACAAGTGGCAAGCCGTTAACCACAACATACTGAGAGGTGTCACTATTTTAGCCTCTGCTAATAGGGAGCACCTCCTATACTCATGATAGGAATATTCTCTCGTGCTCAATAAGGGTGAAAACGGAAGGAGGGGAATGTGAAGACGTAGAGAGGAGGAAGATCGGAAACACGGCAGTAAGAGCGTGCGGGAAGAGGAAAGGGAGAGGAGAGAGAGAGAGAGTGAGAGTTGGAGCCAACCTGGCAAGATGAGACGCAGTTGATGGCATCCTCCGTGTTTTCAAACTCAACGAGAGCTTGGCGAAGACGTGGCATCATGGTCACATACCTGCACACGACAAAAAACAGAACTATATCTAGAATATTGCATGCCTAATATTATATATAGCCAGAGACACGTGCGCAAGGGCGCGTAGTTCACCGTTTCTCACAGTGTACATTTCATAGCGGTATTTTTTCCAAGGGAGGGCTTCACGGAACACGAAAAAGGGTGTATAACTCACGAGATCGACCCAAACTTGGTGAGAGCGGCTATCATCTGCGTGTGGGTACAGCCATCCGGAACGGCGCGGGCGTGCACGACGCGCGATGGAGGCGCGTTGTGCGGGTCGCCGCTGGGGAGGTTGGAACAGTTCTCTACTTGGTCCTCCAGCTTGATCCTCTTCTGCACACCCAGGGACTGGCCAAACTCCTCAAAGTGTGTTTGATCCAGTGGGTGCTTTTCTGCCATATTGCCAGCGCATGGGCGCTTGGTTATTTGCTCCGTTTACTTTCCGTAAACTCTTACATTTTGGCGCAATCACGTGGGGTCACTAGAGCGCGCTAAACACCAGGGCCAGTGGGCGCTTGCTCTGGGCAAACTTGAGAAGATGGCGGCGTATCATACACCAGTTCCAGTAACCATCACCGAACTGACTCGGTTCTGCCGCGAGGGGCTCTACAGCGAACTTCGCTATGCCATCTACTACGAGAAGGACGTGTCCGCGCAGCTCAACACCCGTACGCAGCGGGGAAACACTCTCCTACACGAAGCGGCCGAGCACGACTACCCGGACATAGTCCAGCTCCTCCTGCTGCATGGCTGTCCGCCCAACGTTCGATCTAAGGGTGGCCTCACGCCACTGCACGTCGCCGCCGCCAAGGGTCACATGGGTTGCGTGCGAGCGCTCCTGGAGAACGGCGCAGACGTTACGTTGCGAGACGACCTCGGGCAGAGTGCCTTCATGAAGGCGGAGCGGAGCAAGAAGAAGGACGCGGTGCAGAGGCTCCTAACCAGCAGAGGTGTGTGTGGGTGTTGCACTAGAGTGTGCATGTGCCCAGACATTTCTGTGACAATTTGAGGGTGGGGCTTCTGCTGTAATTAGACTGTGCAGTTTGTAGGCTTGAAAGAGGCTGGGGTTTTCTCTGTCGTGTGCTCTAGAGAGCCTGCATTTTTTTGGAAAAACTCCAGGGATTTATCTCTTTGTGTGTTTGTCATTATTTGTATGCATGTGACCTAGCTGTATGCTTGCTGCGTACAAAACGGTACATTTTGTGCGTGCTGGTGTGTCTATGTGAATATGTACAGTACATGTGTAGGTCTATGTGAGGCTTCATTACAGGGTGTTGAAGGCAACCAGCAAAACTCCTTTGTTGAAAACTTCACACTATGGCTCAAATACAGCATTGGATTATGTGCACTGTTGTGCTTCACTTTACGCCAACTTGAGTCTTTTGTTAACCTGCTTGCAGCATATTGTGAACAACTGCACTTTTGCATCCACTTTTGTGTGACCGTGTTGTTAGGAAGGCCCTTAGTGTTACAACTGCTTCTTACCTTATGTACCTAAATGGTGAATAGTTTTTGGTTGCTTATCCCAGGTTGAAAGTATAGATCATCATCCCATTCTTAACTATGTGTCAGCTGATTCTTTTATAAAGTGCAGGATTGCCCATTCGCTAACTGTACAAACGTATGTGCCTTGCATTGCTTGCAAAATGTGTTAGCATACATGATCAAATTTTAATGCATGTTGTCTGCGGTAGTACTGAATGTAAACTTGTGGTTGTTTATTCACTGCTGATGGTCTAGTAATTGCGTTAAATACACCAGTGGGAAAGTACGTACACACATTGAATCTCCACGTGTAAAATTTTTAAAGCATTCATCTGTGTCTAGACTGCTTTGGTACAAATGTACATTTCTTGTTTTTCACTTCTGTGCAGAAATTGTGGCCCTCGCAGCCAAAGGTGACGTACAAAAGCTGGAGAAAAGACTCAATGCTAGTCACCACAGGCACTTTGAAGTGCGAGACCTCGAAGAGGCACTGCTGACTGCTATACGCAACGGAAACGATGATGTCATTCCTCTACTGATAGTCTCTGGGGCAAGGAGACTCGACTGCGCCCTTTACTTGGCCATCCAGCTGGAGAGAGTCAAATCTATAGCGATGCTTCTCCTGTGCAAAGCCACGATCACTGGCGACTGTCAATCAATCCGCTCCCTGCTCTCCGAACCCCCAGACAGTGAGAACACTCCCTGGTACATGAAAGACGTGTACACAAACATGGCCGACATGCACAACACCAAGTTGATGAGCTATCCGATAGCCGTCTCCATCATGGAAAAGAACTACGAGGCAACCAAAGAGCTCCTACTGAAGACCGACCTCGACATGCGGAGGAAACAGGTGGAGTGGAGCAAGCTGAAACTAACCCTCCTCCACCCCAGCTGGATGTACTCTATCGCCCCCTGGGTGGTGAGTCTGAAGCTTGTCAATAACCACCTGAGGAAACTCCCCGAGGAGTTGTTCAAGTCTTCCCAGCTGCGGCGGCTGGACCTGTCGCAGAACCTTCTGGAATCCGTGCAGGCGAGTCTCCTCGGGATGCCCAACCTGGAGTACCTCAATCTCAGCCACAATCACCTCAAGGAGCTTCCGGAGACGGAGAATTGGAGTCCGCAGCTCCTCTCACTCGACCTCACCAGAAACTGCCTCCACACTCTCCCAAACAGCATCCAGCACTCCTCGCTCGAGATCCTCATTCTGAAAGAGAACCAATTCACCTCCGTGCCCCGCTGCCTGTGCCGAATACGGACCCTCACCTCCCTCGACTTGAGCCACATGCCCATCTCCTCCCTCCCCAAGGAGATGGAGAATCTCGAGAAGCTGGTGAATCTTAACGTGACCAACGCCAACATCAAGGACCTCCCTGTACTCCCGGGCAAGGTGCGAGGGTTCTTCAAGGCCCGAGCTCGCTCCAGCAAACCGTGTAACTATGTCAAGGTGGTGATCCTCTGCCAGTCGGATGTGGCCAAGTCTGTAATGTATTCAAGGCTGAGGGGAGCCGGTTCGTCCACTTCTATACCCGACATCGGCATCTTCCAGTGGAGCTACAGACCCTTGCTCAAACGACTCAAACTCCACTTCAACACGTGGGTGCTGGGGAGTAGCACGGACTACTCCCCCATATTCCCCTGCTTCTTCAGCCCCTGTGCCCTCTACCTCATCATCTGGGACATGACGAGGACGGGAGAGATGAGGGAGCAGATAAAGCTGTACGTCGACCTCCTGGCCAGGTACGTCCCCGCTGCAAACATACTCGTCATGGTCATCCTCCCGGAACCGTTCGAAGCGTGGGCCGACGCCAACTTTGAAAACCTTACCAAGCGGCTCAGCCAGTTCTTTTCAAAGCCGATCTACCGGACCCTCCAGTACCACGGCATTGGGATGATGTCCGTCACAAACGCAGTGAGAGACACGGCTCAGGTGGACGTAAAGCAGAAGATATACGAGATTGCATCGACGATGGTGGTAAACGGGCAGCTTGTGACCGGGCGTCACGTCCCCGAGAACTACTTCAACCTCATCTCTATCATCGACAAGGAGCAGCAGGTGTTCCGAAACCGCGGGAAGCCCGGCGTACTCGAGGAAAACGCACTCTGGAACCTCTTTGAGAGGGCGCTACCTCACGACTCTCCCGATCGAATGGAGCTGCCCGTGATTGTCGATTTCCTGCAAGAGGCCGGGTTACTCCTCCACTACCCTGATCCCAACCATCGGCTGGACCAGTACTACTTTGTTCGGCCCGAGTGGCTCTTTGCCACCATGTTCCGGGTGCTCCACCACGCCCTGCAGCACTCCGAGAGAGTCACCGTCAGCTACACGGAGCTCTGCTCCCTCGCCGACCTCAAGTGGAGCCAGCAGATGTCCAAGGCCCTCATCCGATTGATGGTCCGCTACGCCATCGTCCTCCCGATCAAGACTGAACAGCAGCTACTGATCCCCCACCTCCTCCCCCACTGTACCCCTCCCTCCTCCCAGCTCCTTGTGGGGAGCCTCCGGAGGCAGTTTGCCCCCAAAACAAAGGCCCTCCCTGCAGACCTCTGGTACCGCGTCATATGTCGCATACTGGCCAGCCTCCACCGAGTCACCGAAATGAAGACGCCAAAAAGGAAAAGCGGTCCGTTGTCGTCTAAGAAGTCCAGCGAGAGCGTCGGGGAACAAGATGATCCCCCCGAGAGACCAGTGGAAACCGATGAAGAAACAGACGAACAGGCGGAACTCAAACACAAAAACATTCATTTTAAACGTGGCCCCAGTGCTCCTTCCTTGAGTATCGAATCGGATGGAGAGGTAGTTTCAACCGCTGGGGCTGAGCCTAAACCGCGTGAAGATACAGCGTCGGCCACCACGACACCAGAGTTGGCCATCACGACACCACAGTCGCCGACCACTACACCAGAATCGGGTACCAACACTCCAGAGGAAGGTGGAATCACGGGCACGACACCGGAGCCCGAGAGAAGAACTCCTCTTACCTCGCCGGACATCGAAATAGAATCTTCACTTGACCAAGGAGCAACAGTTTTAACTGGCTCTGGTATGGAAGTGTGCCCCCTTCCAGACGAGATGGAGACGTGTGTCCTGATCCCACCGGAATCACTGATGGACAGGACACAACCAGGCCCAACTGACGTACGTGTAACTCACCCGCTGAGCGAGGCAAGGAGTAGGGACGACAAGCAAGTGAGTCTGAAGTTGGGCCCCAGGGAGGCTGTCGCTGCCCCAGACCCTACAATGTCACTACCTGTACTGGGCAGTCATACTCAAGCTCTCGATATTCCTCGAAAACAGGGCGACAACATAGTCGGCACTTCACTTTCACCTTCAACACTGTTGATTGAGAACAATGGTCCGGAGCTTCCCAGAGGAAGAATCAAACCCACACAGACTTTCAGTGCCGATTCCACCCAGCAGCCCAGTCGAATGAGGGTGAAAAGGGTTAAAAGTATGCCACCGAAACATCGAGGGTCTCACTCTATGGAGCTAGCCTTGGTGGACAGAGGGGTCAAAGTGTGGAACACTGGCCTCATCTATGACAAGAAGGACATCACTTTCTCTGTGTTTCCCTGCTCCTGTGAAATGTCTAGCGTGGAGGAGAGAGGGATCGAGATCTGCGCCACAAAGAACACCAAGGGCAGGATCGTGATGGCGAGACTTTGCAAGCTCATTCAGAACCTGCTCCAGGAGCGCTACCCTGACCTGTTCTCTGTCGACGTTCCCCTCCACAAGCACGAGCTGACGCAGCTGGCAATCTGCCCGATTTGCATCGAGAAAAAGCAGCGAAACCCCACAAACTTCCTCGTGGAGACCTGTGTCCACACGTTGAAAGAAAACGAGAACCAGCACTGTCGCTATCACCCTGAGACCGTCCCGCTGCGAGATCTCGTTCCCGACTACCTCATAGTGGATTTCCCCTCCAGCTACAACCTGAGCGCTGACTCTTTCGAATTTAACCAGTCCCGCCCCCTCCATCGCAGCATATCCGCCTCCCTGTACAACGGTAAAATCCGTGGGCAGGAGGTGGCCGTGAAAATGAACTCGTACTCAGACGGTAGAACAATCACAGGCCCCCTCTCGTACGTGAGACAAGAGATGGAAATGTTGTTCCATTTGAAGCACCCCAACATTGTACGGACGTTTGGGTTTTGTCTCAGTCCGCCGTGTGTCCTGCTGGAGAAGGCTCCGATGGGTAACCTGCAGCAGAAGCTGATGGACACTGAGCAGCGGGTGAGTAGGGCGATTCGATTCCACATTGGCTGTCAGGTGGCCTCCGCATTGGAGTACCTGCATCGAAAAGAGATCATCTATCGCACGCTCAAGGCAAGTTCCATCTTGGTCTGGTCACTGGATTTTGCAGACGAGGTGAACATCAAGTTGACAAATTTCGAGCGAGCTGAGTTTCGTACACCAAGTGGCCTCATTGGGAAACCAAACTTTGCTGCCTACCATGCACCCGAAATGCTTCGCTATTCCTTCACGGAGGAATACACGGAAAAAGTCGACATATACTCCTTCGGAATGCTCCTGTACGAACTAGTCACACGCTGGCACCCGTTTGGTCCGGCGCACAACGCAGACCAAGTGCCCGTCTTCCAGCGACCCAAGATGATGTCGGCCATAACGTCGGGCTACAGCACCATGACCAAACTGATGCAGGAGTGTTGGAACGAGGACCAGACAGAGAGACCGACGGCCCTGTTTCTCACCCGCACCCTCTCGCACCCGGCCACCACCTGCCACATTGCCACCAGCGCCCTGCGAGACTGCATCTCTGTCCGGGGCTGCTGCTACGTCCCGTCCGTTCACCAGATATGGGTCTACGGAGAGTACAACCGACCCAAGCAGGTCGTCGATCTCTCGAGTGAGGCAAGCGAAGGGACGCAAGTGTTTATCGTGAATGCGCAGACGCTCTCCGTGCAGGGGAGTCTGGAGTTGAAAGAGAGTGCAAACTCCATCCACACTATTGACAGCAAGGTCTGGATAGGAATGACGGAGTCCTGCGTGCACGCCTACGACGCCACCACTTTCACGTTTACCGACCGCGTCTACGTCAATGATTCCGTCACCTCTATAATCGACAACGAAACGTTTGTCTTCATCGCGCAAGCCAACGGGCTACTCACTTACTACCCAAAACTCAAGTTTCCCAAGGAATCGAGAAAGATGATTGTAGGGTCTCACCCAATCATGTCCATGATACTGGTGGGCGAGTCAATATGGCTCGCCTGTGGAAACGAGATTGTGGTGGTTGCAACAGACGACGACAACGTTACACTCGCAAAGCGGTGGCCGGCCTGCGAGAGTGACCAGATCTACACTCTGGTTTACTCCAAGGATTTGTCCACAGTCTGGAGCCTTGTGCGCTTGGGGTCCACCATCACAAGCTGGGACAGCAACACGGGGAGCATAAAGCAGACCACCGACTACTCCCAGGAGCTCAAGATAGTCTGCTGTGACCTCGTCCTCGATCCGTCGTACGTCCGCATGTCGTCGATGGAGTGCGTACTCGACACGCTGTGGGTTGGGCTTTCCTGCGGTGCCATCGTCATTCTCTTGGCTGCCGATACGCCTAGAGTCCTCTCCGCCTTCAAGGCCCACAAGAACACGACAAAGTGTCTGATGGAGATCCCGCAGACCGAGGTGGAGATGAAGAATTGCGCAATGATCCTCAGCGGAGGGTACGGGGAGGTGTCGTTTATATCCAGTGCCACGACTGAATCGAACGGTGTCGTCATGTCCTGGGAGGCTCTGTCTGCAAAACACTTCAAGTGTATTGCTAGCCGTTACCAGAAATACTACACGAATGTCTTACCGCAAGACCAATAGTATTTTTAATGGGTGATAGTTTTTTTACATTGCACTTTGTGAACCGAAATTAAATTTTTATATATTATTATAATCATAGAACGTGAAGGGTATGTGTGTGTGCTTGATTGCTGCTAGGTGTCAGAAGAGAGTTTCCGAGCCTCGTACAGTATCCTTGCACGGTGCCCAAGTGGGATTCTCAGCTGCTGCAGCTGCTCGTCTGTTATGTGTGGGAGCTCAGGTAACCCAATACCGGCTCTCTGTAGCTTCCCCACGTGTTCCTGGATGGGGTGCAGAGGGAGTATTGAAGCTATATACATGAGTGTACATAGGTATAATATTACATCATACCTCATAACCTAGCTTTTCCAGAAACTGTTGAAGAACTGGTGGAGTGTCTCCGAAGAATCTGAACGACGATAATGCAGATAGCTTGTATGAGAGTTAAGAAATTTTGCCAATTTCAGGACTTCTAGCTAAAACTGTGTAGCTACAGCTGGATTGAGGGGGGGGGGGGCAGTTCTATATACACATCAGTCTTCTCACTTGGTGAGCTTTGCCAGCTTCTTGCTCGACACTAGTGAGCCAATTCTCAGCCTTGCCTCAGGGCCCTGCTGTAGATCAGCCTCGGTGTGGGTTCTTGAACTACCCACCATCCTCACGTTTCTTCTGCTTATATCAACAATGCAGGCTTCCATCTCTTGTAGCTTTCCTTCCAACAATCTGGAGAATAATATAATACGTTATTCATGGAAAGATGTTACTTTCAGCTTGTTCACACGCTTAGTGAGTGTTCCATAATTACGTACCTGATATGTCGTTTCCCATTTGTGAGCTTTGCTTGGTCACATCGTCCTATATAAAAAATATTTATAGTAATTGTGTTTACCTATTATTGTGGTTCTCACTCTTTTTCTGTATGGAAGTTATAAGCTGATTCTGTTTGAGGATAATGTCCCACAATGCCTTTCTTTCCACTGCAAACATTTTCTCCATCCTTACTTGCTTCAATTCAAGTGTCCTTATCTGTGTAGGTTTGAAAATGACAGCAAATAATTATTGTGCCAATGATGAGAGAACTATAATTATACTAACCCTGTCTCTGAGATCATCACTTGCCAGAGTTTGTACTGTGCTGAGGGTACGGTCAGGAGCACTTCGATCACTTATTAACTGTGTGTTCTGAGTGGTCAGGATTCAAGTTGTTGCTAGTAGCAGGTTTAACCTCCATCTTAGAAAGTGGGTGTTTGCAAGGTGACGGCGGGCAGTAATAGGGGATGAGGTCAGTAATGTGTTCTGCAATTGAGTTTTGAGTGAGTTTTTGAAAGCTTCTTCACTTGTCATATGGGGTGGATTCTTCTCATCGCCACTTGTAACTAAAGTGGCCTCACTGTCTGTGTAGGTAGGTTGTTCAAAATAGGGCACAATGTGGTCAGTAGTGGCCGCATGCGTTGGCTCCTCGGTGAGTCGTTCTTTCAAAGTCACACCCTTCATCTGAAGAACTCAGGCTTGAGCTGGTTCTACACAACTGACTAAGCATCTGTTGTCGTGTAAATGCTGTCTCCATTGAAAGTGCTCCCTGTACTAAAGTGCTAGATCTCTCTGCAGCATTGTCAAGACTGCTACACGAGGATGCTCTGCTACTCATTGGTGTGACTGTTGTGAGATCTGTGCTGGTGGATTCTGTCCTTTCAAAACGGGAGCGTTTCTTCAGTATTCCCTTTAGAGGGAGACCGCTAGAACTCGTGATTTTTAGCGACGGAGAGTGGCCTGGGTGTTGTGCTAAGGCAGGTTTTAGGGCTGACGGAGGCTCTGGTTCACTGGTAACAACAGAAGCAGCTGAAAGCAAGGCATCTGGTGGTTTGTTTGTAGTGTGAGGTGTTTTAAATTCAGAGTCTTTTCTTTGGGAGTCAAGTGCGGGTTTATTTACTTTTTGGGTTAACATTCAGCTCACATTTAGGAAGAGCTTTGGACAGTGTTCCATTTTCTCTTTCTGTATCAGTCACAGGGACCAACATTAGGGGTTTGTTAGGAGTGGGGGACATTATTTCTTCACTCTCTGAGGAACTGAGGCTGTCTTCACTATCAGTGTATGAAAGGTTATTCCATCTGAACTCCTTTGATTCTGGCGCTTCTCTCGGCCTGTCAGTTGGTGTTCCTGTTTCCTTTATAGGCACTGGAGAATGCTGAAGTATTGCCTTCTCCTGTAGACCCTCTGCCAAGCTTTCCCTAGCTCTCCTAGGTGGAGGTGGAGTAACTGGTTTCGTTTGCCGTGAAAAACGTTTTACACAAACACTGACTCGTTTGTTTGATTTTTTGTGCTGGGTTCCAGGGTCAGGCTTCTCAGATTCTGTCTGAGCACTCCGCCTTGATCCTAGTCCGAGGTTAGAGATTTGGCCTTGTAATAGGTTTCCTAGTCCACTACTGACTTCCCTGGCTGGTTGTTTGGCTGCCGTGGTGTTCACAGGAGGCGGCGGCAAAGTAGGTGTCCTTGGTTGGCTGTGCTGAGCTTTGCTGCCCTGGTCAGATGATGGTTCTTGAAACGTGCTGGCTTTTTGATTTGTTTTGCTATAGCCCGTTGGAGAGTTGGGTGCTTGAGTTGTCATGGTAGCTGAGATTTTAGAAGATAATGTGCCATTTTGGGTGGTACTACTCTCACTTTTTGGATGGACTTGCAAAGATTGTTCCTTGATGATCTCGATTGAGCTAGCAACATTTGTTCTTCGTTCTGTTGAAATTGATTGGGTGGCAGCAAGAGATGTGGCTTCTTGCTCTGTCGACACTTTATGAGTCTCGGAATCCTCGTCGTGGAGCTCAAAATCAATGTTTTCAGACAACAACGATCCTTCTTCTCCACTCCCTCCTCGCCGCTATAGCTCACTGAGCTGCTATCAGTCTCAAAGTTTTCAAAGAAAACAGCTTCGTTTCTTCAGCTTCTCTTCCCCCTCGGCTTCTTCCAGTTCCTCTGCTAGTGGCTTGGCGGCGCACTCGTCACTGAGCTGACTTAAGGATGACCTCGCTGATCCCTGAAGATTCCCTGCTACCAAACACCGGATGCTCTCGCTGGACTGCAGACGCTGTATGGCCAATGGTAGGGCCAAGTTCATTGCTTCTTCGGAGGATGTTGGGTGTTGGGAGGTGGCTGTTGAGGGCAGAATACTATCATTTCCTTCAATGGGTCCAGAGCGAATTGTTATTAGGTTACCTGTGGTGGTTGGTTTAGAGAGGTCAGCACCACCCCTTGAAATGTCATGCCTCTCTTCTGCCAGGGCGTATTGCCTGCCTTCATTGCTGGATCCGTTTATACTGCGACGAGCAGCTGTAGACGATGTCGTCGATTCTACGCCGAAGGGCACAACTCGTTGTAGTTCAATTTGTGGCCAGTGGCGTCGCCTGTGGGGAACGGCAAGACTTAGTTCGGGAGAACGAGCATCGTCTGACTCTTCCGAGGGGCTGAAGTAGTGGTCCAGGAGGCGGGCCACCTCGGCCGACAGATCGTGAATGGGCGGCGGGGACTGGGAAAGGGCGCTGGCGTCGCTGTCGACGTAACGCTCTATGATGTCGCTCGGGTCCACGGAAGACTGGTCGCTGTCCGACTCTGCCATAGCTAGTTGTCTAGCTGGGGGGCTGTAGCCTATTTAAAAGGTGGGTGGGGCTCGTATAGTAGACGGCACGGCCGGCTGAGGGGGCGCGGCGGCCGCGCGCGCGGGCATGGGCGCGAGATCCTCTTGCTCTATTTTTAGAATGCAGCGGAAGTTCTACCCAGTTTGAACTCTAATTTTAGTAACACTCCTACGTATAAATACGCCGCAAGATCTTACAAAGCAGCAATCAATCGAAGTAATGGAGTTCGGCAGTGAGTTTGTGTTTGCACCGACGGCCTCGACAGAGGAATACGAGGAAATTCCAGAGACCAGATTCAACCACGTTGTCACCGGCTACGCATCTGGAGCCTCCGTCAACTCTTCACTGCCTGACGATGGAGAGGTCAGTAATAGATGACAATTTTCAGCTGATCTTCAATGCTTCTTTGTATATATACCAGACATGCTTGCTGGACATCCTGGACACTGCAGGACAAGAGGAGTATTCGGCCATGAGAGAATGTGTGAGTATCTGCGACTATTTAGGATATGGCATGTTTGCACTCTGGCTGGATACAGAAGAATATTGTTCCCTAATCCAGTAGCTGTGTATTGTGTAGCACTGCTCTATACTTGGAGATTGCTGGCAAAAAACAGATGCCATGCAAGGCAATCACGTACTCAGCACCTCAGACAATAGTTTTCTTGGGGAACGGGGTTGGCTAAAGTCGGCAATGTTCCCCGCTGCAGTACATGCGAAGTGGTGACTGTTTCATCATTGTCTACTCGGTGACTGACCGACAGAGTTTCCAGGAGGCTCAGAGCATCTTTGAGTTCACCAAGAGAATCAGAGATGCTGACATGCCAGTGGTAAGAGGCAACCCTCTCACTTGTGTATTGACTACGTCTACTGTAAGACTGTACTCCCAGTGTATATAACTTTGACACCCTCAAGAGAAATACTGCCTGTTTCAAGCAAAATTTAGTGCCTGTAATGCCTAAATCATAATATGGTTAGTGTTGGTTTTTTCAGGGTGAGTTCACAAAAGAAGATGTTATCATGGTGCTTCAATGTGAAATGTTCATACTTGCAACAGCAGTTTAATCATAGTGTATAAGAGATCATCTGCTGACCACTATCTGCAGGTGATATGTGGGAACAAGTGTGACCTCCAGAGTCAGAGAGAGGTGGCCACCCAGGAGGGTGTGGCCTATGCCGACAAAGTTGGCTGGCCGTTCTTCGAGACATCTGCGAAGCTCAGGATTAACATTGACGAGGCCATCCACGAACTCGTTCGCAGGTGAACACTCAACTGTGAGACAAATAAACTAACACACTAGGATATCAATATCATCTACACGTGTCATTCAATACTGGGAGCTGATCATTACACAGAGCCATAATAGATACAAAAAATCTCAATTTCGGTTTAATTCGAGACCATGCAGTGGCTGAGAGCTATTCATTCAGATGCTGTTAAGCAGCAGCGCCTCAACATGGCTAAGTCCAATATGCTACTAAATGTTGCAGCCATATGTTCAACCTGCCAGCGCTCACATGCTTCCACTACTCATCTTATTATGCAGAACACCTCGTCTGAGGGGCAGGGAGTACAAACTGGTGATCCTGGGCTCTGGTGGAGTTGGCAAGTCCAGCATCTGCACCCAGTTTGTGATGAACCAGTTCATTGACCAGTACGACCCCACCATCGAGGACTCGTACCGCAAGCAGGTGGTGGTGAAAGGAATCCCACAGCAGAAGAAGGCAAAGAAGGCCTCTGGAGGCAAGAAAAGCGCCAAGAAGCCTGAAGTTACCAGCAGTGGAGCTCCAAGTAAGAGAAAAAGAAAGTACTCTGTGTGAAGTGAGCTTGGTCCCGGATTTATCCCTAGACTAAGATGTTCTTGTCATTGAGTTGGTTTGTTGTTTTCGATTTTCAGAAACTTCTAAAACGTCGCAGTTTCCTGGGCAGTCTGTTTCATCGCTCATCTGGAGCCTCCTCTCTGCTGCTGCTGCCTCTGTTCCTGAAACCACAACTACACCAGAAACCACACACCCTCCTCCACCGGCCGAGGAAGCCAAGACGGTGCAGGTCCCTCGGTGTCGTACGAATGCCATGCTGCTGTCACTGGGCAGCCTGGCCCAGGAGCCAGCTGGGGTGGGGGAGGGAGAGGTGGAGCAGTGTCTCCAGTGTGGAGCTGTGGTCTCCTGCCTCTCGTGTGTCACCTCCAGTAATGGAGTCACTATGTGGAACTGGTGAGGGACCACTGCTAACACAGTCTGAGTGCTTTCACTCCCATCTCTTGCACTCATCATTGCACAAGCTTAATTTGAACACCTTCACTGCTAACTCATCATTGAGAAAGATTACCTGCAAGCTAACATTTTCATTCATCATTGATTCACAGAAGTATCTTTAAATCTGTGTAAATACCCACCACTAGTAGCCACTTTTAATATACCAAAATTGCTTCTTTCCTATCTCACAGTGAGTTTTGTGGGCAGGAGAACAGTCTTAGTCACGTGTCCCCAGAGAGTGTCCCGCAGAGCCACTGCACAGACCATCTCCTGGAGCCAGCTCAGTCTGAGGAGGGAGAGAAAGGAGAGCCGGCCGACAATGAGAAAGACGTGACGGGGAAGAAGGAGGGAGAGGGAGGGAGCAAGAAGAGCAGCGGTGGACTGGTGATATTTGCAGTTGACATCAGTGGCTCCATGTGCAGCACCACTGAAGTTCCAGCTCTACAAGGTACAGTTTATAACAGGGAAAATAATATGGTGGTTTGACGATTGCCCAAACGTTCCAAATTGGCAATTTAAATGCTGTTTGGCTTTGTAGCATTTCCCAGCTATATAGTGTATGCACTTATCTTAGTGTAAATGGCTATCATTGCTCTACCCTTCTCTCTCTGGTGACTGTGTGATCATAGCTGAGTGGGCCTCGGCAGCAGGCAGAGGAGGAGGGACGAGGTACATCTCTCGTCTGGACGCCATCAAGGAGGCTGTGGCACGACATCTCGACCACATGGCACTCACCTTCCCAAACAGCACCGTACGTCAGTTCTCTCTAGTTGTAAGCTCATACCACTTGCAAATGTTTCCCTCAGTGTGGCCAAACGGCTTGAGGGATAGCCATTTGGTAGGGTTTTGCAAAGAAAGTTATTACCTGTCTTGTAATGTGCCCTGTTTAGTGGTTTGCAGACACTATGCACACCTATAAAAAGTTAGTGCAGGTTTCTAGCTATTCCCCATTATTTTAGGTGGCTCTGGTGACCTTTGACAACAAGGTTCGTTACTACGGTGATGGTAGTCAGAGCATGAGTCAGCTGGACACGGGCTCTCTGGACGACGTGGAGGAACTCATGTCGCAGGGGAAGATGTTTGGCAGCGACCTGACTCTCAGGACACTCCAGGACTCTCTCAGGTATATACACTCATTGCATGTGCTCTTAACCAGTTCGATTGTTGTAATTTTTCATCCACTAGTCAGGGCCTGTTGAAAGTAGGCTGTTTGCCAATCGCTCCTGACCTTTGTATTCATGTAGAAATTTGCATAGTTGGCCTTTCAAAAAAATTAAATGTTTAGGTGCACGTTCTTGTTGTTGTCCCTGCAGTGATGTGAAGCAGTGTGTGAGTGGACTGGCCACAGGAGGCAGCACAGCTCTGGGCCCTGCACTGGCTATGTGTGTCGGGATGGCGTCCAACTTCCCCTCTGCCGAGATCATAGTCTGCACTGACGGAGTCTCCAATGTGGGCTGCGGCAACATCTCCAGGGGAGACACCGGGTTCTATACCTCGGTGAGTGTCCTCCATCATCACCCCCCACACACACGCAGAGTTATCTAACTTACTGTGTGTGTGTGTGTGTGTGAGAACTAAATAGCGAAACACAGGCTAAATTTGGAGACTGTTACTAAAACGAAACGTTTTCACTGAGCCGTATTGCCATCTTTAGTTTTAGTGACACAGCTTTGCAATAGAGTTAGCAGCACTCCTTTTACTAGCAGTCCCCCCTTCAGGTGCATAATGTGCTTCTGTATGAAGTCTAGTTCTCCCTTTTCCCCATGACCACAGATGGGTGAGTATGCACAGGACTCTCACACGACTGTGTCGGTGCTGGGCATCGAGGGCTCCGACTGTGCCATGCAGCACCTCTCGTCCTGTGCCGCCATCACCAGTGGCACAGTCAACATCCTCCATCCTCTCGAGATGGTCCGACAGATACGACTCATCTCCCAGAACCCCACTCTCGCCACCGAGGTCGAGGTCGTCTACCTCATGCCCCCGGTCGTTAGCGCTGTCGGGAGGGAGTCCGAGGCGGCCCAGGTCACCAAGGTTACGGAGTGGGTGGGGAACGCGACGAGGGAGACTGACGTCAGCCTACATTTCTCACTGGACGGGAAGAAACTGAAGAATGTCACCTCTGTGCCTTTCCAAGTGAGAATATATATAATATGTCCAACCACACAACAACACAACAATGAGATGGGGTTCTGGTTCGAGTCCAACCTAGGGCAGCTCAGTTTTGTCCTAGGTTTAGTTGATATTCACTTGCCTTACATCTCCTGATTCACGCTGCATCAAACTTTGCATAATCCCTATAGTTATAATGTTCATATGTTCAACTTGCATGTGGCCATAGTTTAGTTAGAGAGTAATTATTAAACCTGTCTTGTATATTATATATATATTATATATATATATATATATGTAATATATATATCTACGTGTCCTTTGATCCTAGTAGAGTTCATGTGTCATAAATTTAGTAGTATTGAGTCAATGCTCTCTTGTGTGTTGGTTGGTCAAGGTTCAGATCAGGTACCGCCGTAAGGACGGGTCCAAGTGGCTGAGAGTCATCTCCCAGTCACGGCAGGTATCCCAGAGACGAGAGGACGTGGAGAGAGCCAGCAACATGGCCGTCGTCGGTCTCTCTGCCGTCCAGCGCTCGGCAAGACTGGCCCAGGAGGGCAAAGTTCAACAGGCCAGGGAGACACTGTGAGTGTATACATACACTGCTTGATGAGAATTTCTGAAGTACTGCGACAGTTGATTGGGTGATTCAGGGGAGGTTAGCTTACCTTGTTCACTAGTATAATAAAATGAATGCCAAGATGTGTGCTATATTATAGTGTTCACAGAATGAGCAACTAAGCTTATATATTATAGTGTTCACTTGCCCATGTATAAGCACGCTTTCCTTGAAACAAGTCAGTTGACGAGGCTGTTTCACACTCTAATGCTAACACCAAGTATTCCAGAGCTATCGTATGATAATATCAAACCGTGTATGCAGTCATGCGGTGGAGGTGATGATGGGAAGAGGATCAGTGAGCGACCAGCAACAGGAAGAGTACGCCATCTACCGCGAGGCCGCGGAGGCACTGGACCGCCAGCTCATGCAGCAGAGGGACTCAGACGAGGCCGTCAAGATGCTCCACAGGAACAAGAACGCCCACCTCGGGCAGTTCCTGTCGGGAGCTGCCAAACGCTCGCTGGCTCAGCAGAGACGAGCCAACGAGGCCGTCCAGCAACAGTACTACCAGTACCAGTTCAAGTGACGTTTCTAGCCCATACACACCCATGTGATTTTTTATCCTCAAGTTGTAACTGAAATGTCTGTGTTTATACTAGTCATAATTATTGGTTATGGTATTTTGTGAATAGTTTGCTCTCCTCTCCCCAACTGAAATGTATGTTTATACTAATAGTCGAATTTTTTAATACTTTGTGAAATCATTTTGGTTTGCTCTCCTCTTGAAGCTTTTGCCAGGCAATCTGCAAGAAAATTATGAGGAAAATGTATTGGCTAGAGTAATGCACTTAGGCTTTTTTACTTACGCTCATAAGAACTCTCAGAAGGGCCACCTCTTTCTCTTCATCCGGACCAGAGAAACCGTTTGTTTCCATCGCATCCATCCTCCGGCACATGTCCAACAACTGTGCAAAAGGTATATAGCATGAAAGACCAGCGCTGACTATAGGTAACACACTTACTGCGACAGCCTGCATTATCATGTCGGCTGAGATGTTGAGACCTGAACTTTGAGTAGGTGAACTGCGGTCCTGTGGAACAAAACCCATTAGCCGGATCAACTATGTGGGCACCCCTCTAATACACACCTCATCATCTCTGCACGACTTGAGAAGAGCCTGGAATTCTGGAGGGAGAACTGGCTGTTGTACGGTGGGAGGGAGAGGCAAGGTGGCACCACTGGATCCAGACGGCAGGGTTGGCTGGATGTGGGCTGCGAGGAGGTGGGCTGCCGACAGAGACTAAAAACAAAAGAAAGACTAGGCGGGCTCCTGTGTGTGCCTGATTGATTTCCCCACCTTCACCAGCTCCAGTTTTTCTGATTCCAGCTTTTCAAGGCGCTTCTGTAGCATCGTAACAGTGGCTTGTGGGTCTGAAGGAGATTTATCAGCGCAGTAATTATAGTAGACATGAAGTAAAAACTAACCTTTTGTATCCAGTAGGTTGAACTTGTTTTTTCCTTTCTTGTCACGGAGAGTGTTGTCACTTGTGATGCCTGCGTATTGAAGAGGAGGGCCGGAGTCTTTGTTCATTTCTTCTGCACACATCGAATGCATCGGAACCCTCAGAGAGCCCTGCTGTTTTGTCCCACCAGTTCGACCAACAGCTGTCGTCCCTGCAGTAGTTCTGGCGTCAACGCCTTCGGCGCTAGACTTCTGTCGCGTCTTGTCCAGATAGAAACACATCTCCTGCAGCTCGCCGTTCTCGCGCACGAGACCGTCCATGCGCTCCTGCAGCACTCTGAGCTTCCGCTCGAAACCCTCCACCTCTTTCTGCAGAACACCCGCCGTGAACCTCCCGAAGTTTTGCCACTCCACGGCCTCCTGGTGGCTCTTCTTCCTCTGTGCGTCCAGAGAGCGACAGAGCTTCCTCAGTAGGTGAACTTCGGCCGTTAGTTTCTTCGCCGTCTCCATTCTTATTCTTGCGCTAAAAAGGGGGAGGGGCTGATTAGCGATGACGTCAGTCGCCCCTTTTCAGCGCTTCGCCGGAGCGAGAGCTGAGAAGAAGACGATGCTGCGAGCAGTGGTTGTTAGTGCTTTTTTTCTGGTCGTTGTTTCGGCCCAGCGGCCTTCAAGATGCGGTAAGTTATTGCAACGATATTACAACATATTTCCATCCCTTTTTTGTTCCATTGTGCAGTGTCTCCACCTCAATGGGAGGGCAGGTTGATCGAGGTACGTACGTACGTAGCAATGTTTAAGAGATATTATTTTTACTGTTCGAATGCCTGCAATGTGTAAACAGATTGACCCCAGCAAGATGTTTGAGAGGCGGGCCAACCTCTCGTACGATGCCACCAACAAGCGGGTGCGCACCATTGACGAAATTGAGGAGGGCTCGGAGCGCGATTTCTATGATGAAATCTCGCTGTTCGAGAAAGTACGTAGATAGCGACGTAGCTATACGTAGCTATAACTCTGTCTGGCTCTCTACTATGTGCTATTGCACTTTGGTTTAGAATGGCCACCTCCTTTTTACATAGAAAGTCCACTACAGTGTAAACCTGAAGACAAAGCAGTGCAACAAGACAGCACTCGATAAGGAGTTTCGTCCAGTTGAAGTACCACTCTTTGCAAACTTCACTGATGAAGTGTACCTGGGCATTTCGGGCCTTATTGGTGCAGGAGTGCTGGAAAACATTTTTCAGGGAAATGATGCAGACAAAGGTGAGTGTAACACAGATATGCTTTACCATTTTCAGTTCAGTGTTTTGGCATAGGTCGCTACTCTGGAGCATGGACAGAGTTGTATTGCATTCCTGTTACCGACACCTACCTCAGCATGAGTACTGGATATGTTCACTGGAGGTAAGTGGCTAAGTTTGTCTTTTTGTGTGCTAAACATTTTTTTGCCCAGTTTCTATGATGTCAGCCCTGGTATTAAAAATGTGAATGTCTTCAACCCACCTCCAGAGTGTCAGTAGTGCAACTGCTGTGTAGTCTAAGGGACTCTGTAGATGTCTAATGTTATTTACGTTTGTCACATGTGATTGTATGTGTCTCATGACTTAGGGGTGTAGCTCGCTGAATGAGTGTTAGTAGTGCAACCTCAGGTGATAGGCCGTGACCTCTAGATAGCCAATGTGTCACATGTCTACTGAGTGTTGCGTATTTTCTTGTATGCGCATGCGCAATATCAGCGACTTCAGGGGCGTTGCTGCTGCTATCGCCGATCAAACGTCGTATTATACGAGAGCAATGCGTTGTTACTTTCTCCTGTTTGCTCTTGCGAGCTCCGTCGCCCTGGTTGTGGGACAACCTGCGCCCTGTGGTAAGTAAGTCAGTGGCCCTAGCTCCGACAGTGTGAGCCAGCTATTGTGGCTGTACTTTTTCTTACGTAGTGTCACCGCAGATATGGCAAGGTCGTTTGTTCGAGGTAGGAATCCCACACAACTGTATTTTTGCTGCAAATGAGTTTTTTTGCAGGTTGATCCTTCCAAGGCCTACGACCGACTGGCTATGATTTACTACAACGCCACCGGGAAGAAAGTCGCCATCCACGAGGAAGAGAGCGAAGGCCAGCAGCGGGAGTTCTACGACGAAATCGCACTCTACGAAAAGGTAAATCGCAGTTCAATCCCTTACACTCCAAGTGAAACTGCATATTATGAGCCCAAGCTCATCGCATCCCCTCTTCTCTCTTCCGCCTTGTGCAGAAAGTGCTGTATCGCATCAACAGACGGACCGGGGAGTGCACCACCACCAGTCTGGATACTCCATTCCGCCCCATCGCGGTCCCACCAAATGCTACATACTATGGTACCTACTATGTAGGCAGCACAGTGGATCCTTTGGCTGGATTCAAGGTGAACAGCTTTGGAGGAGACACTGACAATGGTAGGATTCTAGACTGTCATATCCACACGTACTTGGCTACTCATATTGGCGATATGCTGGTTTTATGCTTACGTATTGTATTATGCTCCAGGTCGATATGTAGGGACTTGGTCATATGTCAAGTGTGTACCAGTCACTGACTCTTACTTTGGAGAGCAGACCGGATTTGTCCACTGGAGGTAGATAGTTAATAGCTACATGATGATATCATGAGTTATCAGTCTGCCCTCTCTTTTTCTTCTTTTCACTGAAGTTTCTATGATGTAGAGCTGAGTATTGAAGATCCTGATGTGTTCATTCCACCGGCTGGGTGTCATCAGTAGTGATGGCATTTTCTGAACCATTCTATATAATTATGTAGCTTGTATAATATTATGTATATAGCATAATAATACTGTTGCAAGGACATAATTATTGTGCACATGTGCGTGAGCAGCCACGCCTTCACTCTTACTTTGAGGTGGTGGTGGTGGGACCTTGCAGAGTCTGGATCTGAGTCGAGGTGCGTGCTGCAGTCCTTTGTGTGCCGCTGCTCTCTTTTGGTGCTTTTTCTACCCTCAAACCCCCACACCATGCAGTAAGAATAGCTTTGTTTCAGTGGTATTGATCGGGGAACCAACGCCACCGTGCTGTATAGTTACTTGCATGGGCTGTTACACACAGGTTCGCCCGCCATGTGGAGCGGAGCATTTACAGACAGGCTAGACAGTAAACGCAGTAAACTGACCTCTGTGTTTTATCTAGCGGGATGAAAAGCTGAAGTTTTTCAGCAGTGGTGAGATTTACTTTTGATGAAGTAAATCAGAGTGTTGCCTATTATGGTGTGGATGATGCGGACCAAACAACAAAGAAACTTAGACTGTATATACCTGATAATAAGAGGGAGTGTACTATCGACACAAGGTGTCCACTAGTCCTTTTTTTGTTCCACAGATTCTCAAATGTCGCTGGAGGCATTTCTGATTCAAATGTCTTTGTCCCTCCTGGAAACTGCACTGCCTCAGAGATGTTCATCTCATAGACGCTGTGGTTGGGCCCAGCGCGCATGCGCACGCGAGTGCCACGTCACCGCGCGTGAGCAGCGGTGAAGCGATCGAGCGGTGAGAAGCGAGCGGTGAAGAGAGAGCGAGATGATACGAATTTCAGTGCTTTGCGTAGTGCTCTCATGGGCTGTCCTCGTCAGCAGTCAACGTCCAACACCGTGCGGTAAGAACAGGCCCGTAGGGCATCTTACTTACTTAGCTTGCTGACATCATTTTGAGGGCATGAGCACTTCTTTTCTTCGAAAAGAAAGAGCTGTGCTGGGCGTGTGTAAGGAAAATTTTACCTTGCTATCCGTATATAAGAGCGCCTGTATAAATTTTTATATGGCAAATTTACCTAGTTACTAGCTGTGTATAATGAATTAATGATTTTTTTGCAGATGCACCTACTATTTGGAGTGGAGGATTTACGCAGGTAGAATCTTACTTGCTATCAGTAGTCTATAATATATTGGAAGAGATATTGTCTTTTGTAGCGTGATCAACAGCAGGCTTTTTTCACCACTGGTGAAATCTACTATGATGAAGTGCAGCAGCGTGTTGCTTACATTCTTTTGGACAATGAGGGCCAAAGTTCAGAGAAATTGCATATCATTGCCCTCTATAAAGAGGTATGGACACGATGGTAGAATAGTGGGGAATAGCTCTGACAGCCTCAGTCCAGGGTCTCCCTCCCTCCTCTTTTGCTCTCTCTCTGCACTTTCAAGACCACGCCTGCACTTATGATGTAATCCTGACACGTGTGTATATACTGAAACCTTACATATTCATTATTGAAAAATACTTGCATGCATTAAAGTAAGCACACATTCACTCAGCTTTTGAGTTACACGTGTGGACTTCCTTTATGCTCCCTAGGATTTGATTTACACAATAAATCTGGAGACCGAGGCCTGTGGAGTTCAGAAGTTGGGAAGGACGTTCATACCCATTCAAGTCCCTGTAAATGCCACTTTTGTTGGAGACACAATCCTGGGAACTTCAGACCTGACTCTTGGTGACGGAGTTGAGGTAGAAACATGGCAGGGGAAATTCACAGATCCGAATGGTATATTATAACATGAACTCTATGCATGTTTTACAATATACTTCTAAATTTTGAAGGTTTCTATCAAGTTGTGGTGACTAGAAGAGGGTGCATTCCACTCAATGATCTGTTTGTCAGTGACGAAATAGGAACTGTTGAAACTTTGTGAGTTCAAGATAATTCCATTTCCAATCTTTCTCATTTTTTCCCACAGTTTCTCTAATATCGTTGGAGGGATTTCTGACCCCAACGTGTTTGTCCCTCCTGGAGCCTGTACTGCCTCATAGATGCCAGTCCAGATGATTAAGACCCTCAGACTCTGTAGTGTATGCACGAGTTTCCCGATAGAATTTGTAGCTCTATTTCCTGTGTTGCGATTACCTTGTATCTCACAAGTTAGAATGTGTCTACCGGCCTTGTGTGTGACTACGCTTTACCTGCTCTTTCATTTCTCAACTCATCTCTTTCCCGACTCCGACTGAGTATGAGAAACTCCACGTGCATACACTATTTTTTATGATGTAAAGTTAGTTTATACGCTATGTCATTGAGCGAAGGTATATCGCACCCTCCCTCACCTAGTACCAATGCATTGGGAAGATAGCAAGAAGAAACACTCACAATCGTTCGGATGAAACAAGATGAGAAAGCCTTGACTGGTGTATAGGGAGTGAAAGATTCATGTATGCCAGAATTTAAGCCCTAACCGGTGCAGCGAAGTCACAGGACAGCTCCACAGATAGCCATGAGGAAACCACGTGTGTGCGCATGCGCATCAGTACTTACACTCAGCGCGCGCATGCGTAGAGAGTATCACGCGCTCCGGCCTCGTTGTCGTACGTGCAGCAGACTGAAAGTTTGTCAAGATGCGTGTTGCAGTCGTGTGTGTTGTTCTCTCTCTTGCTGCCCTGGCCTACAGCCAAAGACCGGCACCCTGTAGTAAGTAATACGGTATTCGGATTTTTCAGTGGGGAAACAGGAGGCTAGATGTTACTTTTTGTTCGAAGCAAGTAGAGATAATTCTGTCACGGCGGCGGTTTTAACTGCCCCTGTCTCGGCGGGTCGCCGTTGTGCAGTGCAGCGGTTGAATGCCGCGATGCGAGCGTATGGAACGCTAACACATCACGGCGTAATATTGCAGCTAATAAGTCGTCCCGTCCGGCACATAAGACGTCACTGAACACATAAATTATTAGCCGGTAGTCCCGTTGATATTACCCGTAAAATACTGTCATTCAGTGCGTCTTGTGTGCCGGACGGGACGACTCATTTATTCGCCGTTTTGGCCGCAATATTACGCATAGAATGCCGTGATGTGTAAAAAATGCTTTTGCTACGTTTAGCGTTCCATACGAGCGATGGTGCTTTGGTTTCCACAAACCCTGCCTTCATTTTTCCGGCTGCAAAGGTAACTTGTCGTGCGAGAACGTTGAAAATGAGGATCAGCTACTTAGCTAGTGCAGGACCATCAATGCAGGGCTAGCGAGACATTTTGTTCGTGGGAATATTTTAGTGTAGATCAGGCTGTCATCAAGTGATTAACTTGTAAAGTAAGCCTTCACACGATGAAGTTGCTACAGCTTTTGCTACCTTTTCTAGGCTGCAAAAACAGGTTCATTTGCCGTTTTGAAGAAGAGCAAACGTATCTGGCATGAAGTAGATACCAGCGCCATTTACAATTCATTTCTTGCCCAAGGCATTGTTTACAAACTTGTCTTGATCAACTCGTATCATAGTTAATTAGTATACCAAGTTTTATTGTTAGAGGGCCTGGCATAAACGTTAATCGATGGGCTGTGTATGTCTTTAGTATAATGTTACCCCAGCAACTATGACGCAATTATATTTAGTAGTAGCACCCACTTAGAGTTCCATCATTACGCACGCTGCCTGTCATGTCCATGCGAATCTAGCCAGCGAGAGAACTATGGTCTGCTCAGAGCAATTCACTGCGCTCTTCCATGCCTGACAGAGGATGTATATACCTCTTTCCAATCTTCGTGGTTCCAAAGTGCAAGTGTGTAAATTGGCTTGTGCAGATACAGTCGAGTTTTGTGTGCTAAAAAATTCGCCTACTACTAGTAAATTTCTTTACTTGCAGCTGCACAGACGGAGTGGGTGGCAAGGGTTTTTCAGGTGATCACCCTATTGCTGCACAAATACAACTGCAAGGGTCACTCCTTTTCTCTGATCCTTTTTATAGCGTGATCGTAACCGTCAGTTTGAGGATACTGGCCGATTGGTGTATGATGCTTCGGGCCAACGCATTCTATACGTCTTTGAGGAGTTGGAGCCCCAAAGAGATGTGGTGTATGATTTACAGCTCTTTAAGGAGAAGGTAATGCCTATAAGGTTCTTGTTGGTGGGTTTGCACATCTCTCTCAACAACGTCGCCCCTCCTCTATTCCTCTTCCCTCTCTCCCTGTAGAAAAGATACACAATGGACCGCAACACAATGAAATGTACTATTACAGATATCACTGACGATTTCAGGCCCATTCAGATCCCCAACAATGCCACTTTTGTCGACAAATTAGTTTTGGGATCTAATGCAGAGGCAGATACCGGGGTTACGATAGTGCAGTGGAGGGGAAACACCACAAACCCAAGTGGTATGTATGCCAATTCCAGATATATTATTATAGGACAGCATGTGTGACTGGTTATAATATTGACTGCAGGTGAATATTTTATTCAAGTGACAGATACTGGTTGTTTTCCAATCAATGACTTCTTCTATGAATGCAGAACGTGATGACCTGTTTGAAAATTTGTAAGTTGGTGGCTAGGGAGATAATTAGGTTCTTTGTTCAATAAATCAGGGTTTACGACCGATAATTATGTGCTTATTACCATATTGCATATCCTCAGCTTCTATGACATTACTCTTGGATTCGATCCAGATGATTTTATCCCTCCCAAGGAGTGTGGCAGCCTAGAATGACTCGATACATGAACAAATTAAACGAATTATGGCACTTGCCTATGACTTGATTATATAGTGTTATAGTAGTGTATTGCGTAATTATGAAGTGGTTTATTGATCATTGTTTACCTTAACCTGCAGGATTCCTAATAAGGTATAGAAAATTGTATTAGGGCTCATTCCTTTAAAATTGCAAGCCTGCACACACACATTCTTAATTATCCACTTCCTGGTATAATATATCAAAGCAGTAGCACATGCAGTACACATGATTGGGGTTTTACAGAGATCAAAGCAAAGCTCTAATGAGTCAGTGCAAGTATGTCTTCACATGTATATATATAGTCAAGAGTTTGCAGTTTAGATGAGGACGGGAACGTTAGCAGACTGCAGGTACGTCTGGAGGAAGCGCGTGGCCTCATCTGACAGGCCGGCTATCATCTTGGGCACCTTCCCCGGGTGCTGCGCTGAGAGTCGTGCAGTGACTGTGCCAGGTGGGCCTTGGTGTCAGGGACGGCCGATTCAAACGGGTCGTGTTCTTTGGACCCGGCGTACACCAGCTGCGAGAAGGCCGTCTGATACCAGGGATGTCCTCGATGTCGATATAGTGTTCGTCGGGCGGGAGGGAGTCGTCTTCGGGGAGCTCAAACAGACTGATGAGAGCCTGAAGAAGAGGTGTCCAGAGAGATGCACACGGTTCCATCAGCATGGCCGGTGTCTCGGTCAGAAGCCTAGTGATCCCAACCGCACATATCTTCCGCTCGGTGCTCCCGCTCACCTTCTGGACGTCCTGCAGGTAGAGACGCTCCACAACCATCTTGAACATCTGCGGTTGAATGCTCTCGATTTTTTCAACGAGCGCCGGACCGCCGAACCGACCGGCAAACAGCGAGAAAAACACCACGAGCCCCTTCACGTATTTGGTGGTCTTGCTTCCCTGCAGTCGTTGAAACAGCACGATGAGGATGTTCTTTAGGTGCGCGTTGAGAGTCGACGGCTCCACATGCTCGACCAGACTCCCGAGCAGGTAGAATCCCTCGTGGTCGTTTGACTTGGACGCGATGAGCTTCTGGAAGACGCCGAGAAGCGAGGGGAGCTTGTCGTCTGCAACGACCTTGTCCGGTGCCTTCTGAATGAAGGCCTGGAGTAGCCGGACGAGGGCCGGGACATTTCCCTGTCTCTCCCACAGTGTAGGAGTCAGCAGGAGAGGGTAGATGACCATGTAAGCCCCGGGCACAGGCAGCGGTCTCACCTCCAGCAGAAGCGAGAGGATCTGAAACATGTAGGGTAGGAACTCCGCCACGTCCCTCACGAGTACACTCTCCACGATGGGAAAGAGGGTGCTCTCGAATTTTTCGGCCCGTTGTTGGTCCGTCTGGCAGGTGTTTCTGATGATGCAGGACAAGGCCTCAAAGAGGTAGTGATTAAAGTGGGGTTTGCTTGGGTTCTGGCTAACTTCGGCCAGTTTCCCTGCAAGTTCACAAGAAGGCTCTCGGCAAAGGGGGCGAGGTGATCTTGCATGGCTGACATGCAGCGCAGGAGGCATTTCATGGCGTATTCGTTCAGGTCTGAGCCCTGGAGCTTGAAGATGCCCAGCAAGCTCTCTGCGATAGTCCTGAACAGAGGCTGAAGCTGCGACAGCGCAACAACCGGCGCCTTTTCGGCGTCTCTGAGGACGAGCATCTTCTCTATGCAGTGAGCGGCGTAAGTATGCACTACGTGACTGGGGCTCTTTAGATGGACTGCAACAAGAGGGAGACAGCTAACGAGGAGGTCCTTGGGGAGGGTACTGCGGAAAGTGGTGATGAAACGGATGGCATCGGCTCGCAGGATGGGTTGTGACATAATGTCCGGTTTCTGTAGCTCTGCGATGCACTGAGAGCGTAGGATGTCGGGGACGTTCACCAATTCGCTCGTCTTCGTGATGCCGTGTTTCGTCGTCTTTGAGCGCATTGCGATCGCGGCAATGAGGTAGAGGGCAGCGTCTTTCGCCTTCCAGTTCTTGCCCGGGTCACGTTCGTACTGCTGCAGCATGACCGCGATGTACCCGCTGAAAATCCCGATCACCTGCCCCTCGAAAAACCTGCAGAGCCCGCGGACCAGATTGCAGGCGGAGTAGCGTCGTGTCCCCACGTCCGATCCCTCCAGGTCCCGCCTCACGTATTCCTCGGGGTTGTCCTCAAACAGCTCCTCGTCGGCCTCGCGGAAGTACATGTTCGGGACGATGACCTTCTCGCAGATACTGGTGAGCGTCGATTCGTTGGAGAACAACTCCTTGTAGCACTGTCGCTCGCAGACCGACGCGAGGAACTCGAGGGCACCGCTCACCAGGAGATCGTGCTTCGGTTTGGTGTCGGTCGTGACCAGCAGCGTCCAGATCGACTGGACAAAGTTCTGGACGTACGACTCAAAGTCCTCGTCGTACTTCTGCGCAAACATGGCCACGATCTCGCAGATCTGAGCCTTGACCAGCTCGAGGGGCCCCGGTTCTTCATCGCTGTCCGTCTCGAGGAGCTTGTTGTCGGTGGTGAGGAGCGTGTGGAAGTGGGCCATCCACGGCTCCAGGTTCTTCTCCGCGAAGTGGTCGGGGAGCTCCTGAGACGTGAGGCTCATGAACGTCTTGCAGATGAGCAGCAGAGAGCTGAAGAGGACCTGCACAAACATGACCCCAATACGGCATCATAACATGTACAGTATAGCAATACATAAACACTGGGCATGGGTAACCAAAAAATCCATTAAAATTCGGACAGTATGATACACAGAGGTTGAGTAGAGCTCACCTTGAGTGCCGGTGGGTTCTGTGCATGCTGTGAGGCCAGCTGCATCGTGGACTGAAAGAGCTCTGAGAACGGTGTCGCGAAACTATCCAGCACAAACTTGATCTCAACCCACAGCTCCTGCGACTTGAACTCGTGCCGGTAGCGCCTTGTAAGAGAGTGGGCTGTGCGCAACACACCGTTGATCTTGTGGAAATCTCCGCCGCGGAAGTGCTCGACCATCTCCTGGAGGAGGCCCTGCCAATTATTGGGGAAGTCTTCCCGGCCGATTATGGTGATCGCGTCACTCAACTGCCGCTGGACCACGTCTGGCGTCTTGAGCATCAGGCCCACGATGTTCTTTTTGATGGCTGCTCGGTCCGTGTTGGAGACACGGTTTGCCTCGTCAGGGACCACCCGCCAGTTCCTCTTGACAAAGTTCTTGAAGTTGATGGCGGCCGCCAGGCGGATGGTCATATCTGCAGACTCCATGTCTGCCAACTGCAGCAGGAGAAGTGCATAGTTCTCGGTGCCCTCCAGTTGCTCGAGGTATTTCTCAGCCGGTTTCCGGACGTTGAAGTCGGTGGAGAGCGTCTGGTTCAGGTAGCCGGCCAGGCCTTGCAGGTTCTCGGGCGTAGCCTGCATCTTCCCCTGCGAAAAATCCCCTCCAGTTAACGCACACCTTAAAGTGGCGGCAAACTAAAGCGATGTGATGTGTGCGCAGTGACCGAGTCACTGCACAAGCTGTGCAAGTGGAAATGAAGTGCATATAGTTTAATTGCCTCACCACGATCAGCCTAAGCCCCGAAGTTACAGACAAATGTTCGTTCCCTGTTCCCGGATCGCCTCCGAGCTGTCCAGATGATGGTTGTGCTGAATCAGCGTTTTGTTCTAAATAGTGCCCAGCATGCGCGTGGCGAACCTGCTAGCTCTTGCCTCTGCCGCTTTCGCGTCGTGGCTGGCCACCTTCGTATTCCAATGCTATTACCAAGGTCTTCCCGGAGCGCCCTCTGTACACCCCAGAGACGGCGAACCTCCGTATCCGGGAGCAACAAACGACAACCTTTTCTGGTTTCTTCAGGTGCAGATCAATGTGAATACATATGAAACGACCCTATACATGTCTCCCGTGCAGATATCGGACATACATCTGAGCCTCGTGAACGACTTTGAAGTGAGGGAGGATCTGGAGTCGTTCTGCACCAGGACGGTTTCCACTATCTCACCAGCTCTTGTCCTTGTCACTGGTATATAGCTACAATATACATTGACAGCCCGATGCACCCAGAAAACTGGGGGAGCCAGATACACACATACATACGTTACGATTTGCTCATGTCTTTCTTGCCGACCTCCAGAAACTTACTAAACTCATACCAACCCCCTTCCCCTGGTATTGTTTATACATATATAGCATGCCTAGAAGGTATATATATTCACCCTTACATCCGAGGGTGCATATTGGAATGCTCGAATTTTCATCATTCAGCCAATTGCGGCTTCTTATTTCTAGAGCATGTGGCGTTTGAAATGCTTGCCTCCGTCTCCCAACAGGTGATCTGACTCACGGCAAGTTCAGTGGAGGGCGCTACTCGCAGCAGTTCGAGGAGGAGTGGAGGGTGTATGGAGAGGTTCTGGCAGAGAGTGGTGTTAGAGACAGACTGCCCCTGGCTTGACATGCGGGGCAACCACGGTCAGTCTGTATGCTACTCACAGATCATGGGAGTCAGTGACGTATTTCTCGTCTTCAGATGACTTCGATGTGGAGTATCGCTCTCACTCCAGCAACATCTACCTGTGAGTCCTGTACAAAAGTGCATTCATAAAGTCAATGGGGTATAGGTATAGAAAGAGGGGAATGTTTTAGCAAGTACAAAAAAATTATGTAAAAAAATTATGGTGGGGTAGATAGAGTAATGGAAAAATCACGCATCTCTATCGCGATTTTTTGCTCGCCAGTCAATGTGGCTCCATCTGTAGATATAAAATTTCTCACATACTCACACACACACATGCATTGTATTTCCAAAACAGGCAGTACTCGTCGGGTTACCATGGACACCAGGAAAGCACCCACTCCTACAGCTACACTCACACCACCTCGTTTGGGAGCTACAGGTTCATCGGCATGGATGCCTGCCCCTCCCCCGGTCCTCGGAGACCTTTCAACTTCTTTGGAGTTCTTCACGACGTGAGACATGTGCTTGCTCTGTCTGGGTTTGCACTAAGACTCAATATTTCCCACTACATTTGTAGGATTCCAGTGGAAACTGTTGCCCCAGACTAGTCGTCCAATAAGAACAGTAATAATTCACATCCCATAAGCACAGCACCGTATCCAGTAATCATAGCTACAGGACTATGTATAAATAGGGACACCATCAGACGTGGTACGATACGGTGAATAACGATAGTGCTAAGACATTCAACACTCAGTGTAGTTAGACGATGCTCACTTAGAAGTATGGCATAATCATATTTCACCAGCTTGTATGGGGCTTACATAGGTTGTCCAAACTAAGAGGAAGACACTCTTTTTGTCATTATTCAGGAGGACCTCTCGGTGTTAGAATCTCTAGAAAACCACCACCCCTCCTCCTCCCCTCCCCTCAACACCACGGTCTGGTTCAGCCACTATCCGACGGCCACCATAGCAGGGGACCACGCGACCCTCCGCCGCCTCATGTCGTCCTCCGTGGCCCACGTCTGTGGCCACCTCCACGACCTCCTCGGTCTCGTACCGACCATGTACACACGTCACCCCTCGGGCCACCTCGAGCTAGAGCTGGTCGACTTCAAGGACAAAAGAGGGTACGTAACTGTATATACAATGGGGGAACCCCGAGGGATTTGACCATCCATGATCCTACAAAACATTTTTCCTGCCGCAAAGTTTTCTCCCTCAAATTTTTTCCTACCGTATTCTGTGTATGTTATAGACTTTCAGTTTTTTTTAAAGCCCAGCACACAACTGGCATTAAGATTGTGTATAGCTACCCACCATAGAGTGTACACTGAAAGGACCATGAGTATAATGCAGTGTAATGTATGCTAAAGTACTATCCACCCATAAGGACACAGAGAATATGGTGTTGTGCAGGTACAGACTCGTGGCAATAGACCACGATCTCTTCTCCTTCGTGGACACTAGACTGGACCACTGGCCTCTGGTCCTGGTCACCAACCCCAAGGACTCCCGTTTCTCTGTCCCAGGCAGAGAGCCACTGGGTCGCATCCTCCATTCCACCCACGTCAGGTCACTAACAATCAATACCTTAGTAGTGGACAGTGTACAGTCTTAAAGGCAAGCAAAGGGGTTGTCAATCCCCTGTCTCTCTCTAGCATGCATTGTATGGGATTTTGGGGGGACATTTTGAGTATGCAGTCCTTTCAATGCTACAAAAATTGCAATGATTCATTGAGCCAATACTGAATCCTTCTAGTAGGATGCAAATTTGAGACTTACAAAACATCGTACTTTAAATCACTTTTTATGTGATCTTGTCTTTGTGTCAACATTCCTTAGGGTGCTTGCATTCTCTCCCTACGGTGTCAAGTCGGTGCGAGTGTGGCTGGACGGTCGTCCCCTACCCCCTGCCACTGGGGACCAAGAGGGACCACTGTATACCACTCCGTGGGATCCAAGTCGTCTGGCCAGTGGTCTCCATTCAATCACTGTAGTAGTTGAGGTGAAATACTTATCCTCAACGCAGCAGGAGTTTTTACCCACAGGATGTTCTGGCTAGAGTTGTGTATGTAGTGTGTGGTTTGCTGCTTTTTCATAACACTATAGTTAGCACTCTGTGTTTTAAACATGGTATATATAGTGTTTCGTGCTTGTGTCTAGATTGATGTGTGTGTAATCTTTGTGGCACAGGATAAGGAGGGGAATGTTGGCAACTCGAGTCAGCAGTTCACTCTGGATGGCAGCTATCTGGCTACTCCTCTGGAGAGACTGCCTCGACTACTGCTGCTTACTGACTTCAAATCACTCGTGAGAATGAAATAATGGATCAGGGGGGTGGGAGGGGGAGCGAAGGCTGTTCACAACACTTGTGCAGCATGCACATCAGCTGGTAGAGAGCTCTGCCTAGAATGCGTGTTGAGGGTTCGAATCCCACCCTGGGCAGCTCTTTTATCGTTCCCAAAAAAAGATTTGTCCCAGGTTCAGTTGTGTTGCTGCCTACACTAAAGGGAGGTGGTGTGCTCCTGTTTGTTCTTAAGTGTGTGTAGTATTATGTTATGGGTGTTTGCTGTTGCAAATCGTGGTCCCAAAACATTCAATGTGGACACGAAATGTTTACAGTTGCGACCACCCAACTCCATAAACAGACTGAATTGTTTCTGTTTCAGCTTCAGATGGTGTTTCTGTTTGTGTGGCTATCTCTGCTGGCATCTCTGGTCCTCTCCTGGATCAACAGAGGTCAGTAGGTCATGTGACTTGGTCATGTGATCACCTGATTTGACATGTGATTCCAGCACATTGTCACATTACCCATTTTGATGGGTACTGCATCTGGTTTCCCCCCCACTCAGCGCAGCCAGTGTACCTTCAGCCACTAGTGAGAAAAAACTCCGTTTTCTTGCCTCTGACATTTCTAATCTTCTACCTTGGATTAGGTATAATTATATAGTACTATATCATTATGTACATATGAGTATGTGTGTAAGGAAGTCCACACTCAAAGTACGTGTATGTCCCAGTTGTGAAAAATATGCAAAATTGCAGGTGGGCACACAGAAACACTGTAAACCTCATACAAGGTCTTGTTAAAGTCTCAAAAGGTGCACATGGTCACACAGATAATCCTTATGCACAGTTGTACAGGGTGTGCTGATGCACATGGGGAGAGGGGTGAGCATGAAAGGAAGTGGTGGTATTCATTGCAGTCACATGCTTTTGGCTGTGTAAACTGGTCTGTCATTTCTATCACTGGGTGGTATATGTGTGGGCAGGGATGGGGGGAGGACATGTGTGACTGTACTCAGTCACTGGGTGGTATATGTGTGGGCAGGGATGGGGGGAGGACATGTGTGACTGCACTCAGTCACCTTTGTGTTACTGTTAGCAGGTTGAGTGGGGGGAGATCAAAGAAAGAACATTGGCTCAGCAGGTGAATACGTTTTTTTGAGCCTCAAGGTCTTTGGGTCATGCTTTTACAAGTTGGGCACAGCTACATGGCTTTTAGCAGCTACAGGTCTTTGGGGGTCCAGCTGCATTGTACATTGTACATACTTACTTACTTTAGCTAGGGTCGTCTTGTCTCAGTCACTGAGTGTGTCTGGCTAGAGTATATGTAACATGGGGTGCTACATCTCTTCCAAAGCCCACAAAATTTTTACAAAACATTAATTTTTACTCCCTCGACAGAAAATTGATGCTTAAAATTGTGATCTTGTACTTACATCACTTTTACAGACCAATATGCTCATGCTACAGCTAGCTGTGTGTGTACATCTTTCTAGTGTGATGGGCTTCCTTTGTTGCACAAAGAGTGGTCAGATTGTAGAGTAGAGGGTATTCACTAATGTCAACACTGGGAGAGCTTCAGTGGCCTGATTTCTACACCTTGCACTTTTATCAGCGGCCCTGCATGCCTTGGAAATGTGATAATGTGAATAGAGCGACCTTCCCCCATGCACCGTTAGAAACCAACCACTCCATTCCCAATGGACGTATATAATATATACATGTGTGTGTAGATAAGAGAAAGTTTGCAGGTTGCACTTTAAAAAAATTTTTTTCTAAATAGCATCAGACTTGTATAAATGCAGCTATGTATGACATCTCCTCTCCGAGGTCCGTGGTGTGTAGGTGAGATAATGACTGGCGTCTACGGGCTCATCTCAGTTCACGGGATACTAGTCTCACAACACTTCATTCCAGGCTCCCTCACCTACCTCTTTGGAATGTTCCAGGTGGGCTAATGACCAGTTTATATAGTCCAACTGGATTATATGTACTCACAGCCATAACAGAGCGAGGCCCTTTGTCTGCATACATCTACAGCTGTGTACAAACTTGCCTGGCTTCGGTATACATCATGATGATGTAGGCCCCAAGTAGTCCCACCCAGTAGGCTACTCTAAAAGAAGAAGACCCCAAAGTGTCCCACAATACTTACTATGTAGCACCCACTATTCTAAAAGTCAAAGTTAGAACTTGGAGGCTTCAGATGCTAAGTATATTGGCCACCAAAGTGTCACCAAAAACTCTCTCCCCCAGCTCATCCTGTGGTACATACCCCTCATCCTCTACCTGAACCGCCTCCTCTCCCTCCCCCATTCCTCCTCCCCCTCCTCCTCTCGTCTCCGACCTCTCCTCTGTCACTCCGCCATGTTCTCACTCTTCCTCTACCACTGCGGCTGGCTCCTCACCTTTGCCCCCTACGGCTCTGTAGCTCTCGTCCTCAGTCCAGGAGTATCATGGACACTGCCTTTTAGCCTATACCTTGTCCTTAGATCATGGAGAAGATAGTGTAATGCATTTTGGTTAGGGTATCATGGTGTGTGTTTTTATTTCCCAAACAATTTCATGAGTATCTTTGGATTTGCCCGTAACTAACAGCTCCTGCACAAAATTGCAAAGAAACCTGTCCTGGACAGCACAAAAACAGATGCCTTCCTTCAAAATTTTTCATCTTGCTTTTGGTCTTCCACCGAGGCATTTAGGCCAGTTTGACAATAGAACATCATTTCACTTCATCATTACAATAGCAGGTCTGCATAATATTATTATGATGATGGAAAAACAGATAACCTGAAATCCACACTCAAAAAACGCAACAAAACTCATTCACAGACTCCATAAGTAAGTTGATTATAATCCACACTCAAAAAACGCCAACAAAAACTCATCATTCACATTCATTCTTACAGACCACTTCACAATGTATATAATGTAGCTTGTGTGGTGATGAACAGAACTTAAAAACGAAATCTAAAATCGTGACTACACTGGAACTGCAACTGATCAGGTGGGAGAATCAACCGTTTCCTGTCGTCTCAGTCACTGCGGCTGCATCACCACCACCAATAGACTCTGGTTCCCTCGAAACACTCTCAGGTTCGGTCTCAGACTTGGTCATCTGTTCAGTTTCCGTGTCCTCTCGACTAGAGTCTCTTTGGCTTGACTCATCGCCTGCGAGCCTCTCTTCACCTCCTACCCCCTCTGCAGTCGCACCTTCCTCTCCATCCCTTGCCTCACCAGGAACCCTCTCCTCCTCTGTCTGACTGTCATGCTCACACTCTGGCATTCCCACCTCACTTTGCCTCTCGTTCTCTCCCTCTCGCACCATTCCATCCTCCGCCCCCTTTTCCCTTCCTTCCTTCACTTCTTCATCTGCCACCTGTCCGTTTTCCCTCTTTTCTTCTGCCTCCCCACCCTCCCCCACCCCATTCTTCTTGTCTTCCTCTCCCTCCTCCCTCACCTCCCCACCCTCCTCCATCTCCCCAATCTCCCTCCCCCCTCCTCCTCCATCTTCCCTCTCCTCACTACTCTCCATGATCATCCTGTCTCTAATGCTGCACCCCAGCTCCCCGGCGGACAAACTATGTTTCATTGTCTTTAGCTGAGAATGCAGTTCCTTCTCTCCGTCTTTGCCAGCTTCGTCTCCATTGCCGCTCTCCTCTCCCTCCTCCTCTTCTTCCTCCTCTGTCGCAGTTCCGTTGGTCTCTCTCCCGGCTTTCCCGCGTCTCGAACGAGCACTTTCTGAGCGGCGGCCATTTTAGCAGCCCGAGCCGAGGATTGCAGCGCTCGCAGATGGTGCGCATGAGCGCATGCACATGGCCTGGTGGAGGTCTTGCGGTCCAGTTGAGCTCTGTGTTTGTTACCTTCTCAAGTCTTCGTGTCAAATTAATAGGGGCAGTCGTGTATGTAAGCAGTGCACGAAACATTGCTGTCACATATTATTTAAAATCTATAAACAACCTGCTATAGGAGGTGGTAGATTGGGCGGTCGGATATGAAGATGGCGGCAATACACATATCACACTGTGTTTGTACAATGAACCAAAATGGGCGGTTGTATTAGTTATGTATATACTGCAATTGTGCCCAAATAGGTATATGAGTGTGCAATCTTTTAGTAACTCACAAAGAGAGTGGAGCGATAAGCTGAGGAGAAAGCTCACACGCTGGAAATACAAAACCATGAGACCCAACACACACACACATCCCCCATCGGGCGGCGCACCGCTGTATGAGGGGAACTGTAGAGCGCTCTCATTGTCCCCTCCACCACTTATCGGCCAGCCAGAATCTCCGTCCTGAGCGGCTCTGACTCATGCCCTCGTAGCGCTGGAGGCTGGAGGTTCTCTTGATTGGCGTGAACACTCTCACAAAGGGCCTTCCTTCAGTTGTGGCGGGTGGAACGGGGTCCTCTGTCTGCCAGACACCATGGTAAACACTCCAGCGCGGGAGGAGAGGGAAAGAGGAATGGATCTATATACAGCAGCGAGACTCTAAACGTAGTGCCACACATTCTGTGCAGTGTGTCCTTTGACGGTAGTTGAGGAGTAGTGCAGGAGTTTGAACCAACGACTTACAGTGGAGTGTCAGTTGTGTTGTTAAGTCTTGATTCTTGATTGGTCACAGGTGTCTTCGGCTATGAGGCTGAACACACGGCCACCCATAACAGCACAGGAAATTGGAAATTAGTCTCACAATTAGGTGAAAAGGTCTCCCCCGAACCCCACCCCCACGAGGAGATAAAGGGTGTTAGTTGCACTGCCGCTGACTCATCATTGTCGAGTGCATGCGCAAACAACAAGTTGTGTTATTCACAGAAAAGTGTAGAGGTCACACGAGATTGCATTAAAATCAGGGTTGATTGGTGACTTGATGCTTCATCCTGTGCAAATTAATGATTCGAGTTGTCTCAAAAGAACGACTGTGTGAGTCAGCACAACCAAAGAAATCGCTCAAAGGTCACCAGACCCTCTTCCGTGAGGGCGGGGTCTTGGTACGAGACTATACACCGACAAAGAGATGAGGAAAAACGGCACCAGCGGGTGGTCCCTCTCCTCTCACTAGTTTTAAGGGGGTATCCTGAGGGGGTCTACAGTATTGGGAGGTACACGAAGCCCTGGTGGAGGGGAAGAGCTCGGCGTTTGCTGCGGGCTCCATTAGAAGATCCTCAACATCCTTGCCCGTCCGGACGGCACTCGGGGAGAAACAGTCGCACGTCCGCAACTCCGCATCGAAGTCGGTCGAGATTGAGCCTGTCAATGTCGTGTGTGTGCGTGTGTGCGTGTGCATACATGTTGTTGCAGACAGGCAACGTGAGTGAACCAGCTCGTGTATCAAGGGCAGCTACATATGTATGCAACTACCAAGAGACGGAACACTGACTCGGAATGCAGCAGCACGAGACGTTGAACAATCGCGAAAGCGCTCTATGAAGCTGTTAACTTTTTTCACAACATCATTTAGGGGTAGGGATCCACATGCGAAGTCTCAGAACAATCTGCACACGTTGTATTCTGCTGAAGCATGTGATCTAATTGTTCTCCCTAGTCAAGCTTTTCTTCTATACTGCAGTGCATGCTTTTTCCTGTTCTCACCTGGCACCAGTGGCTGTTGCACATGTTCCAGAGAGCGGACATGAGCGCCAGTTCGCATGCGTCCGTTCTCTCTCGTGAGGAACTCTCGTTCTGTCGCGACATGACCGCACTCACGGCCCAGACACAGTGTCGTCGTAGATGTAGAACCCCACGAGGAGACAGGTATATTGAGTGTGTCTCCGTGTGCCTGGAGGGCCAGGGCGAGAGATGAGACGGGAGGGAGGGACGCGGAGAGCAGAGGGATGAGAGAGAAGTGAGAATGAGGCAGCGTATACGACAACCGTAGAAGTAGAGGTCTCTGAATCTGAATTGCTATACTGTCACCGTATGGGTGTTCGATAGCACACACATCTCATACTGTAATATAACAGCCATGTGTATTGATTGTGAGTAAATGACTTGTTGCAGCCTACAATCAACTAGGGACGAGAAAGTGAGGCGGCAGGGTCTAGCCCCTTCCCTTACGTCATAAGACGGGTTCTGCGAGGATAGGAACCATGGAAGAGAGGGGAACACCTCTCCGCATGAGAAAAGAGGAGGAAGAGGTTTTTTGACTCGCGTGTGCAGCAGATGACTGTTTCTAGTCATAGGAGTCATTATACCTCACCACCACACAGTATGGCAACATGAGCGCTCAACACACAGTATAGCAATGAGAGGAACCGTACGGCACAGATGCTTACACTCGACAGCAACGTGGTGTAGATTGACGAGTAAAGCTCTTTAGAGCTTTCCAACGTTGCGAAAGTGCGCAGAGGAATAGCTGTGGAGGAGGGTGAACATTAGGTATGTATATTTACGGCGTTGGAAACCCTCTTATTCAGACACCAATCACAATGGGAAAGAAGGAAGTTTGTCACTATTTTGCCCTAATATTATGAAGGGTTTAAAATTGCATTGCAAGAAAACTGTTCAAGGACCGTTCTTGGGGGAGGAAGGTGGTCCTTAGAAGAGAGGGTGTTCCTCGTTTCAAGGGACCCCTTAGAGAGGTGTTCATTGGCGGAAATACCCCTTAAGGATTGGTGTGGGTTGTCCTCATTTCAGGGGTACAGACCCCTTTAGAGAGAGTTCCAGTGTAGAAAAGTATAACAACACCAAAGGCACAGAGAGGGAGGAGAGAAAGAGAAAGGAGAGGGGGAGGAAGGGGGAGAAGAGATGACCACCATCAAGAGACAGGGGGGGGGAGCCGGTCAGAGCTCCAGCTGGGACCTGTCAAACCACAGGGGGGGGAGAGCAGGTTGGCCTTGGAAGGATATCGGGAGACCATGGCCAATCTTAGTTAACAACTTCAAACACATGCGAGGAATAAAAAGGGGGAAGAAAATAAAGTGACGAACATCTTTAAATTTGGCTATCAAAAATTTACAGCCACGCACCTTTGGAGGGAAAACACCAGCTTTATGAAAACAGCAAAACATCGCACAAATATTCCCCACCAAGACTGTATGTGTGTGCTACACGGTATTGTACAGGTACAAATAAAGGGTAGGTGTATATTATGTGTACCTATTGTTAGGGTTTTCCAGAAGGATTTTGGGTTTGTATCTCTCAGTGAGGAGGTCTGTAGGGCTAACGCCAATTAGGCATCACCTGCAGCATCCGATCTCGGCTATCAGTGGACCTGGAACACTGAGGGGCGGGGGGGAGGGAGAGAGAAGGAGAGAGAGAGAAGGGAGGGGGATTGAGAAATGGAAGGAGGACAGGAGTCAAGAAAGGTGAGGAAGAAGGGTAGGTGGAAGAGGAGGAGAGGGACATGGCGCGAAACGGGGAAAAGGCGACAGTGGAAAAGGCGAAAAGACCAGAGGACAAGGCGACCAGAAAATGGAGGTACTGGGCAGCGCGGTGTAGCAGGGAGGGGGGAGAGATGAATTGGACAAGGTGGTGGTGGCGGACCAAAGTAATCATGATAACTGACTAGTTCAGAGATTCTACGAGCCACTGTAGCAAGCCATTAACTAGCTCTACATACAGTAGAAACCTCAGG